TAAGCACCGATTTGGGCGGATTTATTCCGGGTCAATTTTTGGCAGATTCTAAAGGGGTACCATCACAGATTTCGGCCGATTTATCTGAAATCCCATTTTCTCTCGATTATGGAGGCTACTGATCACGGAATCAGGCCGAGGCTATTCTCCACCGATAATGAAGTCTATTGATCCTATTCTCCACGGATGATAAGTCCGTTAAGTATCGATTTGGGCCAATTTATTTTCGAATGGCATTTCGTAATTTCTTGGGCGACAAATGGCAATTTTCTTTGGATATTGAAGGCTACAAATCACGAATTCGGCCTGAGGATATTCTCCAACGATGATTTAGTCCATTAAGCACCGATTTGGGTGGATTTATTCCGGGTCAATTTTTGGCAGATTCCAAAGGGGTACCATCACAGATTTCGGGCGAATTATCCGAAATGCCATTTTCTTTCGATTCTGCAGGCTACAAATCACGGAATCAGGCTGAGGCTATTCTCCACCGATAATGAAATCTATTGATCCTATTCTCCACGGATGATAAGTCCGTTAAGCATGGATTTGGGCCAATTTATTTTCGAATGGCCTTTTCTTAATTTCTTGGGCGACGAAAGGCAATTTTCTTTGGATATTGAAGGCTACAGATCACGGATTCGGCCTGACGCTATTCTCCAACGATGATTGAGTCCATTAATCACCGATTTGGGCGGATTTATTCCGGGTCAATTTATGGCAGATTCTAAAGGGGTACCTTTACAGATTTTGGGCGATTTATCTGAAATCCCATTTTCTTTCGATTCTGGAGGCTACTGATCAAGGAAGCAGGCCGAGGCTATTCTCCACCGATAATGAAGTCTATTGATCCTATTCTCCACTGATGATAAGTCTGTTAAGTATCGATTTGGACTAATTAATTTTCGAATGGCATTTCGTAATTTCATGGGCGACGAAAGGCAATTTTCTTTGGATATTGAAGGCTACAGATCATGGATCGGCCTGAGGCTATTCTCCAACGATGATTGAGTCCATTAAGCACCGATTTGGGTGGATTTATTCCGGGTAAATTTTTGGCAGATTCCAAAAGGGTACCATCACAGATTTCTGGCAATTTATCCCAAATGCCATTTTCTTTCGATTCTGGAGGCTACAGATTACGGAATCAGGCCGAGGCTATTTTCCACCGATAATGAAGTCTATTGATCCTATTCTCAACAGATGATAAGTCCATTAAGCATCGATTTGTGCCAATTTATTTTCGAATGGAATTTTTCGTAATTTCTTGGACGACTAAAGGCCATTTTCTTTGGATATTGAAGGCTACATATCACGGATTCGGCCTGAGGCTATTCTCCAACGATGATTGAGTCCAATAAGCACCGATTTGGGCGGATTTATTCCGGGTAAGTTTTTTGCAGATTCCAAAGGGGCACCATCACAGATTTCGGGCTATTTATCCGAAATGCCATTTTCTTTCGATTCTGGAGTCTACAGATCACGGAATCAGGCTGTGGCTATTCTCCACCGATAATGAAGTCTATTGATCCTATTCTCCACGGATGATATGTCCGTTAAGCATCGATTTGGGCCAATTTATTTTCGAATGGCATTTTCGTAATTTCTTGGGCGACGAAAGGCCATTTTCTTTGTATATTGAAGGCTACAGATCACGGATTCGGCCTGAGGTTATTCTCCAACGATGTTTGAGTCCATTAAGCACCGATTTGGCCGGATTTATTCCGGGTCAATTTTTGACAGATTCCAAAGGGGTACCATAACAGATTTCGGGCGATTTATCTGAAATGCCATTTTCTTTCGATTCTGCAGGCTACAGATCACGGAATCAGGCCGAGGCTATTCTCCACCGATAATGAAGTCTATTGATCCTATTCTCCACGGATGATAAGTCCATTAAGCATGGATTTGGGCCGATTTATTTTCGAATGGCATTTTCGTAATTTCTTGGGCGACGAATGGCAATTTTCTTTGGATATTGAAGGCTACAGATCACGGATTCGGCATGATGCTATTCTCCAACGATGATTGAGTCCACTAATCACCGATTTGGGCGGATTTATTCCGGGTCAATTTTTGGCAGATTCTAAAGGGGTACCATCACAGATTTCGGCCGATTTATCTGAAATCCCATTTTCTTTCGATTATGGAGGCTACTGATCACGGAATCAGGCCGAGGCTATTCTCAATGATAATGAAGTCTATTGATCCTATTCTCCACGGATGATAAGTCCGTTAAGTATCGATTTGGGCCAATTTATTTTCGAATGGCATTTCGTAATTTCTTGGGCGACGAAAGGCAATTTTCTTTGGATATTGAAGGCTACAGATCACGGATTCGACCTGAGGCTATTCTCCAACGATGATTTAGTCCATTAAGCACAGATTTGGGTGGATTTATTCCGGGTCAATTTTAGGCAGATTCCAAAGGACTACCATCACAGATTTCGGGCGATTTATCCGAAATGCCATTTTCTTTCGATTCTGCAGGCTACAAATCACGGAATCAGCCCGAGGCTATTCTCCACCGATAATGAAGTCTATTGATCTTATTCTCCACGGATGATATGTCCGTTAAGCATCGATTTGGGCCAATTTATTTTTGAATGGCATTTTCGTAATTACTTGTGCGACGAAAGGCCATTTTCTTTGGATATTGAAGGCTACAGATCACGGATTCGGCCTGAGGCTATTCTCCAACGATGATTGAGTCCATTAAGCACCGATTTGGGCAGATTTATTCCGGGTCAATTTTTGGCAGATTCCAAAGGGGTACCATCATAGATTTCGGGCGATTTATCCCAAATGCCATTTTCTTTCGATTCTGGAGGCTACAAATCACGGAATCAGGCTGAGGCTATTCTCCACCGATAATGAAGTCTATTGATCCTATTCTCCACGTATGATAATTCCGTTAAGCATCGATTTGGGCCAATTTATTTTCGAATGGCATTTTCGTAATTTCTTGGGCGACGAAAGGCTATTTTCTTTGGATATTGTAGGCTACAGATCACGGATTCGGCCTGAGGCTATTCCCCAACGATGATTGAGTCCATTAAGCACCGATTTTGGTGGATTTATTGCGGGTCAGTTTTTGGCAGATTCCAAAGGGGTACCATCACAGATTTCAGGCGATTTATCCAAAATGCCATTTTCTTTCGATTCTGGAGGCTACTGATCACGGAATCAGGCCGAGGCTATTCTCCACCGATAATGAAGTCTATTGATCCTATTCTCCACGGATGATAAGTCCGTTAAGCATGGATTTGGGCCATTTTATTTTCGAATGGCCTTTTCTTAATTTCTTTGGCGACGAAAGGCAATTTTCTTTGGATATTGAAGGCTACAGATCACGGATTCGGCCTGAGGCTATTCTCCAACGATGATTGAGCCCATTAATCACCGATTTGGGCGGATTTATTCCTGGTCAATTTTTGGCAGATTCCAAAGGGGTACCATCACAGATTTCGGGCGATTTATCCGAAATGCCATTTTCTTTTGATTCTGGAGGCTACTTATCACGGAATCAGGCCGGGGCTATTCTCCACCGATAATGAAGTCTATTGATCCGATTCTCCCCGGATGATAAGTCCGTTAAGCATGGATTTGGGCCAATTTTTTTTTGAATGGCATTTTCGTAATTACTTGTGCGACGAAAGGCCATTTTCTTTGGATATTGAAGGCTACAGATCACGGATTCGGCCTGAGGCTATTCTCCAACGATGATTGAGTCCATTAAGCACCGATTTGGGCGGATTTATTCCGGGTCAATTTTTGGCAGATTCCAAAGGGGTACCATCATAGATTTCGGGCGATTTATCCCAAATGCCATTTTCTTTCGATTCTGGAGGCTACAAATCACGGAATCAGGCTGAGGCTGTTCTCCACTGATAATGAAGTCTATTGATCCTATTCTCCACGTATGATAATTCCGTTAAGCATCGATTTGGGCCAATTTATTTTCGAATGGCATTTTCGTAATTTCTTGGGCGACGAAAGGCCATTTTCTTTGTATATTGAAGGCTACAGATCACGGATTCGGCCTGAGGTTATTCTCCAACGATGTTTGAGTCCATTAAGCACCGATTTTGGTGGATTTATTGCGGATAAGTTTTTGGCAGATTCCAAAAGGGTACCATCACAGATTTAGGGCGATTTATCCAAAATGCCATTTTCTTTCGATTCTAGAGGCTACTAATCACGGAATCAGGCCGAGGCTATTCTCCACCGATAATGAAGTCTATTGATCCTATTCTCCACGGATGATAAGTCCGTTAAGCATGGATTTGGGCCAATTTATTTTCGAATGGCCTTTTCTTAATTTCTTTGGCGAAGAAAGGCAATTTTCTTTGGATATTGAAGGCTACAGATCACGGATTCGGCCTGAGGCTATTCTCCAACGATGATTGAGCCCATTAATCACCGATTTGGGCGGATTTATTCCTGGTTAATTTTTGGCAGATTCCAAAGGGGTACCATCACAGATTTCGGGCGATTTATCCGAAATGCCATTTTCTTTTGATTCTGGAGGCTACTTATCACGGAATCAGCCCGAGGCTATTCTCCACCGATAATGAAGTCTATTGATCCTATTCTCCACGGATGATAAGTCCGTTAAGCATGGATATGGGCCAATTTATTTTGAATGGCATTTTCGTAATTACTTGTGCGACGAAATGCCATTTTCTTTGGATATTGAAGGCTACAGATCACGGATTCGGCCTGAGGCTATTCTCCAACGATGATTGAGTCCATTAAGCACCGATTTGGGCGGATTTATTCCGGGTCAATTTTTGGCAGATTCCAAAGGAGTACCATCATAGATTTCGGGCGATTTATCCCAAATGCCATTTTCTTTCGATTCTGGAGGCTACATATCACGGAATCAGGCTGAGGCTATTCTCCATCGATAATGAAGTCTATTGATCCTATTCTCCACGTATGATAATTCCGTTAAGCATCGATTTGGGCCAATTTATTTTCGAATGGCATTTTCGTAATTTCTTGGGCGACGAAAGGCCATTTTCTTTGGATATTGTAGGCTACAGATCACGGATTTGGCCTGAGGCTATTCTCCAATGATGATTGAGTCCATTAAGCAACGATTTTGGTGGATTTATTGCGGGTCAAATTTTGGCAGATTCCAAAGGGGTACCATCACAGATTTGGGCGATTTATCCGAAATGCCATTTTCTTTCGATTCTGGAGACTACTGATCACGGAATCAGGCCGAGGCTATTCTCCACCGATAATGAAGTCTATTGATCCTATTCTCCACGGATGATAAGTCTGTTAAGCATCGATTTGGGCCAATTTATTTTCGAATGACATTTTCGTATTTTCTTGTGCGACGAAAGGCAATTTTCTTTGGATATTGAAGGCTACAGATCTCGGATTCGGCCTGAGGGTATTCTCCAACGATGATTGAGCCCATTAATCACCGATTTGGTCGGATTTATTCCTGGTCAATTTTTGGCAGATTCCAAAGGGGTACCATCACAGATTTCGGGCGATTTATCCGAAATGCCATTTTCTTTTGATTCTGGAGGCTACTTATCACGGAATCAGGCCGAGGCTATTCTCCACCGATAATGAAGTCTATTGATCCTATTCTCCACGGATGATAAGTCCGTTAAGCATCTATTTGGGCCAATTTATTTTCGAATGACATTTTCGTAATTTCTTGTGCGACGAAAGGCCATTTTCTTTGGATATTGAAGGCTACACATCACGGATTCGGCCTGAGGCTATTCTCCAACGATGATTGAGTCCATTAAGCACCGATTTTGGTGGATTTATTCCGGGTCAAATTTTGGCAGATTCCAAAGGGGTACCATCACAGATTTTAGGCGATATATCCGAAATGCCATTTTCTTTCGATTCTGGAGGCTACTGATCACGGAATCAGGCCGAGGCTATTCTCCACCGATAATGAAGTCTATTGATCCTATTCTCCACGGATGATAAGTCCGTTAAGCATCGATTTGGGCCAATTTATTTTCGAATCCCATTTCGTAATTACTTGGTCGGCGAAAGGCAATTTTCTTTGGATATTGAAGGCTACAGATCACGGATTCGGCCTGAGGCTATTCTCAAACGATGATTGAGTCCATTAAGCACCGATTTGGGAGGATTTATTCCGGGTCAATATTTGGCAGATTCCATAGGGGTACCATCACAGATTTCGGGCCATTTATCCGAAATGCCATTTTCTTTCGATTCTGGTGGCTACGGATCACGAAATCAGGCCGAGGCTATTCTCCACCGATAATGAAGTCTATTGATCCTATTCTCCACGGAAGATAAGTCCTTTAAGCATGGATTTCGGCCAATTTATTTTCGAATGGCATTTTCGTAATTTCTTGGGCGACGAAAGGCCATTTTCTTTGGATATTGAAGGCTACAGATCTTGTATTCGGGTTGAGGCTATTCTCCAACGATGATTGAGTCCATCAAGCACCGATTTGGTCGGATTTATTCCGGGTCAATTTTTGGCAGATTCGAAAGGGGTACCATCACAGATTTCGGGCGATTTATCCGAAATGCCATTTTCTTTCGATTCTGGAGGCTACAGATCACGGAATCAGGCCGAGGCTATTCTCCACCGATAATGATGTCTATTGATCATATTCTCCACGGATGATAAGTCCGTTAAGCATGGATTTGGGCCAATTTATTTTCGAATGGCATTTTCGTAATTTCTTGGTCGACGAAAGGCCATTTTCTTTGGATATTGAAGGCTACAGATCACGGATTCGGCCTGAGGCTATTCTCCAACGATGTTTGAGTCCAATAAGCATCGATTTGGGCGGATTTATTCCGGGTCAGTTTTTGGCAGATTCCAAAGGGGTACCATCACAGATTTCGGGCGATTTATCCGAAATGCCATTTTCTTTTGATTCTGGAGGCTACTTATCACGGAATCAGGCCGAGGCTATTCTCCACCGATAATGAAGTCTATTGATCCTATTCTCCACGGATGATAAGTCCGTTAAGCATGGATTTGGGCCAATTTATTTTCGAATGGCATTTTCGTAATTACTTGTGCGACGAAAGGCCATTTTCTTTGGATATTGAAGGCTACAGATCACGGATTCGGCCTGAGGCTATTCTCCAACGATGATTGAGTCCATTAAGCACCGATTTGGGCGGATTTATTCCGGGTCAGTTTTTCGCATATTCCAAAGGGGTACCATCACAGATTTCGGGTGATTTATCCGAAATGCCATTTTCTTTCGATTCTGGAGGCTAGTGATCACGGAATCAGGCCGAGGCTATTCTCCACCGGTAATGAAGTCTATTGATCCAATTCTCCACGGATGATAAGTCCGTTAAGCATGGATTTGGGCCAATTTATTTTCGAATGGCATTTTCGTAATTACTTGGGAGATGAAAGGCCATTTTCTTTGGATATTGAAGGCTACAGATCACGGATTCGGCCTGAGGCTATTCTCCAACGATGATTGAGTCCATTAAGCACCGATTTGGGCGGATTTATTCTGGGTCAATTTTTGGCAGATTCCAAATGGGTACCATTACAGATTTCGGGCTATTTATCGCAAATGCCATTTTCTTTCGATTCTGGAGGCTACAAATCACGAAATCAGGCTGAGGCAATTCTCCACCGATAATGAAGTCTATTGATCCTATTCTCCACGTATGATAATTCCGTTAAGCATCGATTTGGGCCAATTTATTTTCGAATGGCATTTTCGAAATTTCTTGGGCGACGAAAGGCCATTTTCTTTGGATATTGTAGGCTACAGATCACGGATTCGGCCTGAGGCTATTCTCCAACGATGATTGAGTCCGTTATGCACCGATTTTGTTGGATTTATTGCAGGTCAAATTTTGGCAGGTTCCAAAGGGGTACCATCACAGATTTCGGGCGATTTATCCGAAATGCCATTTTCTTTCGATTCTGGAGGCTACTGATCACGGAATCAGACCGAGGCTATTCTCCACCGATAATGAAGTCTATTGATCCTATTCTCCACGGATGATAAGTCCGTTAAGCATCGATTTCGGCTAATTTATTTACGAATGACATTTTCGTAATTTCTTGTGCGACGAAAGGCCATTTTCTTTGGATATTGAAGGCTACAGATCACGGATTCGGCCTGAGGCTATTCTCCAACAATGATTGAGTCCATTAAGCACCGATTTGGGCGGATTTATTCCTGGTCAGTTTTTGGCAGATTCCAAAGGGGTACCATCACAGATTTCGGGCGATTTATCTAAAATGCCATTTTCTTTCGATTCTGGAGGCTACTGATCACGGAATCAGGCCGAGGCTATTCTCCACCGATAATGAAGTCTATTGATCCTATTCTCCACGGATGATAAGTCCGTTAAGCATCGATTTGGACCAATTTATTTTCGAATCGCATTTCGTAATTACTTGGGCGGCGAAAGGCAATTTTCTTTGGATATTGAAGGCTACAGATCACGGATTCGTTCTGAGGCTATTCTCAAACTATGATTGATTCCATTAATCACCGATTTGGGAGGATTTGTTCCGGGTCAATTTTTGGCAGATTCAATAGGGGTACCATCACCGATTTCAGACGATTTATCCGAAATGCCATATTCTTTCGATTCTGGTGGCTACAGATCACGAAATCAGGCCGAGGCTATTCTCCATCGATAATGAAGTCTATTGATCCTATTCTCCACGGATGATAAGTCCTTTAGGCATGGATTTCGGCCAATTTTTTTTCGAATAGCATTTTCGTAATTTCTTGGGCGACAAAAGGCCATTTTCTTTGGATATTGAAGGCTACAGATCTTGTATTCGGGTTGAGGCTATTCACCAACGATGATTGAGTCCATTAAGCACCGATTTGGGAGGATTTATTCCGGGTCAATTTTTGGCAGATTCGAAAGGGGTACCATCACAGATTTTGGGCGATTTATCCGAAATGCCATTTACTTTCGATTCTGGAGTCTACAGATCACGGAATCAGGCCGAGGCTATTCTCCATAGATAATGAATTTTATTGATCCTATTCTCCACGAATGATAAGTCCGTTAAGCATCGATTTGGGCCAATTTATTTTCGAATGGCACTTTCGTAATTTCTTGGGCGACGAAAGGCCATTTTCTTTGGATATTGAAGGCTACAGATCACGGATTCGGCCCGAGGCTATTCTCCAACGATGATTGAGCCCATTAAGCATCGATTTTGGCGGATTTATTCCGGATCAAATTTTGGCAGATTGCAAAGGGGTACCATCACAGATTTCGGGCTATTTTTCCGAAATGCCATTTTCTTTCGATTCTGGAGACTACTGATCACGGAATCAGGCCGAGGCTTTTCTTCACCGATAATGAAGTCTATTGATCCTATTATCCATGGATGATAAGTCCGTTAAGCATCGATTTGGGCCAATTTATTTTCGAATGGCATTTTCGTAATTTCTTGGGCGACGAAAGGCCATTTTCTTTGGATGTTGAAGGCTACGGATCACGAATTCGGCCTGAGGCTATTCTCCAACGATGATTGAGTCCATTAAGCACTGATTAGGGCGGAATTATTCCCGGTCAATTTTTGGCAGATTCCAAAGGGGTACCATCACATATTTCAGGCGATTTATCCAAAATGCCATTTTCTTTCGATTCTGGAGGCTACAGATCACGGAGTCATGCCGAGGCTATTCTCCACCGATAATGAAGTCTATTGATCCTATTCTCCACGGATGATAAGTCCGTTAAGCATCGATTTGGGCCATTTTATTTTTGAATGACATTTTCATAATTTCTTGGGCGACGAAAGGCCATTTTCTTTAGATATTGAAGGCTACAGATCACGGATTCGGCATGAGGTTATTCTCCCACGATGATTGAGTCCATTAAGCACCGATTCGGGCAGATTTATTCCGAGTCAATTTTTGGCATATTCCAAAGGGGTACCATCAAAGATTTCGGGCGTTTTTATCTGAAATGCCATTTTCTTTCAATTCTGGAGGCTACAGATCACGAAATCAGGCAGAGGCTATTCTCCACCGATAATGAAGTCTATTGATCCTATTCTCCACGGTGGATAAGTCCGTTCAGCATCGATTTGGGCCAATTTATTTTCGAATGACATTTTCGTAATTTCTTAGGCGACGAAAGGCCATTTTCTTTGGATGTTGAAGGCTACAGATCACGGATTCGGCATGAGGCTATTCTCCAACGATGATTGAGTCCATTAAGCACTGATTTGAGACGATTTATTCCGGTTCGATTTTTGGCAGATTCCAAAGGGGTACCATCACAGATTTCGGGCGATTTATCCAAAATGCCATTTTCTTTCGATTCTGGAGGCTACAGATCACGGAATCAGGCCGAGGCTATTCTCCACCGATAATGAAGTATATTGATCCTATTCTCCACGGATGATAATTCCGTTAAGCATCGATTTGGGCAAATTTATTTTCGAATGGCATTTTCGTAATTTCTTGGGCGACGAAAGGCCATTTTCTTTGGATGTTGACGGCTACAGATCACGAATTCGGCCTGAGGCTATTCTCCAACGATGATTGAGTCTATTAAGCACTGATTTGGGCGGATTTATTCCGGGTCAATTTTTGGCAGATTCAAAAGGGGTACCATCACAGATTTCGGGAAATTTATCCGAAATGCCATTTTCTTTCGATTCTGGAGGCTACTGATCACGGAATCAGGCCGAGGCTATTCTCCACAGATAATGAAGTCTATTGATCCTATTCTCCACGAATGATAAGTCCGTTAAGCATCGATTTGGGCCAATTTATTTTTGAATGACATTTTCGTAATTTCTTGTGCGACGAAAGACCATTTTCTTTGGATATTGAAGGCTACAGATCACGGATTCGGCCTGAGGCTATTCTCCAACGATGATTGTGTCGATTAAGCACCGATTTGGGCCGATTTATTCCGGGTCAATTTTTGGCATATTCCAAAGGGGTACTATCAAAGATTTCGGGCGTTTTATCCGAAATGCCATTTTCTTTCGATTCTGGAAGCTACAGATCATGGAATCAGGCCGAGGCTATTCTCCACCGATAATGAAGTCTATTGATCCTATTCTCCATGGATGATAAGTCCGTTAAGCATCGATTTGGGCCAATTTATTTTCGAATGGCATTTTCGTAATTTCTTGGGCGACGAAAGGCCATTTTCTTTGGATGTTGAAGGCTACAGATCACGAATTCGGCCTGAGGCTATTCTCCAACGATGATTGAGTCCATTAAGCACTGATTTGGGCGGAATTATTCCGGGTCAATTTTTGGCAGATTCCAAAGGGGTACCATCACATATTTCGGGCGATTTATCCAAAATGCCATTTTCTTTCGATTCTGGAGGCTACAGATCACGGAATCAGGCCGAGGCTATTCTCCACCAATAATGAAGTCTATTGATCCTATTCTCCACGGATGATAAATACGTTAAGCATCGATTTGGGCCAATTTATTTTCAAATGGGATTTTCGTAATTTCTTGGGCGACGAAAGGCCATTTTCTTTGGATATTGAAGGCTACAGATCACGGATTCGGCCAGAGGCTATTCTCCAACGATGATTGAGTCCATTAAGCACCGATTTGGTCGGATTTATTCCAGGTCTATTTTTTGCGGATTCCAAAGGGGTACCATCACAGATTTCGGGCGATTTATCCGAAATGCCATTTTCTTTCGTTTCCTGAGGCTACAGATCACGGAGTCATGCCGAGGCTATTCTCCACCGATAATGAAGTCTATTGATCCTATTCTCCATGGATGATAAGTCCGTTAAGCATCGATTTGGGCCATTCTATTTTTGAATGACATTTTCGTAATTTCTTGGGCGACGAAAAGCCATTTTCTTTGGATATTGAAGGCTACAGATCACGGATTCGGCCTGAGGTTATTCTCCCACGATGATTGAGTCCATTAAGCACCAATTTGGGCAGATTTATTCCAGGTCAATTTTTGGCATATTCCAAAGGGGTACCATCAAAGATTTCGGGCGGTTTTATCTGAAATGCCATTTTCTTTCAATTCTGGAAGCTACAGATCATGGAATCATGCCGAGGCTATACTCCACCGATAATGAAGTCTATTGATCCTATTCTCCACGGATGATAAGTCCGTTAAGCATCGATTTGGGCCAATTTATTTTAGAATGGCATTTTCGTAATTTCTTGGGCGACGAAAGACCATTTTCTTTGGATATTGAAGGCTACAGATCACGGATTCGGCCTGAGGCTATTCTGCATCGATGATTGAGTCGATTAAGCACCGATTTGGGCTGATTTATTCCGGGTCAATTTTTGGCAAATTCCAAAGGGGTACAATCACAAATTTCGGGTGATTTATCCGAAATGCCATTTTCTTTCGATTCTGGAGGCTACAGATCACGAAATCAGGCCGAGGCTATTCTCCACCGATAATGAAGTCTATTGATCCTATTCTCCACGGTGGATAAGTCCGTTCAGCATGGATTTGGGCCAATTTATTTTCGAATGACATTTTCGTAATTTCTTGGGCGACGAAAGGCCATTTTCTTTGGATGTTGAAGGCTACAGATCACGGATTCGGCATGAGGCTATTCTCCAACGATGATTGAGTCCATTAAGCACTGATTTGAGAGGATTTATTCCGGTTCGATTTTTGGCAGATTCCAAAGGGGTACCATCACAGATTTCGGGCGATTTATCCGAAATGCCATTTTCTTTCGATTCTGGAGGCTACAGATCACGGAATCAGGCCTAGGCTATTCTCCACCGATAATGAAGTCTATCGATCCTATTCTCCACGGATGATAATTCCGTTAAGCATCGATTTGGGCAAATTTATTTTCGAATGGCATTTTCGTAATTTCTTGGGCGACGAAAGGTTATTTTCTTTGGATGTTGAAGGCTACAGATCACGAATTCGGCCTGAGGCTATTCTCCAACGATGATTGAGTCTATTAAGCACTGATTTGGGCGGATTTACTCCGGGTCAATTTTTGGCAGATTCCAAAGGGGTACCATCACAGATTTCGGGCCATTTATCCGAAATGCCATTTTCTTTCGATTCTGGCGGCTACAGATCACGAAATCAGGCCAAGGCTATTCTCCACAGATAATGAAGTCTATTGATCCTATTCTCCACGAATGATAAGTCCGTTAAGCATCGATTTGGGCCAATTTATTTTCGAATGGCATTTTCGTAATTTCTTGGGCGACGAAAGACCATTTTCTTTGGATATTGAAGGCTACAGATCACGGATTCGGCCTGAGGCTATTCTCCTACGATGATTGAGTCGATTAAGCACCGATTTGGGCCGATTTATTCCGGGTCAATTTTTGGCATATTCCAAAGGGGTACCATCACAGATTTCGGGCGATTTATCCGAAATGCCATTTTCTTTCGATTCTGGAGGCTACAGATCACGGAATCAGGCCGAGGCTATTCTCCACCGATAATGAAGTCTATTGATCCTATTCTCCATGGATGATAATTCCGTTAAGCATCGATTTGGGCAAATTTATTTTCGAATGACATTTTCGTAATTTCTTGGGCGACGAAAGGCCATTTTCTTTGGATATTGAAGGCTACAGATCACGGATTCGGCCTTAGGTTATTCTCCAACGATGATTGAGTCCATTAACCACCGATTTGGGAGGATTTATTCTGGGTTAATTTTTGGCAGAATCCAAAGGGGTACCATCACAGATTTTAGGCGATTTATTCGAAATGCCATTTTCTTTCTATTCTGGAGGCTACAGATCACGAAATCAGGCCGAGGCTATTCTCCACCGATAATGAAGTCTATTGATCCTATTCTCCACGGATGATAAGTCCGTTAAGCATCGATTTTGGCCAATTTATTTTCGAATGGCATTTTCGTAATTTCTTGGACGACAAAAGGCCATTTTCTTTGGATATTGAAGGCTACATATCACGGATTCGGCCTGAGGCTATTCTCTAACGATGATTGAGTCCATCAAGCACTGATTTGGTCGGATTTATTCAGTGTCAATTTTTGGCAGATTCCAAAGGGGTACCATCACAGATTTCGGGCGATTTATCCGAAATGCCATTTTCTTTCGATTCTGGAGGCTACAGATCACGGAATCAGGCCGAGGCTATTCTCCACCGATAATGAAGTCTATTGATCCTATTCTCAACGGATGATAAGTCCGTTAAGCATCGATTTGGGCAAATTTATTTTTGAATGACATTTTCGTAATTTCTTGGACGACGAAAGGCCATTTTCTTTGGATATTGAAGGCTACAGATCACGGATTCGGCCTGAGGTTATTCTCCAACGATGATTGAGTCCATTAAGCACCGATTTGGGATGATTTATTCTGGGTTAATTTTTGGCAGATTCCAAAGGGGTACCATCACAGATTTTAGGCGATTTATTCGAAATGCCATTTTCTTTCTATTCTGTAGGCTACAGATCACGAAATCAGGCCGAGGCTATTCTCCACCGATAATGAAGTCTATTGATCCTATTCTCCACGGATGATAAGTCCGTTAAGCATCGATTTTGGCCAATTTATTTTCGAATGGCATTTTCGTAATTTCTTGGCCGACGAAAGGCCATTTTCTTTGGATATTGAAGGCTACAGATCACGGATTCGGCCTGAGGCTATTCTCCATCGATGATTGAGTCCATTAAGCACCGATTTGGGCGGATTTATTCCGGGTCAATTTTTGGCAGATTCCAAAGGGGTACCATCACAGATTTCGGGCGATTTATCCGAAATGCCATTTTCTTTCGATCCTGGAGGCTAGAGATCACAGAATCAGGCCGAGGCTATTCTCCATCGATAATGAAGTCTATTGATCGTATTCTCCATGGATGATAAGTCCGTTAAGCATCGATTTGGGCCAATTTATTTTCGAATGGCATTTTCGTAATTTCTTTGCCGACGAAAGGCCAATTTCTTTGGATATTGAAGGCTATAGATCACGGATTCGGCCTGAGGCTATTCTCCAACGATGATTGAGTCCATTAAGCACCGATTTTGGCGGATTTATTCCGGGTCCATTTTTGGCAGATTCCAAAGGGGTACCATCATAGATTTCGGGCGATTTATCCGAAATGCCATTTTCTTTCGATTCTGGAAGCTACAGATCGCGGAATCCGGTCGAGGCTATTATCCACCGATAATGAAGTCTATTGATCCTATTCTCCACGGATGATAAGTCCGTTAAGCATCGATTTGGGCCAATTTATTTTCGAATGGCATTTTCGTAATTTCTTGGGCGACGAAAGACGATTTTCTTTGGATATTGAAGGCTACAGATCACGGATTCGTATTGAGGCTATTCTCCAACGATGATTGAGTCCATTAAGCACTGATTTGGGCGGATTTATTCCCGGTCAATTTTTGGCAGATTCCAAAGGGGTACCATCACAGATTTCGGGCGATTTATCCGAAATGACATTTTCTTTTGATTCTGGAGGCTACAGATCACGAAATCAGGCCGAGGCTATTCTCCACTGATAATGAAGTCTATTGATCCTATTCTCCACGGATGATAAGTCCGTTAAGCATCGATTTGGGCCAATTTATTTTCGAATGGTATTTTCGTAATTTCTTGGGCGACGAAAGGCCATTTTCTTTGGATATTGAAGGCTACAGATCACGAATTCGGCCTGAGGCTATTCTCCTACGATGATTGAGTCGATTAAGCACCGATTTGGGCCGATTTATTCCGGGTCAATTTTTGGCATATTCCAAAGGAGTACCATCAAAGATTTCGGGCGTTTTATCCGAAATGCCATTTTCTTTCGATTCTGGAAGCTACAGATCACGAAATCAGGCCGAGGCTATTCTCCACCGATAATGAAGTCTATTGATCCTATTCTCCACGGATGATAAGTCCGTTAAGCATCGATTTCGGCCAATTTATTTTCGAATGACATTTTCGTAATTTCTTGTGCGACGAAAGGCCATTTTCTTTGGATATTGAAGGCTACAGATCACGGATTCTGTCTGAGGCTATTCACCATCGATGAGTTAGTCCATTAAGCACCGATTTGGGCGGATTTATTCCGGTTCAATTTTTGGCAGATTCAAAAGGGGTACCATCACATATTTCGGGTGATTTATTCCAAAGGGGTACCATCATTTGTGATCAATAACCTTCAAAATCCAAGAAAAATAGGCATTCGAAAAGGTCACTCCAAATTTGTGATGGTACCCTTTTGGAATCTGCAAAAAAAAATGGACCTGAAAAAATCCACCCAAATCGGTGCTTAATTGACTTAATCAACAGTTGAGAATAGGTTCAGGTCGAATCCGTGATCTGTAGCTTTCAAAATACAATGAAAATGGTATTTCGAAAAAATGGTTTGTGATGGTACCCCTTTGAAATTTGGCAAAAATAAACTGGGAAAAAATCCTCCTAAATTGGGGTTTAATTGACTTAATCATCGGTGGATAATAGCCTGAGGCCGAATTCGTGATCAGTAGTCTTCAAAATTCAAGGAAAATGATCTTTCGATAAAATCGCCCGAAATCGGTGATGGTACCTCACTCTTTGGTCTATAGGTTCGATCCATAACTAGTATGAAAGCAAAGGAAACTCGAGGTTCAAAATTTGACGCACTTCGTTGGATTCAGTTCCATCTAAATGTTCGTTACAACATATCATAAATCAACTGGTTTTAATAACTCGAGTAGTTGAGAGAGCTCCCTGCATGTATAGATATTGGGGGGTTGTGCGGTTAGGGACTACCGCTTGACTGTAATGTTGAAGGTTGTGCGGTTAGGGACTATACCTTGTACACAAGCCGACTATACCATGTAATTGAATAAACTATTAATATTGGGGGGTGTGCGGTTAGGGACTACCGCTTGACCGTACTGTTGAAGGTTCGATAGTTGAAAAAGACAAAAGACGGATGTGCCTTCTGGCCTTCGTTGATGGAATAGAAGTAGTTGTGTTCTACTGCCCTAAGATTGTTTTCAGTGACATCACAATGGCTTGATGAGGAATTACCCGATACGATGTTGGACTTGCCTAGCTGTAAGAGTCTGTTCAGGGGGGCTACTTATCAATCAATGGAAAGATCTCCTCGCGTGGCATAATAAGGAATCCTAGAAAAGATCGTTTCAGATTCCTTCCCTTGCCCTCCGCAATTCGATCAACGGAAGGAAGAGCGAGGCTACTAGCAGTCTTTCTTATCTTTTTTTCTGGTTGCTCGTAACTTGATGAACACGAGACCTAATAGTCAAACCAGACTCTGATACTATACATAAACCAACTGAACCAATAATTTAAGTTGTTAGAGGATGATTATGCATAAATCTTATACTTACATCCTCACACATTATATTCCATCTTACCCCAGATGTTGATACAACCCAAATGTGAACTGAACCGAACCGTTACAAAGTCCTAACATCAACTTAACATTGAACACATAATTCAGGAGGCAGTAGCTATAAAAGGATCCCACTTAGCTCCTTAAATAGTTAGATTAATTTAATTACGAATATTTAATTATTTAAATTAATTTAATTACGAATATTTAATTATTTAGATATGATCATTGATCCACCTAATGGGAAAGAGAGAGATACGTTTGGTTCAACTCAAGAAATCAATTAACAATTCTTAAGTGGGATTTGGTTTGGATTCCTTCTTGTCCCCTTATTCTTCATTACGTCCTTTGTTTAGTGGTTATAAATTATAATTGGTTCTGCTTAATCCCTAATCTGGGATAAGTGAGAAATTAAGCTCTACCCTAGTTCGAGTACCAATGATTCCATTTAGAAAGTATGAAGCTATCATTCTCAACCTTTTTACCCAATAGGTTCTTGCTGGTGTACTACAATAGCCACACAAAATGTAGTTAAGATTTTGTTTAATTTCTTGGTCATTAAGGAATTCTTGTGGTTGGGGTTGGATTAGGAAATGGCAACTTTATGATTCCTTGGTCGAGGATTAATAGGGATTGGGTGACTAATCAAGATACGTGTAAATGAGAATATAATTAAGATGAACTATGTAATACAACTATATCAAAGAAGACTTATTATGCATTGAAACAACCCATAGTGCTCGGTCATGTGTGCTACCTTTTCCTATTCGAGTTATATGGATATCATCATGTTGACAATATTCAGTGTTATTGGCCGAATTATGTGCTCGATGGCGAATCAGATTGATTTGCGGTTCAGGAAAATTAAAAGTAAAATATACATGTTGTTCGGCTTAGTGTTGTATTGAACTTGACATTGTTCTTCTCGATCTCTTGTGAAATCGTTTTCTTTACTATGGTGCACCTTGCATATGGTGACTTATTTTTGCTAGTTAATTCATCAGCTTCGTATAATGCTATAGACGTTGGGTTTGAACATGAAGATTCTTGGTCCAGAGTCCAGACCTTGCTCTCACCATTGTGAAGCATATTATTCAAAAGAAATACTGACCAATGCTATTATGATTGAGCTGACAATAACAATAACAAGGTCTACCCTCGATGGAGATATCTCGTGATAGAAGAAATGAAGTTTAGGAAGCCAAAAACTCTAGACACGTCTACTTGTCATCATAGAACCATGAATTTGGAGGGTAAAATTACTGAAGATCTACTCAACAAAGATGGAGAAACTAAGGTAGTGGAAGAACGTATGAAAGATGAACAGAAGCTATAGGGAGAGCTACACAGGAAGCCTAAGCATATCCAAATTTGTCCTTGGCGTGTACGTTCGGGTGGTGGAATTAATTATGACCCATCCTATTCTCCTCCCTCAAGTGGGAACCACCCCAAATTACATGTAATTGCTTTCAAGTACACAAAATTTTATTTTTTTTCACAAAAAACTTAAAAAAAGTTTGAGAAGTTACAAGCCATTATTTCTTGCTTTTGTTGTTGGGAGCTAGGAAGGACCCATCAATGGAGAGTGGTTTAAAAGCTTTTTGTCAATGCATATATCTCCATTCCCTTTGGGCTAGGGTACCACCAAGAACAAAGGAGGGAGATGTTGTGATGAGATAGGATTAGGTTCATGCTTTGTTTCATATTTTTTGGTGCTACTCTCAACTTTCTTGGACAAGATTATAATATTGTAGATTTGGGTGTTTGTTTATTGCTATCTTTGATTTTTTTATTGTGGTAGTTGTCATGCTCTACCATGAAGTTTTGCTACAATTGGGAGGGCAAAAACTATTGGAGAGTGGGGTGTGGCAGGCAAAACTCAGGAAAGCATGCATTTTGGCTAGTGGAGAGGGCTTTCCTTATCATTAGGTTTCAATGTAATTGATTAATTGGTCCTACGACCCACAACAATCTTCATTATCATGATGAAAGTGGCTTGTGAGGTCAGCTTGAGAGAGAGAAAAGTCATTAAGTAATTGACTTAGGTTGAAGGGATAGAGTTAATCAAATTTGCATGCCTTTAATTGTGGGATACTAGATTTAAAGGTCACTTACTAGATAGAGATCATGATAATGGGTAGTGATTAGAGAAGGGGAGAATATCAATTTGCTTAATGTAATTGGTGAACCATGGCAAATGAGAATTCATGTTAGTGTACACCATAGATCCAGTGAGGCTAACGGCTGACAATATGAAAGAAACTGTTAGTGCATAACTTTTTTACGAGTGAAGTTTGATTTCGTGACATCCTATTTCTTTTCTCCCATTTGTTTTACAGGTAACTACGTGTATGTGTAAGAACGAATGATGGGCATGTAATGAGTAAACCCAAATTCCAACTTGTATTTAGGTATGAGCTGTTGGAATAATGTCGAGTAGGTTCAGTTTACTTAAACACGTACAACATAAGCCCATTTAGGGAAAACCTTATATAGATCCACGAGTGATCCCCAAGATAAGAAAACCCAGATCACGATCAAATTCTTACTCTCGTTACACGTGACAAGATCCACATTCTCCTTTTTTATGACCGGCTAAATTTAAAATGAAAGTTGTTTTGGAATGAATGAGTATGAGACTCTTAAGTCTCTAGATAACTCTTTCTAGCTACAACTGATGTTGAATGATCTAACAACCTAGCTAGCCTTCTCTTTTGTAAGTGGGCACGTTAGTAAGATAATTATACATCAACCATGCACATTCGACCTAACGATATTATGTTGTTAAGTTCACATGTTAATCGAGTCATCCATCCAACAAAGGCCCCAAGTAAAAAAGATAAAGCTGCCTGAAGACCGCTTGACCAGAAGAGTCCATTCTTCCTCTTCCAATTTCAATTTTCAACCAAAATTTATTTTACAAGACAGAAACACGACAATGAAATATGTTTGAAGAAAAAAGACAACAGAATGAATAATAATAATAGAAAACTGGTTGCGTTACAGCAAATTGTTCAATGCAGGGGGGAAAGAACAAAATTAAAAAGCCATGAAACAAACTGTTTTGTATATGGGTTAATCATCAAAATGGCCATGGAGCGGATAAGGACTGATGCGATACTTAGCACTCTAGTAAATTATGGGTTGTGTAGAAATAGGTTATCGATTTGTTCTTTTGCCTCAGATTTATTATTATTATTATTAGTGGATTTCATACAAGTCTCATACTTTCACCACTTAAAACTATGATGCGGGCAACAAAGTTTATATTTGAACTTCTCTTAATAACTTTAATTAATAGGATCATTAACCAGTTCTTAACATGATACTAGAACATATATATATATGAGTGGTCTTGTGTTCATATCTTCACGATTTTAAATAATAAAATATAATTTTTAATACAATAATGTATGATGAGTTTGTGCAATCTTTAAATTTATGAATTGATTTTTATTGGATAACATGAGTTATTACGATTACCTTATTCTTGACATTCTGGAAGAGGGTGGGGGGGGGGGGGGGGGGGGGGGGGGGGGGGGGGGGGGGGGGGGGAATGTGTAGGGTTTTGATGAAAGCACCCTAGTTTAGGTGCACCAAAGACATCAAAGGATTAAACTCCTCAGTCCTCAGCCAGGTTTTAAGTTCTTTGTGATATGCATTAGTGTGATGAAAAATTGACTATAATGGACAGGCCAGCCACTAGTGATTTGTTTTTTTTTTTTTGGTATTGGACAAAAACGTTCATTCATTCAGGTCCTTTTTAACAAAACTAATAGGGTGTGGTGTGTTTACAAAGGGATGAATTCAATTCAAATCTAAACTTTAAAGCTTAAGCCTCATATAACATTATTCAGCCTTTAGGGGGGAACTTAATTGACCCAAAGTTTTAGAATATCGTGTCTAATAGTCCATCCAACTATTTTTATGTCTTCATCTCAAAAGAGAGAAGCAAAGGAAAGAAAATGGTAGGGAAATGGAGAGACTATAGAGAGAGAGATGAAGGCCATAGACACCAAATGATGGGAAGTCTTTGGGGGAAACTTTATACTCTTGAAAGCAAGCAATTGATTCCTTCATTTTCAGTCTAAAACTAATATAATTCTTTGATTAGCTAGTGGGTATGATCCTAGGAAAATTTTATTAGTTTGGAGGAGGAGAAAGAATTATTGGTCCACATAAGTAATCCTTTATTCCTATAAGTATTAGCTTTCGTGTAAGTTTAAGGATATTACGTTCATGAATTTTTTGAATTTTTGAAAGACATTTTAATTGTTTCGAAAAGTTCGTTTGAAATGAAAATAAAAATGTTGCGAGCAAGATCAAGACTCAAAACTATACATTATCTACATGTATGTCAATTAGATTTACCAGACCCATGATCCATGTGGATTACCTTTCTCTCTTTTTAAAACCATATATGTACCATCTTTAAGTTTTGCAATGAAATTTGTAATATTTTCAAGTGAAGTTTCTTGTTTGACTTTGGATTGGTGCAAACAGATAGAGTGGTGCAATGCTACATGCATTTAACAAGGAAAATTAAATGAGTCTAGACATTATGATGTTTATTAGTGTTGTAGCATTAATTACGTATACAAATAGTTGATACCAATAACTAATTCTTTCCGATGCTTAGCTTGGTCATGAAATATTATCCATGACCATGATCAAAACACCCCAAATCTCATGGTTAAGCAACAAGGCGAGCAAGGAGCAACCATCATGCATATCACACTTTCGTTGAATCATAACTAGCTCAAGCAGAACTCGATAAGCTTTTGTTCATATATTGATCCTCAAATCAGAAGTAAAAAAAACAATATTTGTTTGTCCAGGGAGAACTGAATCTAATAATATCGACTCTCACGTAGAAAGGTCTGAAATGAAATCAAAAGACTTGTTTGATTTAGTCCGATCCAAACGGTCTGGTTTCGATTTTTTCATATTGTTTTCTTGTTGTTAAAACTCAAAATTTGACAAATTGAAACATAATAGAATCATTGCTTAATTAGATGTGATTCAATTCAAATGCAAGTTTCATGCACTACCTAAGAATCCTTGCCCACCCTTGTATACTTGCAACCCCAAAAAGGAAGATAATGGCCCCATCTCCATCTTCATCTCCCTCCCCAAGTCCCAACTTCTACAGCAAAACCACCATGACGACATAATTCCCCTTCAGAAAAACAAACAAAATATTGAGAGCAACAGAGCCAAAGCCACCACCTTTACTAATCCCCACTTCTCCTTCTCTCTATAAATACTCTCTCCCTATCTTCTTCCTCCCCAACACCATCTCCATTCCCCCTCCAAACCTCCAGTTCCTCCCAAAAATCGAAGAACCCACTAATCCAATCACACCCCACAACAATGGCAGCCGGAAGGGAACCCTTCAACATGTCGCCACGGCCAACAACATCCCACGAAACCACCGCCGGCATGGCAGCAGCAGAACGCTCCCCCTGGCATTCCCCTGTTCCTTACTTGTTCGGCGGATTGGCCGCCATGCTCGGACTGATCGCTTTCGCTCTCCTGATCCTCGCCTGCTCCTACTGGAAACTGTCAGGGTACTTGGAAAACGACGGCGAGAGAGATCTGGAGGCAGGGGAAGGCAGCGGGAAGGAAGGGGGCGAAGGTGGGGAGAAGAAAGCCAAGGAGTACGACGAGAAGTTCTTGGTTATCATGGCCGGACAGGTGAATCCCACTTACCTCGCCACTCAAGTCTCCAGCCGGTCGTTGTCTTTCGGCGACGGCGAGAAGGCTTGCTCGTGCGGTGAGAAAGAAGGGAAATTGGAAGGTGGGAAACAGGGGAGTGATGGTGAAGAAGAACATGTTGGAAACGACAGGGGAATTTCGCGTGACGCCGGTGAATCTTCTTCTTCGTCGTCGTTGGTGGCAGCTGCAACGGCGGCAGCGACGGATGAGGAGGAAACGGTAGCGCCGCATTGATTCGGTGGTTTAACTTCTCATTTCCTCTTCTTCCTCTGCTGCTGGGTGTGTTGAGGAAGGAAGAAAATTTTTGGGGCAGAGTGCTCTGTTTTTTCTTTCTCATGATAGAGAGATGGGACTCTGTTTTGTCTGTATATGATCTATAGATAGCAATTTTACTGTTTTACTGGTTCAACTTCTTATTTGTGGTTTCTTGGGGGAGGGTTTGGTTTTTGCGTTTCCCAGTCCGGGAAATGTAGATTCTACCAGAGATTTTGAAGAGAACAAATAATGCTTGATCTTAGAGTGTACAATCCGTGAGTTTATGATCCTCGTATAATAGATTTTGATATTGAAAGAGAACAAATAATGCTTGATCTTAGGGTGAGTCACGAATTGAAAGAGAAAGAAGTGTAATAGGTAAAGTTGGAAGCTTTTTTTTTTTTTTTTTTGCGGGGGAGGGAAATAGCAGAGTGGCGGAGGAAATTGTGGAAACGCCGGCAGCTGGTCCGGAGACCGGCGGTATGCGGCACGTGACACTCACGTGTTTGTACGTTTTCAGTCTTGTTTCAGCTTTGCGTTTGAGGTTTCATGCGACGGTTTGTAACCGCCACGAAAACAAAGATAGCCCATAATTTTTCTATCTTTCCCGGTGATTGTTTCTTTCTGAGTTTGTTTGAATGCATGTTGATCAAATGAAACGGTTCATACTTTTTTTTTTAATGAAAACGGTCCATACTTGAAACATTAACCCCATTTGGAATGTGGGTTTTTTTTTGTTATGTCATATGTTGAAGATCCGGGAGCATTTTCAGGTGCATTGACGAAAATTTGATTTCATTTAGAAACGATTTATGAGTTAAAAAACGTTAAAGGAAGTAGGAATCGGAGTAGTGTGGGTGGCAATTTCGATAAAATGCTCATGCCCCATATGTGACAACGTACTCTCATAGGACCGCACAATTGTGGGATTGTGAAATGACGCTCCATAGCTGTGACAAAATTGTCACTGAATTCATTCAGTGACTGAGAAGCTCCCATCACGTGATTCAACGATTGTGCACTCCCAGCTGTTAGCTTGTTCTCACATAACGAGTTGTAAGTATCATAATTGGGTCGGGTTGGATGAGATGTATTGGAATTTGGAAGTAGGCGCATGCTACTATATTGGTGGTCTACCAGAACATTAATCATTAGAACAACACAAGATTGGGATGGCATTTGTGGTTGCTTGGAGTGATGATTACAAGAACATCAATGGTACTGCAAGAAGATAAGAGGGAGCACGACTACTCTGAGTATAGTAATAAGACACAGCACTACTGAAGTCAGATAAAAAGCAAACAGATTATGCTGCAACAATTCCCTACAAGAAACAAAGATACTGTAGGCCTCATCAGCCAGCCATCGTTCTACTGACTTGTGAAACATAACATAACATAACAAATGGATCATCAGTACTTGATCAGTTTAGCTTAGGCAGCAGCAATTGAAGGAGGGGAAACTAGATTAAACTAGAGGTAGGTTTAGCTTATAACAAACTTGGCCAACGGGTATGGAGGAGAACTCCCCAATCCCATCGCTCTGCACCTCAACCAGAGAAGCCATCACCACGCTGCGAGCCATCTGGTTGGACATGACGACAGAACCCCCCTTGTAACTGCAAGTCCGCAGCGAGCGCACAATTGTGTCCAGCGAGCGCACATCATTATTGCTTTGATCATCTGTATTGCCTTCAACATTACAAATACGCACTTACATCACTTAAACTAATAAGTTCTAACTCTTGATCTTCCTCATCACCGCCCAACTTCAAATAATATAGCTCCGTTTGGACAATGGACAGTACAACCATGTTTGACATTTTATTCCTTCAGTTGATAAAAAAACAAAGAGAAGAAACTAGCTAGAACGGCAGATTGGCATCACTCCAATTGGCAAACAAGAGAAGTTTTCTTTGTAGCATATTGTTGATCTTGTTCAAAGTTGAAACAAAAATGAAGTTGTAAAAATGCAAATTTTTTAATGTTTTTTTTTTTTTGTCATTTCTGGTCACAAGAACATTGGTTTGGGGGAAGCCTATGAACATGATGAAACATTGTTTGTAGAAATGAGCACACAATAAATTATATTTATTTGAGTTTTGTGATGACGTAGTGGTAGTGGTTTTTTGTTGTTGCCTATAATTGTATAGGTTTAATGTCTTGTCATCAAGAAGATCGCCAGTGAAAGTTTTTAGTTTACAAAAATACGTACGATTATCATCTACATATTTTCATAAAAAATATAACATAATTATCTGCTGATTGTTAAAAAGCGAGTTGTCATCGGTACGTATTCTTAGTGTCATAAACGTCCCCATATCAATAGAAGACTTAAACTTCAAAATTTTATGATAAGATGAAGTCAATCGTTTCAACCACATCGTTGTCTACAACTTGAAATCTATAATACCAAATCGAGTGATCGATAATTATAGATTACACGTCTTTTAATTAATTTGTAATTAATGTTTGAAGGGAATCAAAATTATTTTAGAGGAACCCTAACCTGAAAGAACACTTATATTCTTTCACTTGGAATTGATATGTGTACCATTTATACAACCCCTCAATTTCTTTTTTGTTGTTAATTAATACCAATTGATTATCTTTAATCCAAAAGCTCGAGTACAAAAAATTATTATAATATCGTATATGCCGTCAAACACAAGGCAGCCGGCCGGCCCAAGGCGGCAAAGCCAATTGGGCGACGGTGGCACGAATTATATGTTTTTTATTTATTGTCTTTGATGTTCGGTTTAAAAACAAGAACCTTTAGCATAATTACCTTCCAATCTGCCAATCTCTCTTATCAAATGCCCTTTGCAAATCCTCCCTTCTAATCTCTTTCCTCCTCAGCCGCCATGGGAGGAGCAGGCTCTAGCTGCTGCGCCGGAAACTCGGTCGACGGAAGGTAACGTAATGATTGATTCCCTTCTATCTTCTATCACTAGCTAGTTTTTGGGTTGAAATGTTAATTAAAGTTGTTTTGGTGGCCGCAGATCAATGAAGGGAGCGGCCGCCGCCGCCGCCGTGTCGGCGAGCAACACCTCGTGGCGGATCTTCACATACAAAGAGCTCCACGTGGCCACCAATGGGTTTAGCGAGGACAACAAGTTGGGAGAAGGCGGGTTTGGGAGCGTCTATTGGGGCAAGACCAATGACGGACTTCAGGTGAATTAGCTAACACACATCGTGTTAGTCAATCACGTACCGTTAAATTTTTCGATTGATTAATTTTGTTATGTTATGGATGGTGTTAGATTGCGGTGAAGAAGTTGAAGGCGATGAACTCGAAGGCGGAGATGGAGTTCGCGGTGGAAGTGGAAGTACTTGGAAGGGTGCGACACAAGAATTTGTTGGGGCTTAGAGGGTATTGTGCCGGCACCGATCAACGGCTCATAGTTTATGATTACATGCCGAATCTCAGCCTCCTGTCTCACCTCCACGGCCAATTCGCCGGCGAGGTTCAGCTAGACTGGAAGCGCCGGATGAAGGTCGCCATCGGCTCCGGCGAAGGCCTTCTGTAAGTGAAACCCCCCTCTTCACCTAGTTTTCCCTCTTAGTAAATGATATATGTTTCCAAAACTAAACTTATATCGATAACTCGAGTTATCTTAGATTATCGGATACTTGATATGATTTACAATATTTGATGACCAAAAGAGCTTGTGTTCAAATTCCGATAACCCTTAAGTAGGGGTGGCTATACGGTCCGGTCCGGTTAAATTGGCCCAAATTGATCCGGTCCAGTCCGGTCTTTTTGAAAATATAAGGACCGAAGATTGGATTGGATACAGTCCGGTCTTGATCCGGTCCGGTTTTGATCCGGTCCGGTCCCAATTCGGTCTTGATTTTGCATTGAGATTGTGGGATTTGAGTGGCCTAAGGGCCTTAAAGGGTGAGGAGTTGGTTAAGTTTTGTACTAAGTGCAAAGGTTTGTGACCGTTTATGCAAATTACCCTTAAGTTTTGGGTGTTGAGCTCTCTTATCCGGTTTTTTACCTCAAATCTAAGCCCAAAGATTGGATTGGATTGTTTACTATCCGGTTCCGGTCCGGTCTCGGTCCGGGTTATACGGTCCGGTTTCCGATTTTTAATCCGGTCCCGGTCCAAATAGCCACCCCTACCCTTAAGCACGCGTGGAATTCAGATTTGTGCAACTCTTTAGACCCATATGAGTTGGTTTTAGTTTGAGTGATATGTGTTAGTAAATGGTATAAGATCCATAACTGAACTTCTCACAATAACTCGAGTTATTGGAACCAACTGGTTCTTGACAAGCCTACTATAATAACTCTAATACGAATATGAAAATCACTTAATTTCTACGATTCTAATAAGAAATGCAAATATGTCAAATTACATAACAACACTCCCAGTATAACATAATACTACTCGTATAACTAGAGGTGGCAAATGGATTGGATTGGTGGATTGATGGATTGGATTGGTGGATCCATTGATCAAATGGATTGGATCTAATGGATTGGTGGATTCATGGATTGGATCAAGTGGATTGGTGGATTATCCATGAATCCAAATGACATCCTCAACCAAGGACCAATATGTAAAATGTAAAAAGTTTAGGTACTAAAATGTCATAATGAAAAATTTTAGGTACCAAAACGTAATTTTCCAATGATATTTTTTGTATAAAAAATTACATTTTAGGTACCAAAATGTAAAAAATAAAAATTATAGGTACTAAATCGTAATTTGCCAATGATCCATGGATCCAATCCATGAATCCACTAATCCAATTGGATTTGGATTAAATGGATTGGATTTAAATGGATTGGATTAGGTGGATATTTTTAATGGATTGATGGATTGGATTGGTGGATTGGATTGAAATTGCCACCTCTACGTATAACTCATATACTTAACAAATCGTTCTTGTCAGGTACTTGCACCATGAGGCGACGCCCCACATCATCCACCGCGACATAAAGGCAAGCAACGTCCTGCTCGACTCGAACTTCGACCCATTGGTGGCCGACTTCGGGTTCGCGAAACTGATCCCCGACGGAGTCAGCCACATGACAACACGCGTCAAGGGCACTCTGGGCTACCTGGCCCCCGAGTACGCCATGTGGGGAAAGGTCTCGGAGAGTTGTGACGTGTACAGCTTTGGGATCCTCCTCCTCGAGCTCGTCACGGGCCGGAAGCCCATTGAGAAGTTGCCCGGCGGGATCAAGCGGACCATAACCGAGTGGGCCGAGCCGTTCATAGTCCAGGGAAAGTTCAGGGACCTGGTGGATCCAAAACTTAGGGGAAACTTTGACGAGAACCAAGTCAAGCAGGCTGTGTATGTAGCTGCCTTGTGCGTACAGAACGAGCCCGAGAAGAGGCCCAACATGAAGGAAGTGGTCAACATGTTGAAGAATTACGACCCGAGAACCCGACCGCTCCAGACCCGGTTGGCGAGCATTAAGTACAGAGAGGATTTGATGGCGATGGAGCAGAGCGATGACGAGGAGGAAGATAAGAATCGTGGTGGCGGAGGAGGGAATCGTGCCGGCGGAGGTGGTAGAGGAGGAGGGAATAACGGTGGTGGAGGCGGGTTGCCGGAAGAAAGCGGGTATGGTGTATTTAGTGCGTTGGAGTTGCCGAAAATGCAAGATCCTTATAAACGACACGGAAATAATAATCGAACTGGAAGATTCGGGTGATAGCAAAATACATTTACATTTGTGAGACACAATTTAGAAGGTAAAGACTAGTTTGCTTCATTCTTAACCGAAGGTGTTTAAAAAGTTTGATTCCTCCTTTCAGACACATTATCGTATTGAGTTACTTCAGGAGTTTCAGGAGGCAGGCAATGAACCGACAGTCAATAGGGAGAAGAACAAGAAGAGAGTTTGTTGGTTGAATTTGGGTGTAAAACATTGCCTCCTTTCAGTTAAAATATTTGTTGATAGGAAAACAAATTTATTATTCATATATCATTATGAAATTATTTAGGATATTTTTTTTTTATTTTTCTTTGGGTCAAAATTGTTACACAAATAATTAGTTCTGGTTTGTCAATTATTTATATATAAATACACACTAGGAGTGATACATAATTATATGATCATCTATAATCCTAATGTATCATTATTTCAATTCTTTGTATACTTTTTGGGTCTTTCAATATTTTGCTCATGAATTTGAAGTTGCAGTCAACTACTTATTTTATTTGAGTAAATTAATAGATTTCTCTTGGTTATTACTTAGGCTTATTCGTCAATCACATTAGTACAGATTGACAATGAACACTTTAACCATTATAATTCTCTATATTATGCATTTCTTATAAAAAAAACAAATACTTCATTTCTTTTTGTTCTATCGTCTTCTCCCTTATTATGAAGGCTCATAAAGTGTACTTTTTTTATCAATTTAAAGCCGGCCGTACAAATATGCTACTATAGGCTTCCAAATGGACGTTATATTAATTACCAAAACAATCACAACGAGACACAAAATAAGTCACCAATTATGAAAGCCTAAAGGCAACAACTAATTAGTAACTAAACAAAGCATGGTCAACTTAATCTTATTAATTAATCTAAGTACAACAAGCACCAATTATTTGAAATATCACTTGAATACAATCCTTTATTATCGATACAATAATCATCATACATTATTTTACATGGCATGACAGTCACCCAATGAAAAATAGACAATCTGATCGACTAAACGTAACTGAGACCAACGAAACGAATATTTGATAAACTCACTCATATTGGTTGATCCAAACATTCGCTCCAAAGCCATGATTCTCAAGAATGACTCTATACGGTTCAAACCAATAGGTTCATTATCTAACATTTATGGGCATCCACGATCCAATTTTAGGGCATCAATATGCTTAAGTAAAAACAAAGTGTAGCATTTAATTTAATGTGTGTTAGTTAAGAGCTAGTAACATGTATTTGATTACATTAGTTGGTCAAGAAAAAAGCCAACTATTTGCATACTTTCCATTTTTATATAGAATGTACCCTTGTCTTCAACTTGAAGGAGAAGATAAGTACTGAAGTTTTCTTGTTAGGTGCATGATTAGTTCTTCCTACAATACGTTATACCACATAAATCACATATAAATGATAGATTGAAATCACGTTTGGTGTGAATTTTATGCTACACCTCCTCTTGAAGAAAGGATAATCCATCGATTAGTTTGAACTTTGTATGAATTTATTATGACTCACTTTTATATTGCTAAAATAATATAAAATTGTGAGGATTCGAAAATGAAACTTTTGGTCAATTCATTAAATATTATGTTGGTAGGTAGTTTATTCTAATAATGTATGTTGTTAAAGAAAGTCGAAGTTTTCATAATGTATCTTCCTCTTACCTCTCAAACAAAAACTAGTATGCTAGATGTGAAGTCGACAACTCAATATATCGTCAATGCTAACAATCAACATTCATGTTATCAAATTTCTGAAACAAAATACTACGTACAATGTAAGTCACTCCAATAACTCGAGTTTTCCAGAAAACTTTTCCCCACCGGCCACCCGTACTAAACTGGTTTTGGTCCATGTGTGGGTTCGCACACATCACTTTCGAATTTAAGATCTCATTAGTCTCGAGTGATGGGAAAGAACAAAGAAGATGGGGAAAACTAAAGCCAAAAAGGGCTCTAGCTTGTTGTGAAGGTTATAGCCAATTTCATGATAACAAGGGCATAGTACTATAGCCCCACACCACACCCTTGTTTCATTGGCCAAATGCATGCCTCTTCCTTACCAACTCAAATCACCAATCTTTGCTTATACCCCAAAGCATCCAAACTGCAACAACTTCCCTTTAGGCCCTCTCCTATCTTTCTTCAATATAGATGACTTGGATTCCTTGTGATTCAAGAAAGGTGATGGGAATCATTGAAATGAATAGATTAGAGTATTCTTGTTATCAGAGAGTCTCTAGCTTTCTCACTCTTACTCCTCTACTCACCAGTTAATCATTATGTCATTACCCCCCACAACCCATATAAGCCTTCTCTTTAAACCAAACCCAGCAAAATAACAGAAACAACTGTACACCCATTTCAAAAACCCACCAGAAAGTTCTCAACTTTGGTTGCAGAGCTATGATCCCTTCATCTCCTTCCAAGATACTAATTGGGATCCCACTGGACCCAGAGGAAAGCAATGAGCTTCTCTCTTGGGCCATTCGAGTTCTTGCTAGCCCTTGTGACACCATTGTTGCCATCAATGTGGTTGGTAAGTCACTAACTCAGAACAAATGCAAAGACAATATTTTGTTCTGGATTTGTTTCACTTTCCATTCTGACCATTCTGGGTTTTCTTTGCAAACAGTTGATGAGGAGCAGCCAAAGAAGAAGAAGGCTAAGAAGGGAAGTAGTGGTAGTAAGAGGGTGCAGTCCCGGGTTCGACAAGCGAAAACTCATGTGATTTCTGTGCTTGGAGAGTATGCTTGGTGTTGCCAATCCAAGCAGATAAACTTGGAGGCAAAAGTTGGATTCGGATCGAGCATTGAAGCTGGTCTGGTTCATGAGTCGAACTCGATTTCTGCTGACTACCTTGTTCTTCCTGGCTTGAGAAGCAGGTCCAACAGGTTTGGAAGAAAAAAAGTTCACAACTTTGCATTGTTAATGTTGTTGAAATGTCATGTTCTGATATGGGTTATGGTTATTTGAATTGGTTTGCCTTGAAATTAGGACTTGGCATGAGGTCATCAAGTATTGTTTTGAGCATGCTGCTGAGGGGTGCTCAGTCATCTCAATTGGGAAGTCTCAACAACCAAATCTCAACTCTGCTCTCCTCAAAGGTTTGACTTGCTTACTTCTTTACTTCCATGTTTAATTTTCCTTGAAAAGACACAAACTTTAGAAAAACATGTTCATTTTGGTTATGTTATGCAGAAGTCCATCAATCAAGGTCAGAGTGGTTAAGGAAGGCAAATGATGACAGCAGCAGTCAAGGCTCCCCAGCCAGTGAAGATCATGATAAGGAGAATCTCACTACGAGACAGAATGATTCTCCTAGGACGGTGTTGGAAGGGGAATCATCATATTCATCTCACAGCAGCAGTAATGAAGATGAGGTTTCCAGCATCTCAGGTTCAACAGCTACAACAGGAACAGAAGATCTCCCTTCCAAGTTGATTCACAGCTCAAAGTCAAGAAGGCAAATAATGTCTCCTTATACGGCCATCAGCTCATTCTTGACTTCATCTTTCAGAAGAAGAAGAACTCAAAGCTTCTCTGGCAAACCTAAGCTAGTTCTACAACATCAACATCAGCAGCCTTTGCTCAAATGCTTTACATACGAGGAAATCGCACAAGCCACCAGCGATTTCCATCCAGGTAAAAACATGCTTGATTTTGGTTCATTGCATTTCTGTAGCTAAAAAGAAATATGCATTTGAGATGGCATCATTTCTAGAAGTACATCGGAAGTGTACATGAATGATACATTTGTCGAATCACGTGTCATAATCTGTATGTTCTTATGTTGCATAAGAGTGTGTGACAAATTTTGCAGGGAATCTAGTAGGAGTAGGAGGGTACTCAGAAGTGTATAGAGGAGATCTTCCTGATGGAACAACCATTGCAGTGAAAAGGTTAGCTAAGGACAACACAGATGCTAGAAAGGAGAAAGAGTTCCTCACAGAATTAGGGATCATAGGCCATATCTGCCATCCCAATACAGCAACTCTAGTTGGCTGCTGCATTGAAAATGGGTTCTACCTCATCTTAAGCTTCTCTCAGAATGGGAATTTGGCCTCTGCATTGCATGGTAATAACATCACTTTGCTTCTCATAGCACCAAAATGTTAACTTTAACTTAATTAAGCCACAAGATAAAAAAGTTTAACATCTTTTTGGGGCTCAATAATTTTTTTAGGCAAAACAGAAGAGGTGCTTGAATGGGATACAAGGTACAGAATAGCTCTTGGAGTTGCAAGAGGACTGCATTACTTACACAAATGCTGCAAGCATCGCATAATACACCGCGACATCAAGGCCTCCAACGTTCTCCTTGGACCTGACTATGAACCTCAGGTAACTTTAGTTTAAGTAACCATTTCTTCAATTTTGTTTCATTCTGATGAAGAGAGGGTTTCAACGAGTTATGTGTTTTTGCAGATAACTGATTTTGGGCTGGCAAAATGGCTTCCAAACAAGTGGACACACCATGCTGTGATCCCAATTGAGGGAACATTTGGTTACTTAGCTCCAGAGTACTTCATGCATGGGATTGTGGATGAGAAGACAGATGTCTACTCCTTTGGAATTCTGCTGCTAGAGATCATCTCTGGGAGAAGGCCTGTTGATTCCTCTATGCAGAACCTTCTCTTATGGGTGTGTATGATTCAAGGAAATGTTTATTAGAACAATATGGTACATGAACTTCATGAACCTCTTTCTAATGTTGCTTTATATTTCTTGCTAAAAAAACCAGGCAAAGCCACTGATGGAATCTGGGAATGTAGCTGAACTGGCTGACCCAAAACTGGAGGGCAAGTATGAAGCAGACCAAATGTACAGAGTTGTGCTAACAGCTTCATACTGTGTTAGGCAGTCTGCAGCATGGCGACCATCAATGAGTGAGGTCTTGGAGCTTTTGACCACTGGCCAACAAGATTCTGAAGTTGCCAAGAGCAGGAGAATACCGAAGTTTACATCTGATGAATTGGATGATTTCTCCATGGTTTATGGATATGATGTCCCTCTAGAGATTGACTTGGAGGAGTATTTGTGAGCAAAAATAGAAAAGCATTCAGCTTTCAGAAAATTTTTGTAGTTTTCTTCTAACTTATGCATACATACATTGACCTAGGGACAAACCTCGATCTAATCCGCATCAGACTGAATCATATTAAGTTCACATTTGGATCGAGTCCAATAAGATGAAGTATATTTTTGAAAATGGTCTAGTACGATTCATCATCGTTGTAGTTCAATTTGGACCGAATCGGACCATGTCTAGCCCTACATATTTTACTTGGATCATAACATTTGTATCATTGATTAAATTTAATGAAAGTACAAGGGAGGGAGGGAGCTACTAGTAATTTTCTTAATACCCTCTTTACTTTTCCCCCTAATATAATACATAGTGATGCACTTAGATGTTATCTAGCTCCCCTAAATAAGATAAAGAAAAGAATCGACAAATTTATTTACTATACACATTTCTATATATCCATAAGGTGGAGGCTTTCCTTGTGTCCAATTAGAGAAAGAACAGTGGCTGCAATGTGCTTTGAGCTCAATCCAGCAGCTTCAATCTGGTCCTTCTGAGATCCATGGTCAATGTACCTGTCAGGAAGCATCATTGGTCTCCACTGCAAAACAAAACAAAAAAGAACATTAGAACTCCGAAAAATCGCGAATCAACTCGATTGACTCGTGATCTGATCGACCCAAAATTCGGTGTTTTACCTTGAGCTTGCCATCAAGCAATCCATTGAGCCCCAAGTAATGGGAGACATGAGAGCTGAACCCACCAATGGAACCTTCCTCAACTGTGATCAGAACTTCATGCTCCTGGGCCAGCCTTCTGATCAGCTCTCCATCAAGTGGCTTGCAGAACCTTGCATCAGCCACAGTTGGCTGGAACCCCAAAGCTTGAAGCTTGTCTGCTGCTTCAATGCAGTTCTGCACTATTGTTCCATACCCCAATATAGCCACTCTACTTCCTTCCCTCAGAATTCTTCCCTTCCCAACCTGTGAAGGACAAAAAAAGCACCAAAATTAGTATCCAGGATCATATAGAGCAGAATCAAATGCTAAACCTTCGTCGAAACGAAGGTTAAAACACCCTGGTAGACAGTCTAATTTACCTCAAGAGGTGTTCCTTTGTTGTTCAGTGGGAGAACAGTGCCAATGCCATTCCCTCTTGGGTACCTAAAGCAACTGGGACGATCGTCGATGGCTGCAGCTGTGGCAACCATGTTCATGAGCTCTGTCTCATCTGAAGGAGCCATGACCACCATGTTTGGCAAACAAGCCATGAAAGTTGTGTCAAAAGCTCCACAATGTGTTGGCCCATCTGCTCCCACAAGGCCAGCTCTATCCATTGCAAACCTCACAGGCAGCTTCTGAAGGTCCACATCATGAACAACCTGATCATAACCCCTTTGCAGGAAAGATGAGTAGATGGTGCAGAAAGGCTTCAGCCCTTCTGTGGCCAAACCAGCAGCAAATGTCACAGCATGCTGCTCAGCTATCCCAACATCAAAACACCTCTCAGGGAACTGCTTCTGGAACAAGTTGAGCCCAGTCCCTCCTCCCATGGCAGCATGGATTGCCACAATCTTGTCGTCGTTCGCAGCTTCAGCTATCAAAGACTCAGCAAAGTACTGAGTGTATGACTTTGTGGGTGTCTTGGTCTTGATTTGCTTCCCAGAGATTGTATCAAACTTCACCACACCTGTGAAAAATCATAACAAGTTTCAGTTACTTCTGCTTAAAGTCACTAACGTCTAACACAACAACTACTCGAGTTATTGGGACGCTAACTGATTTACGAGTTATCGCGATTTATTTTACATACCATGCATCTTATCAGCAGCAGATTCAGCTGGAGCATAGCCTTTCCCCTTCTCAGTGATGAGATGGATGAGGACAGGTCCAGGAGCTGGCATGGACTTGATCTTCTTCAACAAGAGGACAAGATCTGCCACATCATGCCCATCAACTGGGCCAATGTAATAAAGCCCAAGCTCCTCGAACAGGCTTGCCCCTGGCCCACCTGTCATCCCTCTCACGTAGGAATCCACTTTCGCTGCCAGCCCATATGCCTTCGGCCCAGCAATCTGCTTCGTGATCTCCTGCAAAACCATCCAATTTACCTCCATTCAAATCTCTAAATTTTGAATCTTGCCATTTTGGTAACTAAAATCGCGATTTAAAGTTTAAAACTTTATATTTTTAGAATCATATTTTTTCTAACAAAGCTTAAAAGTTTCTAAATCACCAAAATACTTGTACATAGAAATCGCACTTTTAACTGAATTGATTACGGCGATGACTCACCTTGGCAGACTCCCTCAGCATGCGAAGCTTCCTGCTGGAGTGGAGCCGGGTCAAAGCCTTGCTGAGAGCTCCAACGGGCGGCGCCGGCCCGTCGACGGTGGCCGTGGGCAGAGAAACCTGCTTGTTGTCATTCAAAATGATGATCAAATTTGAATCCAAGTACCCAGCATTGTTCATGGCTTCATAAGCTTGGCCGGCGGTCATGGCTCCATCTCCAATCACCGAAATCACATGGTTGTCCTTCCCGAGAAGATCTCTGCCGACGGCCATACCCAGTCCCGCCGAGATGCTCGTGGAGCTGTGTCCGACGCCGAAAGCGTCGTGATCACTCTCGTCCCTCTTCGGAAACCCGGCGAGACCGAACGTTTGCCGGATCGACGGCATCCTCGACCTTCTTCCAGTGAGGATTTTGTGTGGGTATGTTTGGTGGCCGACGTCCCAAATGATCTTATCTTCAGGGGTGTTGAAAACATGGTGGAGGGCAACGGTGAGCTCTGCAACTCCCAAGCTCGAGCTCAAATGGCCGCCGGTTTTGGAAACTGTGTATACGATTTCTTCCCTCAGCTCATCAGCTAAGCTCTCCAGCTCCTGCGGAAGAGACAAAAAAAAAATTCCCCACGGAAGTGAGATCACCATGGATGGAGAAAAAAGAAAAAACAGAGGAGCTCTGTTTTTTTTTTTTTTTTAAGGGTGGGTACCTGGATGGAGAGATTCTTCATGTGGTTAGGGTAATTGATGGTGTCGAGAATCGGAGTGGCGGGCTTTTTGCCGGAGAAATCCAGCATTCTTCTCTCTTTCGTTTCACTGTACTTTTCCACCATTGTCAACTTGTCCTCGTCACTTTCCATTGCGGCAGCTACCACTGCTCCCCTGTTTTTCTGAGGAAATACCCGAAGAACTAATTCGTCACAATAACTCCCAAAAATGTCATTAATAATTTTCGTTACATATTTAAGTTTCGAAAGTGATCTATCAAGATTTAAACTTTCATGAAAGTTTATCAAGTTAGTTATCGGTTTATCGGAGTTCGAACACAAGACCTATCAGTTTATCTATGATCACTGGTAACAACGAAAGGGATATTGTGCTAAATCGTAGTACATATCTCGATCGGGGTTTACCTTCTTGGAGAGGAAGGTGGTGGAGGTAGGTTTAGGAGGGAAGCTTGCATAAGACTGGCCATCTTGAGCTTGGACCAAAGGAAGGAAGGTTGATCTCAGAACTGAAGATGCCATTTCCTTTTCTCTACCTTCTCACTGCTATTTTGCCCTTTCTTACACCTTTTCACCTCCTTGTTTCCTCTCTGCAAGTTCTTAGTAATGGAAGGAGTTGAAGCCAAAGAATGAACAAAGAAGAAGAAGAAGAAGAAGCAGCTTGGAGGTTGAAGGGGGAAAGTGGGGCTTGCTTTTATAGCCAACAAAACAGAAGGAAAATGAAAGAAAGGGAGATGGAGAAATTGGTTAGTTCCTCCACACTAGTCAGTCAGTCAACTGGAAACTAAAAATAAGAAAAATTATACAAAGGAAAATAAAAATTGTTTGGTTGTGTTTCAGCCATCCCCCGTTTATAATGAGATAAAGAAATATCACTTATTCAAATATTTTCCTCGTGCCAAAGGGGTTCTTTTTGGGGATATTTTCTTTGTTCTTTCTTGGCTGCTGACTGCCTCTGAGTTTTCCTCTAATAAAACAAACATTGCTCATAGTTTTGAGTTGATTTGAACCCTTTATATTTGTAGTCTACATAGATTTGTTATTGCTAGATGTCACTTGATATGAGATTTGAGGGCAAATGGGATAGTTCTCTTGTTTTATTTAGACGGCACGCGAGATCTTGATTGATTCTCAGATTAATCAGATCTCGGACAGAAACTCGAATATTATGCATGCAGACAAATTTAGAACGTAACGGTAAGTGCATGCCTTGAAATGATACTACGTACTTGCTAATATTAGTGGTATAAGCTCAATCGTCTATGTTGAGAGAGTCGTGAATATTTGCTTGACTAGTGATTGGTTCGGTCATGTAATTCGGATTATTAAAAGAGAGAGGTAGAAAAAAAATGAATCTTATATTATTCTATAATTGACAAAACTATTTTATATAGCGACGGCCAATGAATTCGTCATTTATTCTATATTATTTCCCTTTTCCCTCATTACCTCTTGATCTCTTTATGCAGCTCTCTATCCTTTTTTGGTTAGAAGTATTATTGAATCACCATTATGAGAAGCCAAAAAAAAAAACCTATAATATGCTCAACAAGGGTTCTCTCTTGGATCAGAGATATGGTATCTTTATGCACATAGTTCAATTTGTTTTCTTCTGAGGATTGAATTGAGCAGCCACGAAAAGGGATCAAGAGACTAGTGGCATGTTTTTTTATATATGTTCTTTTTCTTGTTAGTTTATTGTTTGTCTAGGAATTAAAACATCGGCTATCCCACCCAAAAAAAAACATCGGCTAAATATAATTAAATGGAAATTCACCCACCAATTATTCATAATCATAATTCATATTGATGAAGAGATGATTATTGATAAAATTATTGACTACTGATAATTAACAGTTATTACAGAATGGACAAAAACTCATTTTCACTAACACGCACGATGTGTTGACTGTAAAAAAAACACACACACACATACGATGCGTTTTAGTTATTTCACATGGGCAGGAGAAACCGATTTCATTATTAGGTTATGAGAATATAAATTACAAAGACGGGTGATCAAGAGGTTTGTACAAACATATATCTTCTCCAAACCCTACACAGAAAATGCCAAAAATCCAATGACAGTCAAGATATATGGTAAGCGATGGAGGAGGCAAAAAAATTATGAAGTTAAATGGATTTAATTTGAATCGTTATAATCAGGAGGACGAGGAGGGAGTATAGTGCCTTACAAAATGTTTTATTTCCCAAACTTGTTGTAAGATCTACATGTATTTTTTTAACTCTAATCACCCCCTCTTATGTGCAAGCACCTTTCTCCCAAACAAAGGGGAAAAGGCGAACACGAATCCCGAAATCGACAGAGTCATTGTCCCCGAAATTTCATATTAAGTATTTGCACAAAAAAAAAACAATCACACTCACGATTGTTACATAATCATTTCAAATGGAAAACTCATATAGTATCAATCTGTTCTCAACAAACATATTTAAATCATATCAATGATGAATCATATGATACATATTATCATATAAAAATCAAGCCAGCAAAATTGATAGATTCAAAAAGGGATCAAATGCAGCTGCCATGTTATACTGTGATCCATCTCTCCAGTCTTCACCAATCTTGCATACTATTCTATATTTCCTGTTTCGTCGTTTTGCTAGCCAGTAGCCACCAACCATGTAAATGATGATCATGAGATGACTGATGATGAGACGAGAGAACTGTTTCGTGTCTGGTTTTTGTGTCTTAGATATCATCATGATAATTATTCCTTCTGATTTGTTCATTTTTTGTTGTTGTTGTTTTTATATTCCTTTTTGGTCCGGTTTTGCTTTCTGGCTGCGTTCCATTTCTAGTCAAGAATATCGACTGTTGGCGGTCGTTAATGGGTGCCATGCCATTCAACAATGCATGGAACTAGTTCAATTAGATAATACTACAAAGAAAACTGCTCTGTTGGCTGCCACTATAATTTTTAGTAGGAATAGGTGGGAGTATTCATGTATACTAAGAAATCAGAATTGAACGTTTAGAATCGAAAATTCCAGATCGCACCCATAACTCGTGAAAGAAATAGGGGAACTAACTTGCAAAAACAATTGGGAGTGTTATAGATATATAGTGTTGTTTCTGTCCTACGTACTTCTGAATTATTGGTATGTGAGTATGTCCACATTGAACTCATTGGCAACGTGCTTCTTTCTTGTAACGAAACCTCATTTTAATTTCCATAGGCTTCTTCTAACGAAAACTTGAGCATATGTTTATTATTTGTTAATTTGTTATCAGTTTATCACTTCACTTTCTGCATGCACTACTGCATGTCGCACACCTGGCCAATGTCCAACTCTTTCCACTTGTCGTCCAAACCCTAATTAGTCATCATGACTTACATCTGTATTAATTTTCAAGAAATTTCGAAAGGTCTATATAGCACGGGTACTTTCAGATATAAGTTACGTACGTTCGGTACAAATTCAGTTTGTATCATAGATGAATGTGTAGAAAATACATATGTAAAAATTGAATTTGTACAGCAACAATAAACTGTACAAATTTCGTTTATACTATAAAGAAATTTGTTAAAAAAATATATAAATACAATCTGAATTTGTTTCACAACGCCAAAAGTAAAAGTTTTCGCATGTACCATTACAATTTTTCTTTTAAGGAAAACACCAATTGTTCTTGTAAGTATGGTAGAAGAGCTCTCTACATTTCCTCATTTCTTCCTTTCTTAAAATCGATTGGATGTTTGTTTTTGACTTGTGTTCATTCAATTGAATGTCGTATATTATGGCCACCATATTCTCCGTTCGATTATGGCGACTTAGCACTGATTTTTTTATTATAGTTTTTGTCGGTGACTGAACAAGTTGCTAGCTAGGTTTCATGAATCATAAACCTTTAAAATTATCACTTCGTAAGTTAGTCCAACTACCGTGAATTTCTCATTCTTTCTCCTATTGATCATAATTGGCGTACACCTTTATCGAAAGGGCGATATAATTTCTTATGCTTCCGATATTTTAATGCACATAATTTTGATCTTGGTACGATTCATTGCAATTGATTAGGGAACAACTTGTACCACAAATATTACTTTTGTCGTTGGATCTCACGTTACACGAAAGTTTTGATGGTCGACCCATCACAAAAGAAGAAAAAAAATCGACTATGGTGATATTAGTAAATGGAGCAAAATCGTCAGTAAAAGTTTGAAACATGTCGGTATGAAGATGCTGACATTTCATAGAAATGACACGTGAATGTCACACGAAATATATTTATACAACATACATAAAATGTCATCACATAAATTCGCATTCACTAATCATGGGGGAAATTATTTGAGCAAAGTGCATGTATGACAAGGTGGAATGTAGTTTTGGTAAAAACTCACTCTGTGTTATCGAGAAGATAAGGTATAAAAGAGTCACAACTAGAGTACAAAGAAGAAGAAGAAATTCATCATTAAAATGGGCAATTATATTACAACTGGAATACAAATTAAAACCTATTGAAAATCACATGGGAGGGAAAGGTGTTTCATTGAACTATGGCGCTGCCCTTGATTGACTTGGACTCACCCGCCCCAAAAACATTACTTATTGTGGACTACTCATCACAAAATATTCGGTACAGTCTTGGAATTTGTGGTAATATATAATTAGGATTTAGGTACATTTTCTTTCCAATATAAATTATAAAATTTTATTCCCAATGTGACATTGGATTGTCTTATTGTGTATATAATGGATCAATAATCCTTCCCTAATTGCATGAGATCTATTTTACTGACGAAGAATCTACCCTCGAAGTGAGTAGCGGATTTGGTTCTTGGATGAGGATATTGTTTAGATTTGGACGATTAGTGGGTTATTGTTTGGGAGCCGATGCATTAGGTATCGGTTTGAACTAGTATATACTCCGTAGCAAAATTAATTATCATTGAATTTGCAGTTTCAAAACAATTAGAGTGAACTAAATTTGAATTCATATAATTGGAAGTAGTCCTTCTTGATTTTATGCAACATTTTTCTAATCTAATGACGGATCAAATTGTGGATTATTCAGAAATCTCGATTGTGGAAAAGGACAAATGGTAACATGCATGGATCTTGAGGTGATTGATTAAACCTTATATAATGCTCAGTAATCGTGATTAGGGGAGGCAAGACGGTTTGGGAGTGTAAGTACTCATCAAGTATGTCGTGATACTTCTAGCGAGGTGACGCTATCTAGATTCTAGACCATGTTATCATAACAAGGCCAAGAAAGATTTTCGTTAAATTTTTAGATTTGAAAAATGAAGGATGGACAATGGATTTGGATACTCTTGATTTTGGAGAAAAAACTGTTGGATATCTAATGATGGATGTGGTTGTATTGTATTTACGAGCTTTGAAACCTAAATTACCTTATTATCCTTACTCAAACTTTTCTCTATTATTAAGGAGGATATGAGAGTTGATTCCAGTTATGGATCTTGATGTAGTCTATGGAGAGCTTCCAATTTTTTTAATCTAAAATTATCATAAAAGTATTTGTATCTTGACGAAATATTAGAAAATGGTATGAAGAGGAGATTCAAGTTATTTTCGGTCCTTCTTCACTCCAAATCTTGCCTCACCACTCATTCCTATTATGAATTCGGAGACTTATGACAAATGTCACGCAAATAAGTGAGTATTCCTATTCCAAATCCGTGAATATTATATGACACTAGCTGACTTGAGAGTGCCCACAGGCCACATGGTACACTAACATAACAGGACTGTTTACTAAGTACTAACTCTACATGTGATTCACAATAAACAAACTATCTATCTAGACTTTTACGTTGATTTTGATTGATCATTGCTACGTGTTAGTTTTGACCCCTTTTGCAAAGGAATAAGACCCACCATCTTTCTATCTGGTCCAAAACAAAACATAGCTGCACTCATACTAGGTTTCATAACAACCCCAAGGATGTAACATTCAAAGTCCCACCAAAAACATAGCTGCAGGCTTACATAAGGAGAGGCCCGGTGATAAGGACCTTCAATTAAGTTAAGACTGGAATTGCTGTGATAGGAACCATGGCATAACAATGGCGACCATAATAACTCAATTTCGAGACCTCCCAATTTATACCATGGGGCCAACAGACGAAGGAAAAAAAAACGTTCTGAGAAGGCTACAAAGTAGAGAGAGAGAGGCAAACTCTTGTGAACTTATTTTCCATGGAAGTCTAAGAAAAGTAAAGAAAAGCCCTACTGATGATTCTTTTTCTTCTGCTATACTGCAACTTCTATCTACAATGCAGACTGGAACAGCATCTCAGCAAGCTCCTGCAGATAACAAAAAAACCCACAACACAATTTCAGGTTTCATCCAAGGATTCGTAATATGATCATGAGAAAAGGAATGTAGCTTTTTCTGGGAGTAGTGAACTTTGAAATTACCTGCTTGGCAGAAGGAACCTTGGGTTCACCCCATTCCAATGCTTTCTTCTCCAAGAACTCCAAGTCGGCATCCCCAGCCTGAAAAGGGTAGTATCACACAAAAGGTTTAGAGTTTTCAGCTATCAAACAATACAGAAAGCTGACAGAGAGAGATGAATCGATGTAAAAGGTTGATTTGTTACCTCGATCTTCTTCCCAATTTCAGAGTCGAAGCTCTCATAACGCTTGCGGACAAGCTCGGTCAAAGAACCCTCCTTTGGACAGTAGGGGCAAGAGATCAGGATTATGCATATACTTTTTAAGGAGGGAGAGTTTGAATTTGACATATATTAAAGGTAACAACTGTGTCTAACTAACCTCAACCAGCTTGGCAGCACTTCGAAGTCCACGGGCCAAAGTATCCATTCCAACAATGTGAGCAATGAAGATGTCCTCTACATCCGTGCTCTCTCGACGCCTGAGGCATTCATCAATCATTGGTCAGCATTGTCAACTTACAGAAAAATCATGGCTCGGGGAATCAATGGAAGAAAGCAGAACAAAAGAGAAAAGGAACTTACAGTTTAGCATCGAAATTGAACCCTCCTGGGGCTATTCCTCCCTAAGAAAACAATTGAGTATTCAAAGTTAGCATAACTGAAATCAACTGTAATATGAACTTCTGAAATTCTAAAGACAAGCAATCATTTCGAACATACATTTCTAATGACGCTAAGCATGACCATAGTTGCCTCAGAAATGTCTGTCAAGAACTGATCGGTATCCCATCCTGCAGGTAGAAACGATAAAAGAAATTAACTTTTGGCGCATATGCTTAAAGACTGGAACTTTTGTTGCATAAAGAACAAAAAGATAAAGCTTTTCATCCTTACCAACTTGAGGGTCGCCAGTGTTTGCATCAATGTTTCCAAGCAAGCCATTGATTCGTGCAGTTTCAAGTTCATGATGGCAGCTGCAAAAGTTTACAGAAGAAACTGTTATGATTGAAATGGTGAAAGATACTTGCTTGACGAGACACAATCACATGCCTGTGACCGGAGAGAGTGGCATGGTTGCACTCAATGTTGAGCTTGAACTCTCCCAAAAGGCCATACTTCCTCAAAAAATTTGCAGCTGTGGCGGCGTCCCAATCATACTGGTGTTTAGTTGGTTCTTGAGGCTTGGGCTCAATTAGCAAGGTGCCTAAGATACAGAAAAATGTGACAAAATTTACAAAAAAATCGAACAGTGTGTTAACTAACATGTCTTGAGAAGCTTAAAGAGAAGCATACCATTGAATCCAATCTTCTTCTTGTAGGCAACAGCAGAGTGGAAGAAACTAGCCTGTCATAAGAAAAAAATCAATCTGGTTCGACTACTAAACACCTCCAAAATCATTACATATGATGATAAAGCCAATGATCAAAACATACCAAATGATTGAGTTCTCGTTCCATATCCGTGTTCAAAAGAGTCTGGTAACCCTCCCGGCCTCCCCAAAAGACATAATTTTCTCCACCCAAGTAATTTGTAACCTGTTCAACAAACTCGATTTTGGTTAAAGGCGACTACTGTAGGGGAACAAACTGAAATCCAAGTGACAGGAAGTGTCATAGGAAACTCACATCCATTGCTTTCTTAACTTGAGCAGCAGCATATGCATAGACACCGAGCTCAGAACTAGATAGCAGAACCAACACCAGGGGATTATCTTCCATAAGCAAAAGCTTAACAAAATTAAAAACACCAAGAACTAATTGATTACCTTGTAGCAGCACCATGCATGTATCGAGGCTGCACGAACAACTGAGCAGTTCCCCACAACGGTTTGATCTTGCTTCCCTGCAACACATAGGTTACAAAAATATCAAGCACTAAAGCAAATGCACAAGGTCCAAATAACAAAAATCAAAGAGAAAGAATCTGCCAACCAATGGAAGCCCACTTGGTTGTGTGCTCATACCTGAAGTTCCTTAGCAAGAGCAACCACTTCATCCAAGTATTCATTACTTTCCTGTAATCATACATAAACAAAAGAGTGAATCCATTTCTTCCCAATGCAAAGATAGGTTAAGGAAATCAAAGACATCTGAAAGACTGGAACTATTGAACTGACCTTTAGAGTATCGCCTTCAGGGGCAATATCTCTATCATGGAAACACCAATAATCCACTCCAATCTTGTTCAAGAACTCAAAGTTTGCCCTCACTGACCATTGTTTCAATAGAAAATTATTACATCAGATTTCCACTTAAACTATGAGAAGTTAATCAAGTACAAGTGCATTCAAGTAATCATTTACTTCTTCTTTTGGCCATGGCCACTGAGTTAGTGCCATCCTCCCAAGGCCAAAACTTGGTAGGCCCTCCAAAGGGATCACCTCCTGTGCCGCGGAATGTATGCCAGAAAGCGACGCTGAATCTCATCCAATCCTAAAAAGGCCAATAATTATAGCTGGAATTAGCAAGTTCAAAGTGAAACAAAATCCATAATTTGGAGTGACAAAAAAGATCGATCACACACAGAATCCCCCTACCTTCATTTTCTTCCCAAGAATCACTTCTTCAGCATTGTACCATTTAAATGCCAAATGGTTCTTGCTATTAGGACCCTGCAATGCCATATTTGATCAATCCATAAGCTCCAACCACAAATCATAAATCTTCCTCACATTAACAACCAGAGAAGGGTCTGATTAGGAAACTTCTTCACCTCATACTTTATCTTGGGAATTCCAGGAAAGAATTCACCTTTCCATTCCTCTGATTCGCCACATTGTCCCTGGAGATTTGCAGGGCAAGTTTGTGGAGCGGCAGCAATCTGAAAAACTCTTATCAGTAAGATTCACCATTGACAAATCAAGAACAAAAAGGAATGGACCAAGCAAAATTCCCCACAAGATCATCGAGCTTACCACTGCAAAATTGGCTACGTTCCAGCAAAGGAGAAGAAGCAACACTACCCTCCCGCTTTTCATTTTGTTCATCAGACTCTGGGAGATCAACCATGAACAGAAAAGAACCGAACTTTCATCATCAATCCAACAGCCACGAAAAAGACAATCATAGGAGAAGAGAAGCCCCAGCATATGAGAAATCAGCAAACGATCGAACCACAAACGATAATCCGATCAGCAACCCACATCATGAATCATTCGAGAATTTCTCTTAAGCATTTCGTCGAACAGACCATAAAACTCAATAACATATCTAAAGCGACCGAGACCGCCATATCACAATCAAGCATCATAATTTACATGATCTAACCGAAAACAGATCAAACCCCATCACGGAGATAGACTTTCTTTTTACGGAAAACGAAAGGAAAGAGAGAACCAAGCGTTACCAAAACCAGAGGAGTGGCAAGATGGATAGAGAGAACTAACTCACAAATGGATTGAGCTCGTGAAGAGACACGGAATGCAACAGAATGAGTGAGGAGAAGCTGTATTTTATATACCGGATAATGACCGAGGCACTGAGCTAACCCATTTATTATTTTAATTATACTTATTTTTAATGGAAGAAAATCATTTTTAGAGCTTTCTAAAAGTAATTTTTGTATTGTGATTTTGTCTAACGTTAGCCATTTGTTTGGGTTTTTGTCGCTTTTGGTTCTGATCTTGTAGTTGGGATAGGAAGGATAGAGATTAGAGAGTCTGTCACTGACACGACTAATCCACGTGTGATTTTTAATGTTATCCTAATTTGGCTATCATCGTTTTTATTTGCTCTTCATGGAGAAGAGATATCTTAGGGATTCCTGATTTCCCCATAAAAATTTGTAATTTTGTTAAAATGCTCAAAGGTATATTTGTGAAATGTATTGTTAGGTATACATATTCGTTAAATTGTGCTTTAAGCATTTTTAGATTATTGAATGAATACATTTTTATAAATGAGTTGTAAGCATCATAATCGGATTGATAAATATGATTGGTGTTCCATTTTTTTTTTCTTTCTATAGAGGTTAGTATTATGTTTGGGAGTTATTGTTATATGATTAGTGAGTATCTTCCCCCAAGTGATTGCAAGTATTAGGTATGGAAGTGGAGAACGGTGTTGTTTGATTATATCGGATCAAGAAAAAAAATTCAAATTTAGAATCATATTCAAAGTCTAATCGATTTGATATGTAACAATTTGTTTTTTATATAGATACATGGCTATTTGGTTTGAAGTAATTAAATCAAACAAAAAAAATTGAAATAGAAAATTGAATAAAATCTTGATATCTATGTGGTTAAGTGATAATGTGATGGTAATATTGGATAAGATGTTGCTAGGAAAATAAAATGCGTTTAAAAAGGATAATGATGATATTTAGTTAAGATCCTCAATGATAATATTTATTAGTATCAAGAATAAAATGGTTTCATCTTGTACAAATATTGTTTGTAGCCGTTTTTATAACTCTCCATACATGTCTAGCAGTCAAGGTAACAATTCGTTTGATGATGTTGATGTATAGTCAGTTCTGCAGAGCTCCATGAAGTTTTCTGACAGGTAACTCAGGCCAGACATTGCAGACTCCAGAAGCCAAAAGCATGAGCATAAAGCCAAGGCCTGGAATTCAAGACCATAGTAGCAAACCAAAAGGTTGGCAGTTTATCCAGATTGATTGCACCATTATACAATCACAGTAACACAGCTTTATACAGTTTTTGGTGCACATGCTAATAATCTACAAGACGCAGGAGCAAAATGCACAACAGTCTGCTGTCTGCAGTTTCTCTATATGTTACCAAGATGTGAACTTTCGTAAGGCGCAACATTTTCGTGTTTGCACATGACACATGAGAATAAAGAAGAAATCCAGGCCATCTTTGGAACACTGTTGATGGGAAGAATCCAACTTCAATGCAGCTAGATGTGGAAGTTATCTATCATGTGGTAAATCACATCAGCACCATCTGAGTTCAACCAATAGCTCTTCACCTGCAATCGGCAGAAGCAATATACGAAGTTTATTCTGCATACCAATGAGTAATTGTAGAGAAATGGAGCTTAGATGAGTGTTAACTAGCCATGCAGACTTGCCTGAATAGTGTTATGAGCAGTCAACCTCTGCCTACTCTTGTGGAAGCTAACATGTATGCGTTCCCAAGGTACTTGAGTAAGACCATTGATCATCATCTCTGCATAGACAAAAGGATGTCAAGAAGACTGAAAAATTAGAACAATCCTTAGAAGAAGCATAAATGATAAAAGTGTTTTGCAACCTTCTAGATCCATCGTCTGTTCCACGAGACTTGAGGAAGATGTTCGATCATGCTTGTTTTCTGTATTCTCAGGCTCAATGTAGACAATGTGGGGATATTTCTCATCTAATCTAAGTGCAGTGGACTGAAAACGACGAGGAAGAAACTTTTTTTATCAGGGGTGAGACTGCAGTAACAGGTGGATATATAAAACAAAAAGGAAGAAAATAACTCACCTTAGGTAGCTCATTTTGACGCCTGATTGATGATGTCCCCCAACCAACCATATCTTAATGCGTTAAGAAGAAAAACAGTTTGAAGCAAAATGATAGCAGCATATAAATACTGGACCGGATGTATGGAATAGTATGACATTTTACTCACTTTATTATATTATTTTAACAAAATATGTGGCATGTGAGTTGTCCAGTACGAGCTTACTAAGCATGAATCGGTTCTAACAATAACTAATTGTCATGGAACTCTTAATAGAGGGACCAGAAGAGGATATATATGGCATAATTCACTAGAAATATCATTCACTCTGATTAAGAAGCTGAAAATACCAAGAAGAAGGATACAATCAAAATTAGCATTGGCATAAAGCACGCGACGCTTGAATGCACACAGAGCTGATCTACACAGATTATAAATGAAGTTAGCAACCCATTCCATTTCTAAGCATATAATGTTCAACTAAATCCAGACTAGTGTTAGATAAATACTAACATGAATTTCAATTCATCAGAATCATTGACCATTCGGAGGAGAAGAGGAGGCTTCCCATGATCATTATCAGTCAAGAAAAGATGTTTCCCAGTCCTTCCAGCGATCAAGTGAGCAGTCTGAGATGCTTGTCTCTCAAGAAAAGGAAGGCCGCAGAGAATAGGGAACTGTTTGGAATCAAGCATTAAGGAACCCGCATTTTCCCCCTACTAACAGTATGCGGTAAGAGATCAATCGGTTTCAGTTCTTACCTGCTTATGTCCTCGTGAACCGAGATGTGGCGATGCAAAGGTTATGAAGTTAATTGGTTCAAGCCCTGCGATTCTGTCTTCGTAAGGTTTTTGATCAGCACCTTGCATTGCATCTCCTGATTGAACCACCTTTGGTGATTGCTCATACAACCTTGCAACAGCATACCGGGCGATAAGTCCGCCTAAGGAGTGAGCGACAAATGAGATCTTCCGCACTTCAGGACGACGCCTGACAAGAGATAGTACCTGCATTAGGCCATTAACCAACAATTCAATATCAACGCAACTCAAACTAGCACAGGTTTCCTTCTAAAACTACTAGCTTGTCAATTGATCACACTCTAGGAATAAGACAGTTAGCTGTCAAACATTACCTCCTCAGCCAGCCTCTCACCCATCAAATCAACACCATCAAATGTCAATTTAGATGAGTTGCATTCACTCCCTGGTTCCATAACCAAACAAACAATACGAGGTTACATACATGCCCAAGGATAACATTTCGGCCCCCAATCAGAAAGGCCCTAGATTCATCTATCATCCTGCTCAGTAAATCAATATCCTACAAGTTACTCAGATAATGAAATTCCAGGATCACCATTTACAGAAAGATCTACTTACTGTGCACAACCAATTTATCCGGATGTTTCTTCACAAACTGCCCTGCTGCATATCTCCAATCCGCAGAGCTACACGAGGTTTAAAACAAAACCCCACAGAATTAGTAAGAACCCAGAAAGCATCTAGACCAGAACAAAGCCAAAGTCTGAATCTTTATTTTTCCTTTTTCCTCAACCTTCCAACGAGCCCATTAACCATGATCACCAGATGTTCAGGATAAACCCTCGATTCAGCAGCAACTCCTGCATCCAAAACATCTTCCCCGCCACTGTCAATCTCCACTTTCAACCCTCCCTTCGTCCTCCTCCGCCGCCAACTGCCTTCCCCGAAGCAACAGACGGGCGAAGACATGCTACACATCCGCCGCCGGTAGCGGGATCCGGTCGGATCAAACCGGAGAGAAGATCGATAGGCGGTGCCGCCGTGAAAAAGGAGCGGTGTGGGATGCGTAGCGGGTAGAACGAGATGTGAATCGGGTGGAATCATGCGGCCCGACGATGAATCATCTACAACAGTAAAGTAATCGACTGTAGTGCTTCCTGCTGAAGAAACGGCTTTTCGGGTGGGAAAGGGACGGACTTTACTTTACAGAGTGTGAACCAATCGTTCAGGGGGGTTTCAGAGGGGCGAGATCTTTCAAGGAAAACGTGACGAAAGAGATAATTTAAGGGGAAATTACTGGTGGGAAACTCCGGCGAAGAATGGAGGGCGGGGCGGCGGCGGGAAATGGGCGGCGGTTGAGTGTGGGGAAATGGGAGGGAAGGAAAGAATGGCGGACACGTGCTGTTATTCGGTCTTTCCAGTGGGACGAAAGACAAACTCTAGTGGGCTTCAAATAAGCCCATCTAAGTTAAAAAGGGAATAAGGGGTCAAGATTGGGCTGAGATTCAAGACCTTTACCTCTTATGGGCTTTTCTTCCCACATCGGCCCACGGAAAAGCTCATTCGAAACTCGATTCGTTTATTAACAAATTGAGCATGAGTTCAGCCTTGTTCAGCTTGCGAGCAAGCTGAACTAGGTTGCTTGATGAGCTAAACTCGTGAGTTAACTCGTGTTGAGCACATGAGATGTCTCAACATTGTGGCTAAAGAACCAACTTGATTACTGACTTATTGGCGAATTGATATATCTCATGAGTTGAATTCAAATGTTTGTTAAATTATATATCTCACCCTATATGAAGTTTAACACGTTGAGTATGTGATCAAATATATATTATTTTTATTTAAAGGAAATTATGTATCATAGATTGTTTCGATGCTATGAAATAACATGATTTGGACTAGTTAAAATTTATTAACTAAATAATATGATATCAAGAAAGTATAATTCAATATTTAAGTAAATTATTATTTTTTTCATCATGACATCAATCATATGTATCATACATAACATACAAAATGAAATATCAAGTACAATTCAATATTTAAATAAATAATTCTAGCTCGACCTCAAGCTCAATTTGTTTATTAACGAGTCGAGTTCAAACTGAGATAAAACTTGACTCGACTCGACTCATTCGCATCCCTGCTCACCAAGACCTACTAATCTGCCCATCTAAAAGGTAATGTATTTTGGTGGGCAAACATGCATGACCAAAATCAGAGTGATATGAAAATTAGTCCAATGTAATCTCATTGATGATTAGTCTCAATTTCCTTTCTCAATATATGGTAACCTCCTAACAACTTAACAACTCATGAACACACCTCTTTGACTCAAAGCGGCAATCGAACGCAACTGAGATTATCAGTTTGGTTGTATTAAATTTGCATAGAGTCGAATCAATAATCATTGGACAGTAATGATAAAAAAGAAAAACATAACAAAAAAATCACATTATGCCTAATTCAGTTCCATATTAGCTTATTTCTTCATCTCACAAACAAGAAAACATAACATAATAAAAGAATGAAAAAGTTTAATCACCTTATGTATCGGCAATAATTTGATCCACTCAATCCAATATCAACCAAACTATTTTCCAACTCAATTCGCTTTCTTTCTCGATACCACTGGACTCAATCCGTTAATTAATAATAATAATCGATGATCACTGGTTACAATGAGATTAGGAGCAAGCCCATGGGCGGAACGAAGACAAGGAATGGAATTAAAATCAAAATTGGAAATCTATCATTACGATGATTAATTAATCATATATATAATGAGAATATTAATCAAACTCAATAAGGTCTCTCCCCAACGTAATTCCCAGGCGGGTCGTAATTACAAGTCATGAACACACCCTGGCCGCCCGAACAGACCACCCGGGCGCACCCGACCCGCTTCGTCCCCCGCCACACGATCTGCGTGTAGTGGCCGCAGTCCTGGTCCCCGGCGCACGAGTTCGACCAGTAGCTGTACCACCTCCGCTCCCCGACCCACGCGCTCGCCGCCTGCGCCGGCGTCCACCCGTCACCGCTCCCCCAGAATATGTTCTCCCCGTACGGCCCGTTGGAGTGCACCAGCTCGCAGTCCCACTTCCGCTGCGCCGCGTACCGGGACGCGTACGCCGCCAGCCTCCCGTCCCACCGCAAGGGCGGCATGTTCAGGGCCGCCCTCGCTGCGTTCTGCGGCCCCATGAACTGTGCGGCCGCAATCGGGGCGCCCTTATGAACCCTCTTGCTTGCTGCTGTCGCTGATGCGACAGCAACAGAAGAGGTAGCAGCGCCGTCACTGCGATCAGTAGTGGCGCCGCTGCTGATCAGGAGGAGAGCGAGTAGTAGTCCGGCCGCGGCCGATTTGTGGCCGTGACCGGAGCTAATCTGCATTGTTTTTGGAAGGTGGGATTGTTTTTTGGATGGAGGGAATGGGGTGTTTTCCTCCTGTAAAAGGAGGGGATTTTTTTGGAGGGAGGAGGGAGTTTATATAAATGAGTGGGAAGTTTGGGTAGTTGGTGGGGAAAGAGGAGGGAATTTTTGGGAGGTGGAGAGTTGTCAAGAGGGAAAGAGAGATGGATATGAGATGGGGTGGCACCCATGTTCGATAATGATTGCCACCAATTTTTTGTTCCTGGAGTGCTTGGTAGGGAAAATGCTAGCTAGGGATGATAATAAAGTAGTATGTGATTGGATAAAGAAATAGATGGGAAAGATAGAAGAAAAGGTGTTTGATATCCTCCAATCTTTGATTTTTTAGTCAATTTGATTCACTTATGTGCCAAGTTCTAGCTTTTTTTTTTCTTTGTTGCTATCTCTAGAGTTATCTCAAATCAAACAACATTTCGACGATTAGCTAATATACATATCGTGTTGGTGGATCACATAAATCTGTGTGTTCTTTAATTTTTTGCATTATCAATTTCTCAAACCGTTACAACACCTACATTCAATAGTTGCACCACATGCATTACAATACAGTCGACTCATATTTTGATGATGCATTATGACTTATGGGGCATGGTTTGTATGATTTTGTGATCTAATCTTATGAAGGAAAATGCTGTGAGCATTATGATACAACAAATTTCTTTGCTCATTATTTGACATTACTATATGATCATTGAACTTTCATATGATCTTTTAGAGGTAGGGTCTTCACATGATATGATCATTTGTCGATCAATTCACTGGCTTGCGATTTATCGCTCACTTCATGTCAATTCCTCGTTATGCAAAAATATGAAATCAGGGAGCACTATCCTCTTCATTAAGTTTGAACTCTTCCAAATTCCTTTGATATATGCTAATATATTGGGGGTGCATATATACCTACATTATTGATTTCAAAATAGGTATCCTTATAGAAGGAACCTTCAGTCATATAAAGATATTCTTAGGATACTTTGTCAGAGAAATTATTAATTTTATAATATGTATTTTTCAATTTATGACATAATCTTTGAGCATGAAAAAGGTTGGGGCTTTATGAGCTTGGGACAGCTTGCTGCTTGTGTATAGTTATAGTCTAAGTTCAATTTAAGCACTAATTATGGTATATATATAATAATCAATTGACAGGCTTTTCACAAGTACCACAAAAGAACATTTGTAGATCATATATGTTGATTATATAAGTAGGCATTGGAGAGTTGGCCAATTATTAGTTTTTTTTTTTTTTTTTTGAAAAGGGGAGGCATTAGCCAAAGTTACAAGCGAAGGCAGTGCAGAACGGACGCACTACTGCACAAGAGCAGGTGGCCAACTGCAGCAAAGAAATTACACCAGAAGTCAAAGGCGAAAGCCGAAAGCCGAAAGAAGATCATTACCAGCCCGCCAAACTACTCTCTGTTCAACAGAATTCTTCAGGGAAAACTAACCCCCACAATGTCATCAATCAAGATTCTTTCAAGCTCCCTAGGTGGACTTGCTACTTCACTCGTACCGAAGGGATAGACGAGACTGTGCTTCGAGAGCCAGTCCGCGGCTCTATTCCCTTCTCTATACGTGTGAACCAGCCTGACCACCCAGTTCTGTGACAACAAACGTCAGATACCAGCCAACAGTGTGGAGTGAGGGTGAACAGGGTCTTCCCTCGCTTTGATAAGCTCGATAGCGAGCTGCGAATCTGTTTCCAAGATCAGAAATTGCGTACCGTTGTTCCAGGCCATGAGAAGCCCCTGATGAATGCCCCACAGTTCCGCTAGGATAGCTGTCCCAGTTCCAATCTTGCAACAGAAACCACAAACCCAATCCCCATTACTGTCTCGGAGCAACCCGCCAGCAGTAGCTAACCCTTGATTACCTTGCGCCGCGCCATCAGTGTTCATTTTCCTCCACCCACTCGGCGGCGCCTTCCAACCGATCAGCTGGTCCGTCCTCGGAGGTCTTTCAACTACACTTAAGCTTGAAGAGGCACTATCCCACGTCTTCAACCAATCGGCAGCCTTAGACGTGACATAGTTGACTATGGATGACTCGGCCATCTTTTTTCCCTGAAAAATAAATTCATTTCTATATTTCCAAACATACCAACAAATTAATGCAAAGAGGCTTGGCCAATCCTCCTGAACATCCGCCCCAAGTTTCTTTTCCAGGTTCATGTCAAACCAACTATCCGGGTCTGCTTCGAAGTTCTGGTGCGCCTGGACAGGCAGAGACTTTTCCCAAATCTTCCGCGAGGCAGTGCAATCTCTCAGGCAGTGCAGATTTGTCTCCAAAGCTTCATTGCAAAGTTGGCAAGTGTCATCAGTGGTGAGGTGACGACGCCTACGGACACTGTTCGTCGATAATTTCCCTTTAGCAGCGAGCCATATTTGTGTCATATTTAATCTCATTTAATTCTCAACATTTTGATCATGAAATCAATGGTAAATGTGGAAGGACATATATCTCAATAGAAATTTATACATGTAACATACAACTTTTGCTATGAAGTATGAACTATCAAAAAATAGTTGATAGAATGTCAAAGTTGGATGCATCTATTTTATCTCTCATCTCGAGTATATAATAAATCCAATAGAAATATAGCATCAAACTCCAAATTCAGTTGGATTTTCACTTGGAAAATGTCAAAACTAACTAGCTAGGTTAAGCTAATTGATACGGACGAATCGGTCATATTTCCACAAGTGGAAAAAACTAGCTAGTTTAAAATGCAAATATGAAACAGGCAGATATTTCTTCTATGGTATAAGTGACAGATTGGAAAGGATGATTGAAGGAAAGCAACGCATCAAATATATGGAGGACTATTTGGAGTCCAGCAATGTATCTAATGATCAATGTGGATGGTTAGGTTTGGGGTTGAAATTAAGTTGATTGGTCGAGTAATGACCATAATTATGGCAGAGATTATATTATATTATAGAGTAGTATAAGATCCAACATAATTTTATCTCAACAACTCGAATTTTTGGGATCAACTGGTTCCTGACACGGTATTGTAGCTGGTTTGGTCAAGTGGTCGTTTGTTCGAATCTCCACGACCCCTAATATTAACATTTGATTAAAACACAAGGTATGGTGGGTCTGTGCAAACTTCAAGTATGTGGGTTGACTTTCGTTTGAGAGGGCGTGCAAGAGAGTGGTATAAGAATCATAATAACATTCTCCACCACAAAAGGTATGGTGATCGCCTGTGCAAATTTCACGATCATGGGTTGACTTTCGTTTGAGAGGGTGTGTTAGAGGGTGGTATAAGATCTGTGCATAAGAGTGTGCAAAAACTCGGTCTGGGTCCAATGGCATTTGAATCAAAGACCAAATTTATACAAAGAGACCAAACTAGCTTCAATTCCGTTATTGTTCTCAAATTTCCTCTAATTAATTTCAGATCAATTTTTAGCTATCGTATTTTAAACCACACCGACCTGACTATCAATGAACAAAATCTCCACTCTCCAAATTGGATACAAACTCTACAAGGGAAGAGAGATATATCTCGGTTCATCAGACAAAAATAAATAAATAAATAAATAAATAAATAAATAACAAAGAAGAAATATCGACCGAGTAACAGAATCAAGATTGCTACGTACTTTTGCCATTCATGTTTTATTTTTATTTTTTACTTACCAACCATAACAATAATAGCAAAAAGATAGATAACCAAATCTCCCGTACAAAGGGGGAAAGAGATCCGACTAATCACAAAATCTACCTCTAATGGCCAACGATGAAGAAACCATCTCAGAACCAGCTGCAGATCACGATGCCAGCACTAATATCAATGGGATCGCCGCCGCCGGTCGCGAAGAAGGAGCAGAAGAAATCGCCGTGGCAGTACCGGATGACGACGGCAATAATGGAAATCGGCGGTTCAGCAAACGCGAGATAGTCGGGGAGATGAAGAAGCAGGCGGGGCTGGCGGGCCCACTCGTGTCGTTCAATTTCCTGACGTATTTGTTACAAGTGATCTCCGTGATGTTCGTCGGCCACCTCGGCCCCTCGCCGGCGCTTCCCTCGCCACTTCTTTCGCTTCCGTCACCAGCTTGACTCTCTTGGTACGTAAATTAGCTAGCCTCCGCCAGTCTCTCTCTCTCTCTCTTAGCGTTTTTCGCCGCTGGGTATCTTTTTCTTTTCCAGCTTCTTCCGTGACGGTGACGGTGACGGTGATGATATTGACATGTAACCACCGAAGTCCGAATGGAAGAACAAAAAAAGGGAAAAATGCTACTTTCGTAATATGAAATTGCTTGTTAGTCGAAATGCTTGACGGTGACGGTTACGTTTTTGTCGAAATGTGAATGAAATTGCTTATTCACAATCAGCTTGGATCAATCGAATTATGAAGTTTCGGGTTTGTGAAATCGTACTAGACGTCTTATTATTGGACAACGAAGTGTTATTAACTTATTATGATTTAAATGTTTAATTATGAAATAAATATACGTGAATTCAAATTCAAATTCCTTACTACACCATGAATTCAATTTGATAACATTTCCACTGACATTCTTATGAACACCAACAATGATAAAAATTTTCTCCCTTATTAATTCATGTCTTGTTTTCTGATTCAGAGAGGAATGGCGAGTGCACTGGAGACGCTATGCGGGCAATCCTACGGCGCCAAACAGTACGACGCTCTCGGCATCCACCTCCAGCGCGCCATGATCGTCCTCCTCCTCGCCGCCGTCCCGCTCTCCCTCCTCTCCTTCTTCGCCGGCGACATCCTCCTCCTCCTCCGCCAGGACCCGGAAATCTCCGCCGAGGCCGGAAGATACGCGAAATTCATCATCCCGACCATCTTCGGGTTCGCCGTCCTCGAGTCACACGTCCGCTTCCTGCAATCCCAAAACAACGTGGTCCCCCTTATGGTCACGACCGGAGCCACGACGTTGCTCCACGTGTTGCTCTGCTGGCTGCTGGTGTTCAAGTCCGGGCTCGGGAACCGAGGCGCCGCGCTGGCCAATGCGGTGTCGTATTGGGTGAATGTTCGTGTACGTGAGGGTGGCGGATTCGTGTAAGAGGACGTGGACGGGTTGGTCGAAGGAGGCGTGGAGTGGGATTCCTGGGTTTGTGAGGCTGGCGGTTCCGTCGGCTGTGATGCTGAGCTTGGAGGTTTGGTCGTTTGAGATGATGGTTCTGCTGGCCGGGTTGCTTCCCGATCCCAAGCTCCAGACCTCCGTTCTCTCCATCAGGTAAATTAAGCTACGTCTCTCTCGATCGTCTGTTAAAAATTCAAGCGTGTAGACGATCGATTTTTTTTATTAGATATATGAAATTAATGATTGAACCACGGTTTAAATATTGAATGTCCTCGTTACGTTGAAGTCGTGGAACAAATAAATATTGTGGTTTCAATCACGTCTCTATGAGTAAAAGTAAAACCATCTGCCGATTTTGAGTCTGGTACATGATATTTTGGATAGGACTGGTCGGTACAATAGGATTTTTTAAAGGTTGATTCTAAGTTGGTTTGACTTCTTTTTTTTTTGTTACAGCTTCAACATATGTGCTATGATTTACATGCTGCCGCTTGGGATTGGAGCTGCAGTGAGGTGAATTTTGTTTTCATTTGGACATAATCTACTAATTATAACTTGCCAGAAAATGATTTGAGTGTTAATATGGTAGTCAAATTATCAATTAGATGTAGGTTGCACAAGGAATTCTAACGCATTAATTTGATTTAATTAATTGTTTTATTTTGAGATGATTGGATCGAAATGACCCGTTTGGCTATCTAGAATTTGGACGGAACAAGTTGATACGAGGAATTTTGAATTGACTCTTTCTAGAGACAATTACAATTATGTGGGATGGAGGCATGTGCTTGGTAATTCAAATTAACTAGTTTTAAATGACTTATTCTGCAAAATGAGACAACTAATCAAATTCTTAACGTTTTACAATTTGGTCCACGCAAACGAACCCTCGGATATTTTCGTGGTAATATAAAAAGTTAACGATGCATGAATCATGATGTATGTATATGATAAGAAACGTAACACACGTGATTGACATTTTTGCTCCATAGAATTACGACGGACTGACTATAGTTATGTATAGTTGAGACGAACTGATTCTTGACGCAAATGAGATGACTAACGACGATATCGTAACGTTGTTTAATTGTGATATTTTTTTTTCAGCACGAGGGTGTCGAACGAGCTCGGGAACGGGAGGCCGAGGGCGGCTCGCCTCGCCGTCTGCGTCGCGTTCGCCATGGTGTCGGTGGAAGCGATCTCGGTCGGGATGGTGTTGGTCGGCGGCCGGAATGTTTGGGGTCACCTGTACAGCAAGGAAAATAGAGTGGTGAGATACGTCGGAGAGATACTGTTGCTGACGGCAGGTTTCCACTTGTTCGATGCCGTTCAGTCTGTGTTTTCTGGGACTTGGAGGGGATGTGGAAGTTAGAAGCTGGGGGCTTTTGTGAATCTTGGTGCTTACTATCTGCTGGGAGTTCCATGCTCCATTGTCCTGGCTTTTGTCTACCATAAGGGAGGGAAGGTATGAACAGTACCATTGTGCTATGCTTGTTACTAGTGAACAGTGAATTATTTGATACGATAATGATGTAATTTTTTATTTATTCAGGGTCTGTGGATAGGGCTCACTGTGGCAGTGTTTTCCCAAGCAATGTTGATGGGTATATTGACAGTCAGAACTAATTGGGAGAAAGAGGTGAGCCAAATTGGATTCTGCTTAATTATATGGATGAATGGTATGAAACTCAAATGGATTCTGCTTAATTATATCATTTTCGGTTTTGTAGTTATGGATTTTGCCCTGATTTTTTCACTTTTGTTTCACAATCAATTTAATCTTTTCGATTATTCGTTCTTAATTTAAACTGTCCATTGTTTTTTTCCTTATAGGCAAAGAAAGCCAATGACAGAGTTTACAAAAATATCGTTCAAGATGACGAGCACCCTGTTGTTATTGAAGAACCTTGAGAAGGAAAGAAGAAGGAAATTAACATTCAACAATAGATGATATCCAAGGCAACAACAAAATCCTCAAGTTGGTGGATTTCGAATCCTTGATAGTTTCTTGTTGCTCTTGCCACAGTATTTTTAAGCTAGTCTAGCTTGCTAGTTCTTATATTTGTGTGTGGGGGTGGGGGGAGATAGTGTGTATTTATATGGAGAGACATAGTTTGTTACAGCTTTTATGATTTGCTTATAATTGGTAGGTTTTTTGGATAGGAGTCGCAATAACAATGGTTTCTCAAGCATAGTTGCTCACAACAATGACCATGAGAACTCTTTTTTTGTATCGTTTAAATTTTATTGGATACCACCGAATGAATGAGAACTCGTCCTTTTTAGTTAGAATAATATATATGATATCATTAAAGAAACGAAAATTTTAATCACCAACAATATTATAAAGAGAAATAGTTGAGTGAAGTGTGTGATTTTGATAATATTCCATAAAAAATAGTTGATTCATATACAATATTGCGTAAAAAAAATCACATTGCTTTTCATTTAGTGCCAAGATTCTCTTATGTGGATTGTTATTTCCTCATTAGAGTTACATCCTTGTATTTGTCCAATAAATAAACAACCCCATTCTTCATCTCGTTCAGTCATCCTATTTCGAAACCGTTCTAGCAATTCCGTCGTAGCTACGCCGGAATCATTTACTTGTCTAACTCGCCGGTGACAGTCTACCGTTACTCGTAACTGACTTATGGATTTCCCCCTATACGAATGGGTCGACGGGAGACGGAAACCCCTAACGGAACTCTCCCGGGCCCGCGGCCCAAACCCACAGCGTAAAAGAAAAGCGGGCGGGAGAGAGAGAGAGAGAGCGAGAATTAGCCAAGAGGAGAGGGAGAAGAGGAAATCGAAATTCCCAATTCAAAAGTTCTCAACTTTCATAGCCAACCGCCCAATTTCCTCTCTTCTCCATCCAAGCAATCCGCCGAAGCGACACCAGGGCCATGTATGCGCATTTCTTTTCATCGCCGGCGACAGTCTATTGTAATGATTTGATTCCTACGGCCAAAGTTTGTGACTTCAACGTTATGTTTCAGGGGACCTGTGAAGTTGGAGCTTCGTTGTCCGCAGAGAGTTCAAGGGATTGCTGTCGAACCCGAGCCCAACTGGAGCTTCGAGTCTCTGTTGTCGGAGCTTGATTCGCTCGAGAAGAAGCTTAGTTCGTCGGCCAATTTCCCGGTACCCTTTACTAAAAATCAATCTCGGTACTCGATCCTCTTTCCACATGTTCAAAATTGATAGTCTGAAGCTTGTTTTCTGCCATTTGGGGATTGGTTTTGGTCGTGAACTTTGAATGGGCGGTTTTTGTTGTTTTTCCCCACAGGGGATATCCAAATGGGAAAACTGTGGAGAGGCTTTCAGTGGCGTTCTCCATGCGAATATCTGATGAGGAGCTGGAAGTTTCTGACGAGGAGGAGGATGATAGTCGAGCTTTAGTAGTAGCGAAACGGTTCAATTTAGATGATGTTGATGCAAGGTAATGTGCTTGTTTACTGGTTGAGTGAGTCTATGAACTGGGTTATGATAAAGTTTTGTACTTGACAGATTTTAGTAGTCGAGTTAAGGTTCTATGGTATATGTATCAGACTCACGCATTTTGTTGCCTATGTGTCTGTCGATATGTCTCAGAGAGAATGATGCATCTGATCAGGAGTTTGGTGCTCTTGATGTTCAACCCTATCTAATGGATGAAGTTGGGTTGGTGGAAGCTGCGTTGTTTGAGCGGATTCATGAACATCAACTTGAAGTAAAGGTGTGTGGATGATAAGTCATTTTCTTCCTGCTCATTATGTATGATTGGCATAGATCTTACTATTTCATTTTATTGGAAAGTAACTTAATTTAATTTAATATAGGAGGGGATTAGAAGCCAACTATCGACATTGGAGTTGGATTTAATAAGCAAAAATCAAAAGGATGCTTCAGCATTTGCTCGTATAGACAAGTATAGTGAAGCGAGAAGGGAAACAGACCGGAAGCTCGACACCTTGTACCAGCGTAACATGTAAACAACTTTTAGCTTCTTGGATGTGGATATCTTAAATCTTTTCTGGAATCCAGAAAAATATTGTAGCATGATAAATGAGCTGCTAATATGTTTACTATGTAGTGCAGAAGCACTAGATGATCACTTGACTGCTATCCAGCGGGATCATGAAATCAAGTCCCAGATGGAAGAAAGAAGAATAAGGATTGATGCAGAAGAGGCAAAGAGAAAGGAAAAGGCTGTTCAAGAAGAGAGACTACGTCAAGAAAGAGCCAGAGAAGAAGCCGAGGTATATTAAGTTCCTTTCAAATTTATTGGTTTATTGCTATTTGTTGTTAATAAACTCTTGGTCATATAGTGATAGCAAGTGCCTACTCTCCATTTATTTCGTGCATGAATGTGCCCTTCATGGCTAATTATTTTCGTTGTGAGGTATATTTCTCCGAATATGTAATTAGAATCCTGGTTTCAGGAGGTTTTATTATCCTAGCGGTTAAAAAGACAATGTACTAGCTAGCAGGAAAATAACCATGGTTCACGGTTTGAATGCAGGCTAAACGTAGAGCTGAGGAAGCTAGAATAGCTGCACTAGAAGCAGAGAAGAAAGCAAAAGAGGAAGCAGCTAAAAGGGAAGCTTTGAAAACTGTTGTCTCATCTGAGCAGACTAATGCCACTGCAGTTAATACACCTCCAAATCAGGATTCACAGTCCCAGGCATCAAAATCCAATACCACAAAAGCATCACAGTCTGCAGGTTCTCTATCCTAGAGTACATATCTACTGGTTATGCTTTTAATTCAAAGACTTCTGCATTCAGTATGTTGAGTCAGCTTAGTTATTGACTTCCTTCTGCCACAGAGACCACTTTAGTTTCTCCAGATAGTCTTTTTTACTCTTTGGAGCATTATTGAGTGCTTCACTTCTCGACCTAGTGTTTGAGCCGGTTCTTCAGTGTATTTTCAGCTAATGCTGTGCTCTGATTGGAGGTTTGGAATTCTGACTCACTAGTTTGTGGCAGGTGATATTGTGAGAGCTTCTGCTTCAGCTCTTTCTCTGGAACAAGGAAGGCTGCAGAAGCTTAGAGAGCTTGAAGACCAAAATCAGTCTCTCATGTCAATGTCCAATATGGTACGCTGTTGATTATGTTGCCTCAATGTCCAAATAGAGTTGGGTCTCATTAGGAGTCAGACTTGCCCGTCCTTTGGATTCTGAATTTCACTTTGTTCCTTTGTTGCCATTGGATATTATCTCAAGCAGTCTGTATGACTTGTTTCCTGTTTCATTCTGTTTAGAACCTTGGCCAGCATACCCGGCCAATTGGTAGACTGATAAGACAGATAAGGGGGATAGAAGAAAACGTAAGGTAAGAGGCTTGTCTTAGACCTCTTCTTTGCGTCTTTTAAAGGAGAGAAGTTCTGGAAAGTGATTTTTCTTCCTCCTTTTCTGGAACGTTTCTGTTATGTTAGCAATGAGATTCTACTTCTTGCTGAATGACCGATTTGGTTACTTCTACAAGTATGTTCAAGGCACCAGCTTCTTAGCAAACTGTCCGATGATCTTAATTTTCTTGAAAGTATAACATTTTCTTCCTGTTTCATTAACTGACAATGTTATTTTCATATGCCCAGAACAAAAGCAAGTGAACTTCTAAAGATCTTCAAGAATCCTGCATGCCCAGAGTCCATCACCATTGCAGCATTTGCGAAGAAGGTAATCTTGACTGTTTAGTGAGAAGGTTATATGTTATTGATTGCTAGATGGTTGGGTAATGGAATATATGGAAACACTTAAAATTCTGATGTAAATTTTCTTGATATACAGGCTGTTGAACATTGTGAAAACCCTGACAATGCCGCTTTTGCATCTGCTCAAGTAATAGTTCTCATCACTTCACAGGTACAGCATCTTTATGTGGTATTCTTTCTGCTTCTTGACTTCCATGCATGACCTCTGATGTCGTTATGGTGTTCTATTTCTCTGTTGTGAGTTCTATGGTACCTCATTTTGTATGCGATATTCAGTAGTATATAATTGACAAGCCCCAAGGTACCCTGCAATATGGAGTGGAAAGAAGGTATTGGGCCTAGTTTCCCATATTATTTATACCTTATATAAGGCTTGTCAACATTTCTGGTCTACATATTGCTTAAGCAAGACATTTGCTTCGAAGATCAATTTCATTAGTTACCTGCGCTAAAGATCAACATTTCTGGATCTACATGTGTTCAATTGTTTTCATAACAGGTCCCATATGCAATGGATCTGATTTTGGCCGAGTTCCATAAAGCTTGTATATACACTGTCCCGAAGCATATAGCATATTCAAAGGTAACCAATTTTGCAGTGAATTTTTTGAACAAGATTCTTCTCAATCATTCTAAGTCTGGTTTCTGTGCACTTCAGGCCGCGTTCAGCTCTAAAGAGGCTTATTACAAAGAACAGCTTGGGTTTAAGGAAGATGGCGGGCAACTCGAGAGTGTCAAAGATTACTTAAAACGCATGGAAGCTTACATGAGATTGTACGGAGCTCTGGTTCAGGTATGGTTTGGTCATCTACATTTCCAGTCATCTTCTCTGTCAGTTATCTCACTCATCATCTAAAACCACTACTTGATCACATCAGACCGAAACAGTACGTGGTATCGAGAACCCTCATGGCCCAGCAGCAGGCTGGTCGTGGCTCGCCAGATTCCTAAACGCTCTCCCAGCCAATTCATTCACCGCAGTAGCACTGAATGCATTCCTCCAAGTAAGTCTGGATTCTGATTTCTCAATTTTCAACACTTGTTACCCAGTCATACAAGAAATCATCCAACTTTATGTCATTCTTGTTGCAGACAGCTGGGTTTGTTCTGTATAGAAAGTACAAGTCCCAGTTTGCGAAGCTTCTGCACATGGTCTCGAGTCACTTCCTGAAAGCGCTGAAAACTCGCAATGATCCTGACCTAAGGCCTATAATCACGGAGATCGAGTCGTACATTCAAGACAAGAGTTTCCTAAAAGAGCCAGAAGGGAGGAGGATGGAAGGGAAGCCCTTGCTCTCCAGCCAAATGCCTTCTGAACCCGAGTACAACCAGTACAACCAATACAACAACACTTACCGGCGTTAAACATCAGAATCTGTCATTGTCCTGAAGGTGGAGAAGCCTCATCGTGATGTCTTGGCTTGATGTACTCTCCCTGTTTAAGGAATGCTGCGGTGGTTTTCGTAATTTTTTTTTTCTTTACAGGCTTGTTGTAACTTAACATTCTTCCAGGCTCAATGCCATGGACCATCGAATAACACAGATTAGAGCTATAGTAACAAAATGAGCACGATTACGGTTCTTTCACCTCATCTAAAATTCTGTCAAATATCTTGCCAATTTTTCACCTCGTTAAGAAAATTGAATAAGAAACAAATAAAATCCATTAACCCAATCTAATTATTATAAGGGAACTTATAATAGCTAGTTTTGAGCAACCAATAAATGAAATAATGGCAGGACGGTGTTCTAAATTGATCAATATCCTGCTAAAACTAGAAACTTATTCGTCAATGGGAAAGAAAATATTGCTTTAAAGTACTCGAAATATTGAGTAAAGTGAGATATTAAACTCAATATGGTAGCTTATTTGATGGCTAGAAAGACCCTTTTTTTTATACTCGATTGTATATCGTTCCTTTGATTTTATGATCCGACTTAATATCGGATCGGAGTGTAATTTGTTTGATCTTTTGCTCAATCAATATATGATTACCTTTTATTAAAAAACAAATCTAAATTTAGGACTTATAAAATACTTTTGCAAGTTATGGATCAAACTAAGGAGTACAAAATCCAAACTACCCATCAATTAACTAGGGATAAAAACTAGCATAGGTTCAAGGTCCAAAGTGAAATATACACTACTAGAGTCATGTATAACCATGGAAATCAACATGAACAAATATTTACCCATGACTACTATTATTATCATTATAATTCACACACTTGCTTACAACCACAAAAGATAAGAAGCTATAGCTGCTATATTTTCCATATCTCTCTCATTCACCATATCTTATGAACCATCGCAAGAACAATACAATATCACAATTCACAACTACTACTGCACCATTTCCTCGCGATCTCAATCGATATTCAGAATAAACCTGCGCCATCAGAAGATCGAACAGCACAATATTCCCAGCTCGAATCATTGGACGAGGATGAAAACGATCCAGATCTATAATAATTCACATCATTACTAGTCTCAAACTCATTCGACCACCACACCAAGCTGCTACCACTGTTGTCCAAATTTCCCATGATGAAATCATCACCACCACCACCATAGCTCGAGACATTATTGATATTGTCAGTGTTCATCAGATTAGGCGACGATGAGTGATCCATTCCGTTGGAGGAAGTAGGAGTACAAGTGTTGTAGTTTGTGCTAGGGTTCATCATCATCATATCCTCCTCCAATGGCTTGGCAATAATATTATTGCTTGGTGGAGATTCCATCATTACTGGCTGTGGCAAGAGAGGCAGTTGCATGCTGCTGCTGTTGTTGTTATTCTCATCATTCATGGCTTGGAGGAGTAATTTCTCCTGGAAAGGGTGGAGCTTTGGCCAGAGCATGGTGTGGAGCAATGGGTTCTGGTTTAGGGTTTGGAGCTTCATGTGGAGCTGCAGCCTTTCCAGTGCTGAATTGCTCAAGCCATGAGATGGTGATGGCGATGGACTTTGATGATGGTCATGTTCTACGGCTGCGGTGGCCGGAGATCCCTCAGGAGATTGTTGATGGTGGAGTTGTTGCTGCTGCTGCTGCTTCCTTCTGCCTAGAAGCTTCTTCTTCAGCCTTGTGTTCCAGTAGTTTTTTATGTCGTTATCTGTTCTTCCAGGAAGTTGAGCTGCGATGATCGACCACCTAATAGAACAACAACAAATGATTTGAGTTATTCATGACATGAGCTGATTTTTGTATATATAGTAAAATCAGAACATATGTAATCGAAATGAATGTTCAAATTGTAAGTAACCACGTGAAGATAATCTAATAAGCAAGAGGGTTTAGCAATGGCGTACGTGTATACTATGCATCATAAAATGAAGTAAAAATCACGACATAACTAATTATGCAATTTTTTTTGTACATATGTAGAATATTAATCCGATATTGGAATCATATTTAGACAATATTGTGCAATTAATTAGTTCGTAACACATGACACGGAAGTGAAGAGACACAATGGAGCATACAAATAATCAGTTCATACCCCTTTTCATTTGTAGATGCATGTGAAAATTTGAGTATACATACATAGAATTCAACCCAGACAATAAGCATCAGAAACAAATGAAACAAGACAAGCAAATCATGGCCCAAAAACCCTCAGAAAAAGCTCTCTTATCACAACTACATAGCCATGTTAGTAGTGTCAGTAATATATATACTTTGATTCTTTTTTTTTTTTTTCTGGTTATTACCTGCTTCCAATACTGATGTAGAGGCTGCAGATGATGTTGTCTTCTTCCTCAGAGAATCCACCATGCTTGAGGTTTGGCCTCAGGTAATTCAGCCACCTCAGCCTGCAACTCTTCCCACACCTCTTCATCCCTACCAAAAAGATTCAACACCCTGTTAATAACAAAAAGAAAAATAATGATAATAATAAAAATTGAAGACTGATGTCGATTCAGACGAATGGATAACATCCACCGCATCCTGGATTCGAAGAGTTGTAGAAAGAGTAACATGTATAAGTACCAATCTTTTGAGGGAGTGCAATCCAGTTGCCGCCGGTGCCATGCTGTTCGATGTAATCTTTGAGCTTGGCATCTTCTTCAGCAGACCATGGCCCTTTCTTCACATTTGCCTTGTCACAGCATGGAGCTCTCCCCATGTTTTCTTTCTTTCTTTCTTTCTTTTCTTCTTCTTCAGCAGCAAGGAACAATGGATTCTGGTGGGGGCTCGAGATCGATGGGACTTCTGTTTCTTTTGTTTTGTTTGATCTTGTTTGTGATGATGAAGGAGAAATGTTGGGAAAGGGATGACTCGAGATTTATAGGGGCAAGGCCAGGAGGGGAAAAAAGTCTTCTCAAGCCAACAAAGTTCAACCCTGTACTCTCTCTCTCTCTACTTACTTCCTTAGGGTTATCTGGAAGTGTGTTTTTTTCCCCAAGAGGTGTGATATGTGACTCGTTCTAGCTTGTATCCATTCTGACAACTCGAGTTATTGAGATGAAAAAGTTATCAATATTGTGTAAACATAAGTCGTGCATATGTTTTTATAAAGGTATATGTAGTACTACCTCTCTTATATCATAAACGAACTGGTGTCAATAACTCGAGTTGTTGAGAGAGATTCATATATATATGGTACTTCATCACTTTTTTTTACGCACTCCCTTAAACGAATGCCAACTCATTAGTTTGAAGTTTGCACAGGCTCGCTATACCATGTGCTCTAAGACAACGGTTAATATTGTGGGTCGTGAGGACTTCAACATGCGACCTCAATGACAAACCAGCTCTGATACCATGTCTTAAACCAACTGGTCACAATAACTCGAGTTGTTGAAAGAGGTCGGTGTATGGTATTTAATTACTTCTTTACATCTTACAACAATTTGAGTTATTGTTGACGAATCCGATGTACCCACAACGTCAAAGGTTAAACTGAATACAAGGTACAATGAGTATGTGTATTTTCAAACTCTACGTATCAACCAAACTTCGATCGTTTTGACCACTCCTATCAACCCGATCGAGTGGTTGCAACAAATTAAACTTATTTAGGGTTTAATATTACTCTAGGGTTTGAAGAAATTGGTGCCTGCCCCTCTTTCTTATCTGAATTATTATATCATTGGGCCATAATGAATTATTTTATTTGTGTATGCTTAGGGCTGGACAAAGTAGAACGGAAATTTTCTTCCTAGTTATTTGCCATTTTAATATTGTGGAGAGCTTTATGCCTTTATTATTATTTCCCCCAACTTGTTTATTGTTTGAGAACAACCACACATGCAGACAAATACGTATCCTTCTGCAGGGTTTGCGGGGTCTAGAAAAAACGGTCCCTTGTCATTGGCGCCATTTAAGCAAAATGTTCTTTGACTAATTAAGAGCTAACCCCAGCCACAAGATTGAATGTTACACTATTCTCTCACATATCTTGTCAACCAAAAATACTAGTTTGAAGTTTGCACAGTTGATTCATGTAAATCAAAAATTCTAAAACCTGTTTATCCTAATAATTCGAGTTAGGAGAGCTTCCTGGAATTAATCTAGGAATTGAAGATCCTTGACAAGAACAAAAGGGTATGGGATGACACATTGCTACTCAATATGTGAGCTTAATCATAGACAAATGATATACTTCTAGCTAGACTATGAGTTTATCTAATTAAATAGATAAGTTGAAAACAATAACAACATTTTTAACTAGCTAGGACATCCATAAAATTAAAGGAGCATTCTTAATTAATTTCAATCACAAGAAAGTCAGCATTGATAATTCTATAAAAAAAAGCATCTATTGTATCAATACATGCATTTATATTACAATAATTCATTACAATACAACGATTTAACATGCGCATCTTCCAGATAATCCATTGGCAGAATCGAGAAAAGATGAACGGTAGTAGCAAAAAGAAGTTTAGACCATATAAACAATGCAAAGATATTTTTTGTTCAAAAAGTATCATCTCTATTCATTGACCTAATAAGGTTTTATATATTAACTTAATAATAATTTGATGAGCTAGCTATCCCTACTTTGAATTAAGAGCCAAGTTGATCAAGAAGAACCTGAACCCACATAGAAGTTAACAAACAGAAACCTACCAAAAAATTTCAAGGAAAAAAGCAGAACCTAAATATTATTATATTATTATATCTAAAATCACCACCAAACAAATTAATTAAATTGAGGGAAAGACTGAGATAGGGTTATGCTTTAATTTAATTAATTGAATGGGAAAATCAAAACATGCTTCTGCTTGTCTTTTTATCCCAAGCTTAGAATCTCTCTTTGATGGGATTCTTTTTTTCTTTTTGGGTAGCTAGGTACTTGACATTGCCATTAGTTTCATCATCAATATATAAGACCAAACTCCTTGTGTCTAATATTAATTGTTATGTATTTTATATGTAGATTGATGAATTGTATAAATTGTTGTTTTTGGAAAGACTTTTGTGTTTGCTTTGTTAGTGAGGGCTGGTAAAGGTGGTCCTGAGCTGGTTTTAGAAGATAAGCTTTTGGGATCTCTCAATAATCTTCCCTAGTTGCTTAATTGAAGAGATAGGGAGAGAGATTGCAATATATAATAATCATATAAACATTCCATGATTGATACTCCTACTCCTACATTTCTAGCATTTATACATATCACCATGTCAAATGAGGATTTGGATTTAGCGATATTGTTGTTGGTTTTCAACCCGAAATCACACATTTAAAATTAAAAGATAGTTAATAGTTGCGTAATTACTCAAATGAAAGTTAACCCATGTGATTGAAGTTAATTTGTACAAATTCGTTATACATTGTGCTTCAATCAACTGTTAATATTGAAGGTTGTGCGAAATAGAACAAGCCACTATATGCTCGTACCATACAAGCTCTGCTACCATATAATAAACCGTTTGATTCAAATAACTCACGTTGCTGTAAAGAAGACCAATTATGAATTATCGCTCTCTTAATGCATGTAGTTGTTTGAAGAAGGTTAATTATCGATCACTATTCTCTTACCCTTAACATATTGAACACGATAGTACTCAAGTCTCAACTAACAATCTAGGTACCTAATAACCGCGTTACATTGCGCTTTGGTGGGGAGAAATTAAATTAAAATATAGGGACTAAGAAAAATGGACACCCATCTATCGTCACAAAGGTTGACAAAGACACATGCTAGTGGACTAGTGAGTTGTGCGTACCCCCTACAATATAATATGTTACCTGCATGGAAATTTTATGGATATTTTACTTTAGGATGTATACTATTATGTACCAATATCCTCATCTTGGGTGACCAAATGTCAACAATGGTCACTAACATAGGGATTGTTATGCATCCGCCATTGAAATTGACCTTCTTAAAAACAGGTACAAAATCGACTCTGTCTCACTTCCCTCGGAAAAAATGCGCGACTAGTTTTTGTTGACTCCACGTCCTAGATCAACATCCAACTGAAACATCCTATAAACCTAAAACACATAGAGACTGGATCGAGTTGGAGTCGAATTATATATTTAAGGGTCGTCAAAAGTAAGATATAAGAGTTAATATTGACATAGCAAATCACTCGGCTGTGGGCAATTTAAGCCCGTGTCATCCTACATACCATTGCTAGCGTCCAACTTACAGGGTATGTAGACTCACAACACGTAATGGGCTCTCCAATTAGAAGCAAATCGAGTAATCATCCCAACGTAGATTCTTCCCTTGTTAATCAATTTAGTGACCAGTTTGTAACAACCCTCAAGTCTAGTGGTGATGTTGGCATGTGTAACCCCAAAACTGTAGTTCCATTTTGTTATTGTAAACTCAATATGCAACAAACCAACGCAGTTGCTGAGCTCAGAGAATGAAAAGCCAGCCATTTCCAATGAGTTGCCGCCATTTGTCAAATGCCATAGTCCACACTTCATGTTTCTGTTCCATCTTCCCACATACTATAACCAACCCATGGCCCATAGTTTATATATCAACCCAAGGATACAAGAAATTGACTTGCCTTCGATCACCTTATTCAACTAACCAAGATGGCCACTTAACCACAACACTTGTAACAAAATGGTCACTCCATTCTCTCTCTCCCCTAAAATGGTAACCCACGTATCGTCTTGTAACGAGACGATACTGTGACGAAAATCAACTTGTTCTCGTATTTTGTACGAACTAAGCTCTCAATAATGTGAATGCAATTGACCATATAACTTTATTCCATACCATTATCTTGATGATAAACTTCTTCACCAAATACTCAATACTATATTCTTTGACCTTTGTCCTCTAAGTAATCGGGTTTGCATGATTGAACAGACCATATTGGAGTGGTTCTACGGTACTCCCTTGGCTCCTATCAACATAAAAGGGAAAGGTACCAAGCCAAAACAATGATGTCACACTTATTGACCAAAAAAGATTCACACAATATATACCCACCGCTGACCTTTCAATGCCATAGAGGGAGTTGGTAAGTCAAACACTGCATTGACTTTCAGATTTCTCAATCGTCACCTGTACCATGACACCACCAATAGAGGTTGAGAAACAAATGTCAACAGGTAACTGTCGACAAAGCACACTCTCACTTGCATCACTCTGTGCTCTAAACGCGACAGAAGGTACAGATTATCGACGATATACACGTACAGAACATACACATGTTGCGCCCTCAGGCACAGTGTCTGGCTTTCATGAAGCAATCAAGTGACAAGCTGTGTATCATAAGAGACATGAAATTGTACATTTAACATGTACTCGAATAGTTCATATGCAGAATCAAAGAGGTCAAAGAAAAAAAGCTACAATCTTTCTCACAGCAGCAACAGAGTGAAATTTTATGCTGCCTCGACTTCTGATGAGCTTCATTGCACCATAAATAGACAGTGCTCCATCACAGCAAGCAACAGTAACAATAATAAAGAACACATTGAGCTCAAAATTTGTGCAGTCCATTTTATGTGTGGGAAAACGTCCCTCAGCAGTGTGCAGGAAAGAAACCCAACCAAAAGAAGGGAACATGGGGCTAAAAGCCAATATAGCATACTTTCTAATACAGCTAGCTATTTGGCCGGCCAAGATCCCATCTGATAAACTCATGCTGAAGCGCGAATAGAGTGCTATGCGTCGTCGTCTTCGTCCTCCAAGAATGGAGAAAGCTCTTGGAGGAGGCTAAGGAAACACCGGAACTTCATCATCATCATATATAGATAGATAGATATATACATATCCTCCCCCTTCATTCCAAATAGTAGCAGAGATAGATTATATTTCACTACCATTTATATGATCACATTCAAAATAGCAAAAAAAACCTGCACAAGGAAGATAAAGGCGATTACTTTCTCAGCCGTTTCTAAAGAAAAAGCGAATTAGAAGCATACTAGGAAGAAACTCACATTCTGATTGTGCATCATTAACCCTCTCCATATTTAGAGAATACGGGGGCATGTTCTCTGAAAGGGGCGGGGTCTCTATCCCATAAGCCTGCAGATACTATCAAGGCATAATAACAATATCATAAATCTAAAGTTTTTTTCTTCTTCTGCTTTATCACTATTTGAAGACTAAAGGGCCAACTTTTTTCTCTGGCTATAATCAGCCAGTCAAGAAGTGAGAAAGATCTACTTCACAATCCGATCATTATTTCAAGTTGATTGCAGCAGCCATGGTCCTCAGCTTTCGAGAAATTTCAGAAAATGATGGTCTTTCTGAAGGGTCAGAAGCCCAGCAACTTTCCATCAAAGATTTCCATTCTGGATCACACCAGGTTGGGATCTTGGGACGTAAAGTGTTGTTCACAATTCCTCCTGCAAGTCATTGAAATGGACTGATGAACAACTTGTAACACTAAGATTTGCAGTTTAGCTTTACTAATCTTGACTGTAAATTCTGCATTGATCAGGGATCTTTTATTTTTCCAAGTTGAAGTCAACTAACTTGTATGGAGAGCAACTAAAGTATTGCTGATGCTACGTAAATGAATACCATAATGGATCTAAGCATACCTATTATTGAGGCACAATGCAAATCCGTATAAGGTTCTTCTCCTGTCAGCAACTCCCACATCACAATCCCGAAGGAATAAACATCAATCTGCGGCCCAGGAGATGTAGAGAACCCAAATGAGGCAGAGAAAAAGGTACAACTACCATCTATCAGAGGTTATAGACTTATAGCTACCTTCTCAGTCACCATATGGGTTTTCCCACTCAGAAGCTCAGGGGCCATCCAAGGTAGAGTTCCACGAACACCACCCGACACAAGTGTTTGCTGTTTGACCTTCGATAAGCCCAAATCGCCAATCTAAGAGAAAACCATATTCAGTTAGCTTCAAAGTTGTTGACTTGAGATAAACTCAAGTCTGGAAAACAGATCCAAACCATAGATATCCTTTTAGAAGCTTTGGTATATTTCACGAAAGAACATTAGCTGAGGAAATGGATTGAGTGAATCCTCCAAAAGATTGGTCTAAGGCTCTAAGCATACCTTGCAGATGGGCCGCTGTGGATCTCTCATATTTACTAACAGGTTTTCACACTTCAAATCAAAATGAACAATATTCTTCCCGTGCAGATACTCCATGCCAAATGCGGCATCCATTGCTATGATGAGTCTCTTGCGCCGGTCAATGGTTCTGCAGTGAGATTGGGATGTTAACTACTCTTCAAGTAAAAAAAAAAAAAAAAAAAAAAACACAATGTGTGATCACTTTCATCCATTATCCATGCAACACAAAATTGTTGAACCAACGGTTGCAAGTTTACCTGTCCTTCTTTTGTAAAAACTGCTTCAAAGAACCATTGATCATGAACTCTGTTACAGTTGCTAAGGATCCGTCAGGGCCATCACGAACTATACCATAGAAAGAGACAACATTGGGATGGTGTAGTGAACTCAATATTAATGCTTCCTTCCAGAAATCTGCAATCTATAGAAGTAGTTGTATCTCCAGTTAGAATGATTGAGACAGAAGGTCAATCAATTAAAACAAAAATGTGAACAGGTATGCAATATGTTAACAGACTGGTTAAATGGAGCAAACTGCTGACATATATAAATGTACAACGTTGAGAATTGAAAGAATTGAAAGTGTAATGTACCAGTCGCTCTCTTTCAGAAGGTCTTCCAGCAAAACAACTAGCCTTTATTCTTTTTATAGCCACATCAGAACCCTTCCATTTCCCATGATAAACAGCTCCATAAGTTCCAGAACCCAATTCACGGATCTCCTCCAGGTCGTCGTTTCTTATAGTCTGGGCATAAAAAAAGAAGCTATAATTTGTAAACATTACAAATGGAGTGTAGCAGAAGAAAACTGAAAAAAAAAAACATCTTTAACAACAGAATCTCCGTGAAATAAGCAGTTACAATTTTATGGAAACAGAAGTTCCACAAACCTGTAATCCCCTCTCGATAGCTTCGGCCTCAGCCTTTGTGGGCTCAATCTTGTTGAGGTTTGGATTATCCGAATCCAACTCTACTTCTTCAACGCCATTCTGTGAAAAGGCAACCATTAAAGTGAAAGCTTAAAGTACAAAAGCATTTCCAGTGGAAATGAAGTCTGCTGCTTCTCACCACTGCTTCAGGCTCCTTGACAGTTGCTTCTTTGGATGCCACAGTATCCTTCAAAGGAGAAACATTTTCTTCAATTCTCGCTTTCACTTCCTCAGCCTCCTCCAATGCAGCTTTCTTTGCAGAAGCAATTAACTCAGGTAAGTAACTTAAGTGGTTCACAGATAGCTTAGAGTCCCCAACAGAAGACTTATATTCACCCATTGGCATGAAATTGCTGTCAGCATGACTCTGCAAGTTATTTGGGTCTGACAAATCCACCAGAGCCACCTCCTGATTCGGGTTGACAACATGAACTAAATTAACCATATTCAGTTTCCCTGCATAACTCGCATCTATTTCTGTGCCACCAATGTTTGTCTCTTCCTCTTTTGCCATGTCAGGGACCACAACAGTGTTGCCGAGTCCAACAGGAATGTGACTAACAGTGGCTATTGGAGCAATTGAATTTGCTATTTCACGTGGAAATGGAAGTGGAGGACAAGTAGATTCGGGAGCAATCGACTGCCTAGCGTCCACCCCATAACTAGCTGGATTAGTGTTCAAAGCAGGGGGATAAGCATACTCCGGGACAGCGACGGCATCAAAACCCAACCTGGTCTGTGAGGAGTCAGACCAAGCATGCTGAGCATCAATGCCAATAGCTACAACCCTTGGACCACCCTCTACCGTGCCTCTAATATAAGCAGGATTTAATGTACCATTAACTTGCGGGGCTCCAGTGGCTGCTTCGTAAGGACCTCCAAGCATAGGGTTTTGAGCATTTCTCCACAAACTCTGTCCATGACCATGTCCATGAGGCATCTGATAAACTGTTTCAGTTCCATAAGCACCAGGAAAATTCCCATATCTGATGCTACGATCGTCGACTGGTGGCACGTGCTGGTGATGTGCAGGAGCTACTGATGGATCATGAAATGCTTCATTCCCCATGTCAGGACCAGCTCGATGTGGGGCATAACTGGAAGAAACATGATGGCTGTCACCTAAAGCCCCATGACCAAGTGAGTAGTGCCTGCCTGGACCTTCTACAATATAATGTTGATCATTAAACCTACCAGCTCCAGAGAGATAATGGTCGTTTGGGTATACAGTGTGGTGCATGTTTGGATCTCCATGTACTAAGAAAGCTTCTCTATTTGGTGGAGAACACTCAGTACACGAATTAACACCATGGGGAATACCATTTCCCATGTTAGCCTGCTCCAAATGCAGCTGACTCCTCTGAAAAGGAGTGTGACAATGCTCACAGGCACTACTATTCCCTTCCATAACGCCTTGACCATGCATCAAATTGCCCGGGAAACCAGCTTTATCATGCATCCATGCCACATTCTCGGTATAAGGTACCTGATGGTTCATCTGCAGACGAGCATACTCTTCAGGCACCCTATCCATGCTTTTATCAGGCATATCCCCAAATGGCATCCGATATCGAGCTGATGGGGGCGAACTCGGAAACTCAGACATTGATCTTGGATGATCATGATGCCCATGATGCCTGGGAGAATAATAAGCTGGGCTCCATGGACCTTCCATTTCACTGTACCTTTGAGGAACAGCAACATGTCGAAGATGGTACTGTGGCAAAGACACATCAGGATTCCTCTGTCCATGAATCCCACCATCAAGACTCATCTGGTTGAAAAAATGCTCATCAATCATAGGGGAATCGATCTGCTGCTGCCTATGAAAATCCGCCACATCATTCAAATTGTTCAACGCATCCACATACCTCCTCTCGGTCTCTCTATCATCCCCATCAACAAAATGGGGCGACCCTTCTTGCTCAGAGTGCGAGAAGAGGAAAATTCTGAGCCTAGTGAATCCATCCCCAGACCCCAATTTCTCGTACTCCTCCATCATATTGGTGACATCATCATCATTCACAACCGAGACCAGTGCATCGAGATCCTCATCCGGCTGCTGATACTTCAACAGCGCTGCACCTTCGTAAAGCTCCCTCATCTTGCTCATAAGCTCCTCATACCCAATCTCCCTAGGCAAGCTCACAATCCGGGTCTCCCCGCCCACATACCGCAGTTTCCCGTCTTGTGGGCGAGGCATTATGCTGCCTAAGAAGCTACAGAGGAATTTCACTCGTGGGGTTTCGTCATTGGGGCTAAAGTTTAAACCTGGGGTGGAATTAGTGGCTGAAGTTGGAGTATCCATCGAAGTCTGGTCGCTTGTTTTATGGTTCTGGCTCAGGGATGCAATCCCTTGGTTACACATGGAGAGCGGGAGGTGGGAAGTGTTCACTCACTGGAAAAAGCTTCCGATTTCAACACATCCACAAAGCGAAAACCACACATAACATAAAGGAAGTCCCTAAAATCATCAAATCCGCCGACCCCAATCATGGCGCTCCGCGACAGAGGTGGCAGCTCTTCACCCTCACCCACCGCCGCCGCCGCCTCCCGATTAATATTCAACACGGATTCTCCCGAATCAAAACGCAATCAATCCCTTCCCTTTACGGAAACCCTCAATCGAAGAATTCTGAAAATCAAGAAAAAGCGCCGATTGTACCTGGGCAGAGCGGGAAATTCTCTCAATGAATCTTTTTCGTTTCCTTTTTTCGTGATAATCGCGTCAATGGAAATTCGACATTGGTGAAGAAGACGACGACGAAGAAGGAATGGGATTTTGGGGGGAAATGAGAGCGGTGAAGGGAGGGACGATGGAAGAGAATGGTGGAGGAAGGAAGGAGAAATGCGATGGATGGTTGCCAGCGTAGCGTCACACGTGGCAGCCTTTCGGTTCTGCGAATAATTATGGTTTCCCTTTTTCGTTTATGAAAAGTTAATTTCTTTCTATTTAGTATTTATATATTTATCATTATTCAAGGAGCAGAGAGGGATATGCCCACAGCATCTTTCAGCACGCGCCTCAACATTTGCTTCCTCCTGTCTCGAATTCTGAAAATGCGTCTCCCACCGACCAATAGTTCAATGCCGCGTGGCTTCCGGCCAACCTAAGGCCATGCCACACTCGCTAAATTCTCTACGCGCTGCAAGGGACAAGTGAAATGTCACGTGAAGTGCGAGTGGGTTTGAAAGATTTTGGTCTTTGAGGATGGCGATGGTGACGTCGTTGTCAAAATCACGTAATGGTCGCAAAGGACAAAAAAAACAATAAGAAAATGGATGAATGTGAGTATATCTAGCCCAGTCCTCTTTTTTTTTAAAAGAGCTATCTAGCCCAGTCAAACAATTAGCCAGTGAGCCCAATTGTAAAGAAACGAGCCCAAAAGAAAAGGGCCGTATCTCCAAGTCCGTGCCTGAGTTTAAACAAAATTGATAATACAAGTCCCTTAACGAAAGATGGAAGAAGTACGGGGCTAAAACTGTAAGTTCCAATAATATTTGAGATGCGAAGGGAAATAAAGATATCTATACAAAGGTCTGAGCTTCCAATTTTCATCAGAACAATCCCTAGACCAATTTCTCCGATCTTCCGATAGATAGATTTCCGATTTCAATCACCGTGCCTCCGCCGCATCGACGAATCTAGCTTACCGAGGGCGTCAACATGGGTCAGGGTCCATCAGGTATGAACCGCCCGCCGGGCGATAGGAAGGGAGATGGCGACAACAAGAAGGAGAAGAAGTACGAGCCCGCCGCCCCGCCTTCCCGAGTCGGGCGGAAGCAGAGGAAGCAGAAGGGTCCCGAGGCGGCGGCGCGGCTGCCGACGGTGACGCCTTTGTCTAAGTGCAAACTGAGGTTGCTTAAGATGGAGCGAATCAAGGATTACTTGTTGATGGAGGAGGAATTCGTCGCGAATCAGGAGAGGTTGAAGCCTCAGGAGGAGAAGAATGAGGAGGATCGATCTAAGGTCGACGATCTCAGAGGGTCGCCGATGAGCGTCGGGAATCTCGAGGAGCTGATTGATGAGAATCACGCCATTGTTTCGTCCTCCGTTGGTCCCGAGTACTACGTTGGAATTCTCTCCTTTGTCGATAAGGACCAGCTTGAGCCCGGCTGCTCGATTCTGATGCACAATAAGGTAATTTGAGCTTTTTCTCCCGATAATGAACTGACAGGAGTGAAATTTCTTTTATGAACTTAGGATTCGGAATTCGGTGTTTTGAGCTGGAATTGCAAGCTTGTTGTAGATATGCATAGGTAGTCTAGAGCCGGAATGTTCATCGTCCCATGTTTTTGTTAATGGGATATTGAAGTTCAAAGCTTTTCTGAATTCTATGGCTATTTGATTACGAGCTTAGTTCTGATACTCTGGGACAACATTGCATTCGTTTATACCTTGCTAGGTCCTTTCTGTTGTTGGCCTTCTGCAAGATGAGGTTGATCCCATGGTTTCAGTAATGAAAGTCGAGAAAGCTCCACTCGAATCATATGCCGACATTGGTGGGTTGGATGCTCAAATACAGGAGATTAAGGAAGCAGTGGAGCTTCCTCTTACTCATCCAGAACTCTATGAAGACATCGGGATTAGGCCCCCTAAAGGAGTCATTCTCTATGGGGAGCCAGGAACAGGGAAGACATTACTTGCTAAGGTACTTATACCTCAGTCAAATGCTTAATACGTTTGAAATGTGGTCTAGTTACTATGACGAACTATCTCAAGTCCATGACAATAACCTTCTTTGATGTTGTCCTTCTACTTCAGGCTGTTGCGAATTCTACATCGGCGACTTTCTTACGCGTGGTAGGAAGTGAACTGATTCAGAAGTATCTAGGTGACGGTCCAAAACTAGTTAGGGAGTTGTTTAGAGTTGCTGATGACCTTTCGCCTTCAATTGTCTTCATCGATGAAATTGATGCAGTTGGCACAAAGAGGTAGTATGTTGTTGATGCATTTCCATTGGTGAGCCTGACAGGATGTGCTTTTGAAGGTATCTGATGAAAAAAGAATGTGGTTTCTTTAAGGTATGATGCAAATTCTGGTGGTGAGCGCGAGATCCAGAGGACTATGTTGGAACTGCTGAACCAGCTGGATGGTTTTGATTCGAGGGGAGATGTGAAAGTGATTCTTGCAACCAATAGAATCGAGAGTCTCGATCCTGCTCTGTTGCGTCCAGGGCGTATAGACAGGAAGATTGAATTCCCTCTTCCCGACATCAAAACTAGGAGGCGCATCTTCCAGGTAGATTTTGATGAACATGAGCAACCTAATCCTTGTCTGTAGTATACACAATGTGTCTCTTGGTTACCAATGCTTTCGCTTGTGTTTTGATTATCCATGCAGATCCATACATCGAGGATGACATTAGCAGATGATGTTAACTTGGAGGAGTTTGTGATGACCAAGGATGAATTTTCAGGAGCTGACATCAAAGCAATCTGCACTGAGGCTGGTTTGCTTGCTTTAAGAGAGCGGCGTATGAAGGTAACGTATGAATCAAATTCTGATTCATAATTCTCTCGCTTAGTTCTTCCTTTGTTTTTTTTAGGTTTCATGAGCAATGAAACTCAGTTCTCTGATCTTTCTTTTACTCTGAATTCAGGTAACCCATGTCGACTTCAAGAAAGCGAAGGAGAAGGTTATGTTCAAGAAGAAAGAAGGGGTGCCAGAAGGACTATACATGTGAAGAATGCCTCCTATCATTCCCTCCAGAACTGAGAAAATGCTTTCTTTACTTGTTGGTCAAGTTCTTCGTATTTCGTTTGTCCCTTGTAGCTTTTGCTGTTCAAGCACCATCTTGTCACCGTATTTAATGCTTTCAAATGCCATCGTATTATAAGTTATGACCTTCCCATATTCCATATTGTAGTTAAATGATTTGAGCATGAGAAACCTCAAAGTTGGTTCTTTCCAAGTGAGGCTTAACTGCAGGGTAAAGGGTAGATGATTTGTTCCACTCTGGATCAATGTGGTTACTGAAGTATTCATTCCGGTTCTGTTTAATCATTCTTGATTGTCAATCAAGACACGGTAGAGTCGAATCGTTCACGTAAGTTGTTTCCTTCATCGAAACAAACCATACAGAACTGGGTGTGCTTTTGTTTCATTATGTTCATCTTTTTCTTTCATTCTCAAGGGGTTCCTGTCATGGTTCGTATTAGACTGAATTGCCCATCCATAGATTTACTAGTTACATTACAATTGAAGAAAGATCATCTGTTACGGTGAAGAAACACCAAGCATGACAAATATTTGCAAGTAGCTCGTTTAGATTGTTCAATTGTTTGACTTTATTCCCACCCATAATTTGTTCAGAGGGTCAAAGTTTGAAGCTTTACAAATAATCCTTCAAAAACTATAGCTGTGAACAAGCTCCCCTCGTGTGTAAAAGCAGAGCAAAAAATGTAGACAAAAAAAATTACTTGAACTGTACACCAGCAGAAGTGGATTTGGGGCACATCCCAAGACTCTAATCCAAGGCTTTAGCCATGGCTGAACGTTGAGATAGCTGCTGCTCGTAAAGCTCCCGGAAAATTTTGTACTTGGCATCATGATACTTCTTCACCTTCGGGTCTTGAGATGGACGGACAACCTGGAAATCCAGCCAAACCAATTAACCGTGGAATACATTCAGTCGACAAAATCGATCAAAATACTATAAAACCAGAATCAACTATAACGGAAGAAGATTTTTTGGTTTCTGACTAGTTGATATCATTAAGCCAATAGAGAATTCATAATCAAATATTACGATGGCCTTGAGCCTATTAGAATCTGAAAACAAACGGATCATATGTAGTCTTGGTTGAATGATCAGTTTGATTATGAACAGTGAAGAATTGAACCAATTCAGCCAAAAATCTAAAACCAAGCAGAACCAATACCCATATGAGCACACCCTCACATGGCCTCAAAGGAAGAAAAAAAAAGTAGGAAGATAAGAATGGTACGTCTACAACCTACCTGACCAGCGGCATTCAGTGCCTTCATGGCTTCCATAAGAGTGGGATATTTCTTCGCAGCAACTGCACCAAGTATTGCTGCTCCTAAGAGTACAGACTCACTTTCACGAGGCAGTATAACCGGACAACCTGCATCGTCAATGAGACATAAGCTTATCATGTTGTCAATAAAAGGCCTATAACTACTTCCACCTTGCATTCAGTAAAGAAGATAGTTACCCATAATATCTGCATGTTCTTGGACGTACAGAGGGTTCTTGGAGAGACCACCACAAGCAAGCAATGTGTTGATCTGTGAGCAAAAACAGGGAACTTCACATTAGAGGGGGAAAAGTATAACATTGATGAACTGTTGACAGTCAGCAAACAAATAAGGACTTGGAGATGCATTTACTTTGTGGCCATGAGCATTGCAGTGCTCCACAATATGCCTAGTACCATAAGCAACTCCCTGTATAGTGGCAAGGTACAACAGAGCTAACTGTCCCTCACTTGTGTCAAGAGTCAAGCCGCATATAATACCCTTCGATTTAGGGTCTGCAATAGGAGATCTGCACCATCACAGATTACAACAAGTTTAGTCAATAATATATCGGCACTGCCACCTAGAAAAGCTTTTGTTATTATTATATCTATTATCTACCTATTTCCGTGAAAGTCCGGGAGAACATGTGTGTTTTCAGTCAAAGCAGCAACAAATGGAGACTTCCGCTCCTGCATCATTGTCTTCAAAATACTGTTTAACAATGCAAAGATAGAAGTTTCTGGAAAGGAGAAAGTAAATATAGGTTCAGCATGAGGTAAGTCGATTGTAACCGGTTGAAGTAACGATAATAGTCGGAATGTGTGAGCAAAGATCACTATCTTACTTTGAGATGCAGCTCGCTCTGCAAGAGGAGGAGAAGCCATGTGGTTTTCAATTATGTAATCCAATAATGCACCAGTAGCACTCTGTCCACCTTCTGTAAGCCAATACTCAGGCAGCATTGCTACGAACATTGGAATAAAGTTGATATCTAGTGAGCTAACAGAAGTTGGGAGAGCTAGTAGTAGCAAGTGCCACTCTTACCTATAGGCTATAGATAAAACCTAAAAGCCTGTTCCTCGATATGGAATTCTTTTACCTGACCAAAATGGGCCCCAAACTCCAGGAATGAACAGTTTGCTTTCCGATACGGCCATATGACAGGTAGAAGTACCACAGACTAATGCCATGCGACTGCTAACAGCTTCCTTTTCCGACTCTAGCAAAAGATGAACCCATTCGGGCAAGGCTTGAAAACATGATGCATGAAAGTGCTTGAATATGACAAAGAAGAGATGGTAGTCTTTCATTGTTTTTTTATACTTTCAACTGTAGTCTACCTTTAGCTTCAGAATCTGACTCGGGAACACTTTCCATGATCCCTACGCCTCCAGCATGAGCATCAATCAATGAAGTTCCAACTGGAATTCCTGCTCTAAGACCCATTTCCTGAAAACATAGGGATATATGATTTTGTTAAATGAACCAAGTACTAGATAAATGGGGAGTAGGTTGAATCAAGAATCCTCCATTTGCCGAAGGAAATGGATCTGCTTGAGTTCATCTAACTAAAACAATGTGTTTGCTGTGGCAATGGACCTCAGGGAAGTGTGACTTGAAATGAATGTGTCAATTCTTCAGTACAAAATTCTTGCCTGCGCAGCTGCAGTGGTAAGACCAGAACCCAAAGAATGACCTGGAAGAGCAACACTGCGGCCTGTGCAAAATTTTCCCATGTCAAATTAACTATAGCACGAAGGTTAGCATTATTCTTTGTATTGTTGAAATCACTAAAGGGTTTCATTACTTATCCAAACGATGTATAAAAACTGACATGATGCGCCCATTTAGGGAGACGGTATTTAGATCATAGAGCATGCAGATGAGTCGGAACTTATTATTCTATCTATTAACGGGTTCACACACTAGAAAAACTTCCCCGTACTAGTAAGACAAATTAAAAGGAATAAGAGAAGCAAGCTTACCTATCTTAGCATGATGACCCTCCAAAAGGTCACCCAAGCCAATCTCTTCCCAGAAATCATCATCCCATCCACATGCTTCCATGTCTCGCAAATTCTTCTCCTTCATCTGCTGCATGTGTGCATGACCAAGATATGTCCATTTGCAGACCGTTGTGCACAGACTTCTAGTATCATCTCCAGTGGCTCTAGAAAAAGAAACGCAGCTTAGGAAACAACCTCATCTAAAGAACACTTGAGCTGCCGACGACCTAAGGGGGTGAATGTGTACCTGTATGACAACCAATCACTCAAGTCCATCCACCTGAACACCATTGACCATGACTCTGGCAAGTTTTCCTTTACCCATAGCAGCTGCAAGTATACCCTTTGCCAAATTTAATCTAGAGCAAATTGCCAAATATTTTATGCTCATCCATCCTATGCAATTACTTCAGAACTAAAACCACAGCCAACTCCTAAGTTTAAATGTGAGATTTTTTCAACTTGTTTATGACGATATTACAACTATAGTCGACATACGGATTACAAATTTCCTAAGAACCGAGTTACCTTTGGTGGCTGCATTTCAGGAGAAACAGCTCCACCACAGTATTGCAACACGGGCGAGTTAAAAGAATTGATCTTTTCAGCTTGCTTAACAGCCCTGTGGTCCATCCACACAATCACATTCCTCCTTGAATCGCCACTCCACGAAACAGTAACAGGTGCACCATCAGAATCAACGGCAACTAAAAACAACCAAACGTATCCTCCAGTTAAAGCCAGCTTTCAGCAACTCAACAGTCTGAACTGAAAAACGAAGCTTTTCAAACAAGAAATCCAACCAAGGGAACATGTAGCAGCAAATCCAATCCCGGTCACTTCATGGCCAGCAACATTAGCAAGGGAGCAAGCCGACTTCACAGAAGCACAGACAGCATGCCATATGTCCGTCGACGATTGCTGATATCGAAAAATACTCCATTCATCAAGCAAGCAATTCGATTGGGTAAAAATAAAATAAAAAAACCATCTTTCTCTCGAATCAACATTTTACCTCAACGATGTCGCCTTCTTTCCAAATCTGTATCGGGCTGCTCGATGTCCCAAGGAGCTTCCCCTTATCGTCAAACACTCCTGCAAAAAGAAGGGGGAAAACAGAGCACAAGCAGGGGATCAGTTCTCCGATCAAGGAAATGGGTTGTTTTCATTCCAATTCAAGTCTTTTACCGGCGCGGGCGCTGGAGGTTCCGACGTCGATACCGAGGAAGAGGGAGCCGACGCGGCGGGGGGAGGAGGAGGAAGTCATCTCGACGGTGAAAGGGAAAGAGGAAGAAGAATGGTAGGAAGGCGGAGGAGGAGAGTTTCGGCGGTGGAGGAGTGGGGTAGTATCGGACCAGACTTTCTTTTTGCCTGCTGACATTGATATTCTTCCCTCGTTTTTCTTTTCCTGATTTTTTTTTTTCGTTGTCAGATGGATAATTCTTCCTCCGCCACCATTAATTTCCTTCCTCTCTTTCACCTCCGAATAACATAGCATAACAGAGACATAATTATAAGAAAAAACAAAAACCTCATTGAGATAAACGAAATATAAAGGGTTTGTTTTTCTTGCTAAAAATTTGGGTTATTTTTTAAAAACTCAATCTTGTATCCAACACACTTTGTTATAAATAGAGTATTAGACAATATTCATCAAATTCTACGCTTTTAGTTCTTGATATTAGATTAATATGATATAGGAATTACAACTAATCCATTCAGTTCTACTTATTTGATAGTTCTCCTTGTAGTGGTTGTAACTTCTTAAGCAACCAAGTTGTAGATCAACTTAAAATCCATGCAAACAAAAATGATTTTCTAGTAGACATATAAATTTTATCGTCCATTGTTATACATTTAAACGATGAAAACATTTCAACACGAATCAAATCATCAAAATCAAAATCTTGATTTGTAATTCTCAATATTGCCATAAACCTACATTTCGAGTTTTCATATAGAACCCCACCGTATATATATATATATATATTTTTTCATATGACTTGAAAGTTGAAAGCTCTCTTGTGATACATTAAGTTGAAAGCTCTCTTGTGATGCAAGTTAAATGTGTAGATTGTGACAATCTAAATCAACTTAATTGCATGACTGACATCAATCTAACGCCAAGAAAAGATCGACTATATGAATTATATTTCATTGTCATCCATGGCTTTGTAAAGGCACCGATCTTCACATCTTTAACAAACTTCAAGGTCATATATGTTTGTTGTAACAAGTTTGATAGATTTCATAGCAATAATACAATCCATCGCACCTGAGATATGATCTAATATATCGACAATGAACACCAACCCAAGTAAACAAACACAAATTAGGCAATAAAACATCTAACCATCGCGCATGATTTCGATGACATAGCAGCTGCCTAACCATTTTCATAAACACTAATCAACTTGATTGAACAATCTGCAAAATATGAGGAAGAGATCATTCATTCTATTCCCGTTCAAAACACCCTTCCGACGGAGGCCATCCAAGCAATCACTAAGCCGAATCACTCTTGAAGTGTAGTTGTATGTAACGCTCATGAACATATCACTGCTAAATGTGCAAAGCAAAGGGGAGAGGGACGGATGGCGAACCCCTAATTGCCATGACAAGACTCGCTGCCCGGCCAAGGTATAAATGTTCCATTTGCAATACTACGAATCCCATGCCCACTGGCCACTGCAAAAGCCACCAGCCTCAAAAGGCCAAGACTACACAGCTAGTTCAGATCAGTAGAAACAATGCAGCAAACAGGGCTCAACACAGAGCACAGTCGGTAACCGCAATAATTTCACAGCATTAGACGCTAATAAAGACCTCACTAACTCCAGTACTACACCAGTACGAAGATCATTCAGAACCAGTCAATGCTCACTGCAGATTGCAGAAGCCACCAGCCTTGAAAGGCCAAACCTTTAATGCTAGTTTAGATCAGTAGACCAATGCAGCAACACGGCTCAACACAAAACACAGCTGAAACCACGATAATTCACAGCATTAAGACGCTAATGCTGACCTCACTAACTACAGTACCACACACTATCATGATAAGTCAGAAAGTTCAATGTTCATCGCAAAAGCAACCAGCCTTGAAAGGCCACTAGTCCACTACAATGCTAGTTCAGATCAGTAGAAACAATGCAGCAAACAGGGCTCAGCAGAAAACACAGCCGAAAAACCATGATAATTTCACAGAATGCAGACCTCACTAACTACAGTACCACACACCATCATGATCAGCCAGATACAGTCAATGCTCACCGGCAAAGCAACAAGCTTCGAAAGGCCACTACAATGCTAGTTCAAATAAGTAAAAGCAATGCAGCAAGCAGGTCTCAACAGAAAACACAGCAGAAAACCATGATAATTTCACAGCATTAAGACGCTAATGCAGACCTCACTAACTACAGTACCACACTATCATGATTAGTCAGAAACAGTCAATGCTCACTGCAAAAGCCACCAGCCTCGAAAGCCCACTACATTGCTAGTTCAGATCAGTAGAAGCAATGCAGCAAACAGGGCACAGCCGGAAACCATGACAATTTCACAGCATTAAGATGCTAATGATGCATAACTCACTAACTACAGTACCACACTATCATGATCAGCCATAAACAGTTGGGCAACCGCCAACAAAAAGCTCAGTGTCCTACTAGCACTTCCAATCACTAACAATCTTTAAGCTTGGAGAATTCGATCACTAATTCAGAGCATGAAGTTTCAAATGCAGCATACAAAATTGCAAATCAAAGTTAGTTAACTACAACATCCTGCTGATTCACAAACAGTTGGAAATGGCAACAATTAAGCTCGAATCTGAATCCCTAACCAGTAGCTTCAAGGCTATCGATTACGCTCTGCAGGCAACGGCCGATTGAACCCTCCCCTGCGGTTCATGTATTGCCGAGGCTGCCGCTTGGTCACTGCCCTGATGCCACTCACATCGGCACCGGGAACCGGCTTCCCTTTCGTCGAATCGAAACCAATCGGAATCCCTAACATCTTCATCATCTCAACCTCATCCTCCTTCGCCATCCCGTCACCATTTCCATCTCCTGCTACCTCCACTCCATCTCCCCCGCCGTTGCTGTGCTTTTCGGCTCGCTTCTGCTGCTGCTCCTTCGAAATCCCGTCCACAAAATCAGAAGCCGCTGTGGCAACTGCTCTCTGCCTGTCCTTATCCTTCTCCTCGTCGGCCTCGTGACGGTGCCTCTTCCGCGGAGGTGAAGGCGACGGGGTGCGCTGGTGGCGGTGGCGGCGGTTCGAGGCGCGTGCATCTGGAGAGCGCGAGTTACGCCGATCGTCCGGCGAGCGAGTGCGGGAACGAGCGTGCCTCCCTCGCGTTCGTTCCGGCGATCGTGTCCTCGATCTTGTGCGGACTCGATCACGATCTCGGTCCCGGAGGCGATCTCGATCTTCCTTTTCCCGTCGCCTTTCTCGGTCTCGATCTCGGTCGCGGTCCCTCTCCCGTTCTCTGTCACGAACTCGGTCGCGGTCGCCGTACCTATCTCTGTCCGACATGGCCGGAAAACCGGCAGCTGCGGAAGAAACCGGCGGAAGGAAGGGGAACGCTTCGACTACTGGCTTTGAGATTAGATTCAGTAGGCGGCGGCCAGCTGAGAAACTCCTCCGCAGACTAAAGAGATATAGAGCTGCTTTTCCGTTTTCTTTTTGTACCGGAATATAATTTATTTTTGCAATTAAGTACCTAACGTTTTCCGATGCTCGTTTTCACCCTTGAGAACAAAATCTGTTTTGAAGTAGGTAGGGACTTCACTACTGGGATCTAATTATAAGAAAATAGTAGTTCTGGGTTTCGGCTGTAAAATATTAGTCGAGGGATCATTCTGTATTTTGCCATTTATATAGGATTGTTGCTGTAAAGAGTAAAGACTACCATCGAATAACAGAAAACCCAATTCTCAATCTTGTTCCTTTCTTTCCATTCTCTCCTAGTCGAAGATTCATCCATTGATCGGGCCGGAGTGTTACAATCATTCGCTCAGTCACTCCCTCCGTGCCCAGTCCCTTCGTGACCTAGTTCGGTTTTGTAATTTCGTGGATGCGAATTCCGTGTTTTGAAGCTTGAAATCGGAGCCATTTTCCTTTCGCGGCAGAGGAGGGAAGAAGAGATATGGCAGATAACGAAGAATTACCAGAAGGGACAGTGCGGAACATACTGGATCAAGAAACTCTCAAGTGGGTTTTCGTCGGAGGGAAAGGCGGAGTCGGGAAGACCACTTGCAGCTCCATCATCTCCATTCTTCTGGCCAGCGTCAGATCGTCGGTTTTGATCATATCCACTGATCCGGCCCACAATCTCAGCGATGCTTTCCAACAGCGCTTCACCAAGTCACCGTCGTTGGTCAATGGCTTCACCAATCTCTACGCTATGGTACTTCCCCTTTCTTTTCCCTCTACAGGATATCCGGGTGCTGATTAAGAAATCAGAATTTGTGCAGTATGGATCCCGAATTTGTTCGATTTGAATTTTTGATAGTGAACGGTTCTGGCGAATGTGGTGACGTGAGAGGGAAATGATGAGAGGCCAACGCTCTAATTCTAATATCATGTATGTGGATTTTACTGGCTTCTTTCCAAGTCTAAGTCTAATTTTCTTATTATTTGGTTATGGGTTCATAACAGGAGGTGGATCCCAGTGTTGAGAATGAAGATGTGGGTGGCAACGAGGAGATGGATAGCTTGTTCTCTGAACTAGCCAACGCAATCCCTGGTATTGATGAAGCCATGAGCTTTGCAGAAATGTTGAAGTAAGTTTGCTACTACTTGCACTTCCCCATTGGAGTTTGATTGTAACGATGAGTGAAGAAATTAGAAAAAGCTGATGCTTTGTAGCTTCGAATGGCGATTGATCTTTCATCTGAAAAGAGTGATGACTGCTTATGGTGTTTTCAGAGAGTTAAGTTATTGTGTCATTTGTTACTTTGATGATGATGTATCGCACGGCTAGTTGACAGCAATCTCATTCTTAGCTAATTTGTGTGTATTTTCTTCGAATGATTTGTCCATTTTACATGGTAAATTATGAGAAAATAGGGCCTACGCTGTACATGCCACCTACTGTAAGACCTCATTGTTGCACATCTCCCAACCTTCAGTTGATTAACAATATGAGCTTTACTGGAGTGTGCATGCTCTTCCTCTTTTACTTGTGAATAAAATTTGATGCTGCATCTTGGCATGTGGAGCACTATTTCCTACCTAATTCTAATGCATTCCTCACTAATTGATTTTCTGTAGGTTGGTTCAAACAATGGATTACAGTGTTATTGTGTTTGATACAGCCCCAACTGGTCATACTCTCAGGCTACTACAATTTCCCTCGACATTGGAGAAAGGTCTTCAGAAAATGATGTCCTTAAAACATCGATTTGGTGGATTGTTGACCCAGGTATATCTTTGATGGGACTAATAACATCTTTATGGCTGAGGGCTTATATAATATCCGATGAATAATAATAGCAATAGATATTTGAATGTTAGCGAATACTCGACGCTCTTGGAACCAAATTGAACCTCGCTGCAGAGTCTATTTCTATCTCATTGTTTAGCATCGAGTATGTTATCTAAGCATGCAGTTGTGAATTAGTTTGATTCAGACGCTTCATTATATGGTTCTATAGGTGTTGCTGCATCTTGCATACTATAACCTTTAGGTGTTGACATATTTTATTTCTGGTAGCAATATGATTGTTGGTATTTGATCCTTCGCTTTTCCTGGCTGTTCTTTTATTAGTTCAGGATGATTTCCCCCTTCCTGAGCTATGCTATCTTCTGTCCTTCAACCAGTGTTGATGTTTTCTTCTTGCAATTTGTACCCGAGTTATGTAATTCTTGGTTGTGACCCCTCTGTTCCTGGGGAAGTTTTGTCTATACCTCATGGAGTGTTATTCTGTATTCTTCCTTTATGTCCTCTCTTTTCCAATCTTTCAGCTTTAAGCTGCACTTTCCTTTCTCGCAAATGCCCAGACCCAACCTTGCATTGATTGCACTGCTTCATGGAACTTTAATCTGTTCTCATTAGTATTCATGCCTGTCATTTTCTTGGAAGATTAAAAATATATATGGTATTTTGCTGCTGCAGCTATTCTTTCTGTTTGTAGTTTAATATTCTCATGTAGTAATTCATGAAAACAATTGTTTGGCAGGTGACTCGTATGTTTGGTATTGATGGTGACTTCGGGGAAGACGCAATTTTGGGGAGACTCGAGGGCATGAAAGATGTAATTGAACAAGTGAACAGGCAGTTCAAAGACCCAGTAAGACCTCACTTATCATACTCTAGTTGGTTGATTGCCAAGTGTCTCTTTTATGACAGAAGTTGTTGAAGTCGGAGATTGGAATTCCTCTATTGTGTAGTTGGACCTTGGTGTTATGTGGAAATTATAATGATCTTAGGACCACCATTTGATTAAAAGGAGGCAGTGTCAGGCACTTCAAGGCAGGCAGGATGCTGATAGAATCATGAATCTTTAACCTGATACATTTGCATCTATTGCTCTCCTTCTTGGATGTGTGTCAAGAACTGTTTCCCCTTAGGGGTGTGCCTGACAACTAGTCTTGAGTGCAAGGGGCTAGAAGAGGAAACTTAGTTCCGGAATAGGATACTAACCTTTAAACAGCAAAGCATCGCTGATATTTCATTCTAGATAGCACCACTTCAGAAACAGGTTAATCCTGGAGCTTTGTGGCAACATAAAACCATTTTTGGCCAACCATGTATTTGTGTAGGGAAAGGTATCCATTTTGTAGAAAATGTCATGTTTAAGGCATGATAGCTTAGGTACAGTGTTGCTGATGGTACTATGAGATGCTAATGCATGGTAGGACTTAGCAACTGATGAAGTATCTGCTTCTCTGACACATAAACTTGTTGCAGATTTACATATTGACCTTACCTGGTTATCTTCTTAATTGTGTTTCTCCTGTGAGCCGTTATTGTTTCGATATAGTAGAACATAACTAATTATTTCTTTGATGAATCTGCTAATGTGCGCTGATTAGGATTCTGCTGTTGATGGCTCTTTCCCTTTCACCCAAACTTCTGCATTCTATCTGGCATCTGAAATTTTTACCGACAAATTAAGGCAATTCTTTCTTGTTGATGCAATTATTTACTTTTAATTGGCAGGACATGACCACATTTGTGTGTGTCTGCATTCCGGAGTTCCTCTCTCTCTATGAAACAGAGAGATTGGTCCAGGAACTTACCAAGTTTGAAATCGACACGCATAACATTATCATCAACCAAGTGCTTTACAATGAAGATGGTGTGCCCGACTTTGCATTTACCTCTCATTACTTGTTAGTGTCTATTCTGCAAATTTGCAAGCTTAGGCGTTAATTTTCTCGGGGGTTTCTTTTTTATATCCTGTAGACGTTGAGTCCAAATTGCTAAAAGCAAGAATGCGGATGCAGCAGAAGTACCTCGATCAGTTTTACATGCTATATGATGACTTCCACATCACAAAGCTTCCATTGTTGCCAGAGGAGGTATTCAATCATCGCAAATTCGCAATCATTGACCATATAAAACTTGAATGAACTCTGTTCACTTGCTGTATTACTTTCTTTACTGCTCTTGTTTCTTGATTTTGTTAGGTCACTGGAGTCGAAGCTCTGAAGAACTTTTCACACCGATTTCTGACACCGCATCAACCTTCAGCTGGAAATTTAACAGTGGAAGAGATGGAAGAAAGGGTATCCACTCTAAGGAAGAAATTGGAAGACGCAGAGGCAGATCTAGAGAAACTTAGGAAAGGTAAGCAAAAGGCCTAGTGAGTGAACCAAGGCAGAAGCCTTACTGTGTTCCTCCCACATTTGGATTAGATGATAGTTTGGGGTTTGTGTTACTTCTGAAATCATTGGTCCGACATGGCCGGAAACCGCTGACGGTGGCAGGGTAAACCGGCGATTAGATTCAGTAAGCAGCTGTCAGCTGAGAAACACTCCTCGCTATAGAGATAGAGTTGCTTTATCCTTTTTGTTTCTGGAGCGGAATATGATATATTTTCAATTAAGTGCCTGAAGCTTTTCCGATGTTTTGGTACCTTCAGTTATAGATTTTAATTTCTCTCAAGTCTACTGTTATATCTACATCAATCCATTGGAGCTTGGCCAAGGTAGAGGAGGATTGGTTTGGCATAACCTGAGATGAAAGATGGGAATTGCAGCTACGAGAAGAACGATCATGGCTCGCTGCAACTGAACCCCAATCAGAGTAACAAAGGCAAATACTCGAATCGATGACATCCAGAATTCAAACTTGTACATTTGTTAAAATACTATTCTGGTTAAAATTTTGATACTCAAGTGGGAAATTCTACTGTTAAATCTAATTACTTCGATTCTACTATGATACTATCATAAAAACTTAAAGGTGAACAGTTTTGTTTACATCTAGCCCCCCCAGCATAAGTACTGGTAATAGCATAATAAATGATAATATGGTACTTGATATATAAACATCTTCCTAACTAACTCACTCTTATTCTCTATTATTACCGGATGGTACAACATACAAAAGAATTATATCATCTCAACCCCCAACCTAGCCAGACCATAATTAAGATTTAAGAACACTGAAATCTGATTCATAGATCACTAACCAACCAAATTCGCATTTCCCTTTATTCTATCGCCAGTATCCCATTGCTACAACTGGGATTCTCACTCTATGGCCGCGGCTGCCCTTCATCGTCACCTTCCCAAAACTGTACCCTCCAGTCACTGATCGAACGGTTAAGCTAACGGTCAACTTCCTCGATGCACCAGGCCTCAGAGTCATGGCCGAAGGCTTCACCTCGATGGCGATCGCTGGCTCCATTCTCGCGGTGATCACGTAGGTCTCTTCCTCATCGGCTACATTCGTAACTGTGCGAGTCACGGTGAAGGTCTTCACTAGGCGGGCCACTGTGATCGATGGCGAGTTGAGGTTCGAAGGGTGGCCCATGGTGTAGTTGCAGCGCATGTTCGTGAAGTTTCGTATCTCGTGGGCGTTGATCCCAGGCGTCGTGCACAAGAACCCCAAGTAATCCGTGTACCCTGAGGAAAACAGAAAAAATAACCCCGGTAAGTGTAAGTAGCTCGGAATTTTTAGTTCAATAGCCATAGAGAGGGTTTATTTATATGCAGTAAGTATAGTGTTCGATCAGAAGAACCTGCATCAAAGACGAGCCCGGGATCGAGAGCAGCCCTTGGATTCACATGACCACTTCCGTAGTCGAAAGGGGTGGCACGACCAAGCTTCATGGCTTCTGTTTCTGAGTACTGCTGTGCTTGAAGAGGCCTTCCTGCTCGGTCCATCTCTGTGGATGTCGTCATTAGGGCTGACTTAATCGCAGCTGGGCTCCACTCGGGGTGTTTCTGCTTTACGAGAGCAGCTATTCCAGCTATATGTGGTGCAGCCATGCTAGTTCCAGACATCATTGCAAACCCTTCTCCTGCACACAATAACAAACAAAGAGTAGGTATATCGAAAGCAACTAACATTTGCCAACCACGGATTTTTCATACCAGGATCAGGTAAAAGAAATAAGTATATAGTCAGAACAATCCAGAATCAGGGGGAACAATTCCTCGTACCAAACACCTTCCAAAGTAAAATGGTGAGTGAACTTTCAACCTACCCATAAAATTTGCTTCATCTGTTCCATTAGGTGACCAAGCAGCCCAAATAAGAGACCCGGGAGCTAAGATGTCTGGCTTCAGAAGATCAGCATCTCCAAAGCTGAAATCTTTGATGTTGGGCCCTCGAGCAGAGAACAATGCAACCTGGGGAGCCGATTTGTGAAGTATAGGCATCAACCCATCTCCAATGCTTCCAATGGCATTGAAGCTCTTCACTCTGCCAGTCCAGTCTCTTGGTGTAGATATGTTGTAGTAATCAATTAGATCCTGGAGTAACAGTCACAAAGAGAGTTAAGAGAACACAAGTAACTTAAAAAATACTTGGAAATTACTTCTTTTATGGGGGTTTACCGCAGATTTGGTTGCATCCGTGATGACAATCCCAGGGGTGCAAACAGGAATGGGATCATACTTTGCTCCTGGAGTACTGTTTTCCACAGCAAGAACAAATCCAGCTGCCCCGAGTTTCTTGGCAGTCTCGGCGACCTTTTTGATTGATGCTGTGCCAGAAACAAAGCTGAAGGAATAGCCACACAGTAGGATTTTCCCTTCAACCAACTTCTTGTTCAGCAACTCGGGTCTCTGGCAATCTGAAGGATTGTACCTCAACACTGAAGCGCCTAGCAAGACATCATTGGCAAAAACTAGAGGATATGTCTGGTTCAGTCGCGTCGAGGCTGTTGACAAGCATAGTGTAAGTTGGTGAGAAAATATGCACATAATAATATATAAGCAATAATTGCACGGGAACCTGATTCATTCATGGACTTACGTGACAAACCAAGTCCAGGCAAGATTTTCCCATTTCCAAGAGTAAGGTGGTTCTTGTATCTCCTGTCATCAATGGCAGCTGCTACAGATGTTATCCAAGGGCTATACGAGACCAGCGTTTTCGGAAATGGACCTCCATTTCCTGCCGCTTGAGCAACAAACACACCAGCTTTAACAGCTGCCAAAAGGGTAGCATCGAAGGGATTTAGATACGTCGTCTTGGTTGTTGCTGGAGGACTGTTGGGACCTAAAGAAAGGCTGAGTATATCCACTCCATCATAGACAGCCTGTTTTCAAGGAAACTTTGCTGTTAGAGTAAAACGTATCACTATGTTGCCCATAAAATGATTGAACTGGTAGTTACAGAAATTCAAACCTGATCAATTGCGGCCACTACATCAGCAATGAACCCTCCAAAGAGCCGGTACAGAGCTTTGTACACGGCGATTCTAAGTGTTCAAAATGAGATTACTTAGTCCAGTCCAATGAAAGGACATAACAGAAAACTGAGATAATTCTTCTTGAAATTAGCATTATCCTTACCTAGCGCGAGGAGCCATCCCACTTGCTTTTCCAAACTCATGACCGTGCATTCTCACGGGAATGCCATTGTTTCCCGCTGCAATGGCTGCTATGTGACTGTTACTCAAAACACAAAAACAAAAATGTACTGTGAGAACCCACAATACAGAGCTACCAAACAACTGCACAGCAATACGCATTAAAATAGTGCTATATCTGTGGCCAAAGAGAAAATCGATAAATGCACTTCATTGTACTAGAGGGTTCAGGATCCAAACCTTCCATGCCCATCACCATCCAGGGGTGATGCGAAATCGATAGCAGGATTGAAGACACCAGCAGCTTTGGCAGCTTCAGCAAAATGTTGGGCTCCGATAATCTTTCCATTGCAGAATTCGCTCTTAGTCTGTGGATCAATCTCACATTTCCCCTTGTACTTTGGTAGTGGTCTATATGGATCAGCGTGGTGAGTTGAAAAGCTCGGGTGATGAGGATAAATCCCGGAGTCCACAAAGCCAATCACAATGTCTTCCCCAGCTCTGTCAAAGCCACCCCCTGTTGGCCAAACTCCAGTAGGAAGGCCCAAAAACTGTGGTGTATGTGTTGTGAGTCTATGAACTTTCCAATCTCTCTCCACCGATATCACGCCAGGAGCACGCCTTAAGGTTTCTACCTACTAATGAATTGTGGTAGTGTAAGCGAAAGGGGGCAACAACAAACAGAAAGAATGGAAATATCAAAAGGAAGTTATAATCACCTGTTCAGGTGGCATATGAACCGAGAAGCCATTGATAAGATGCCGGTAGCTATAAAGTTTCTGATATGTTCCACTATCAAACAACATATCGAGAAGCATATCGTGCTTCTTCTCAAGGTGCTTCGCATATGATGTAACCACCTCACTTCAAAAAACAAGGTCCAAGTCAGAAATGGAAGTCAGAATCCATCACCACAAACATTCATGTTTGATGCTACTGAAAACTTGTACAGAGATGCGCGTTGTACCTAGTTGTGTCAATCTTTTCATCGGATTCCACAGCAGTTGCCTCAAACCCGGGAATGCCTCCTCTATAACTTATGACTGGCTCTTCCTCCATCATCACCATGTAAACCTCAGCTTCCCCATTTATCAAGAGTGATAGTAGAAGAACTAGTACTGTACAAAAAAGCTCCACCATCCTCATTTTTCCAAAGCGAGATCAACCTGCTCCATCCATTCACAAAACTCCCTCGTTCTCAAGCAAGCAAAATGTTCAGGCAACTCAAACTCACTACAGCAGTGACTATACTTAATTCAAAGAAATAGTGGAAAATCAAACTGATGAACCATTTTCATCTCACCAAATAACTAATTAACACCCACTTGATCAAACTAACTTAACATATCAGCCATTTTGAAGGCGTGATTTGCACTCAAAGGACCAAGTTTGAAACGCAATAAAGGACAAAACTAAAGAGCAAAACTGAAGCTTTCACCTTAAGAAAAATCACAAATCTCTAACTAACTGCAAGAACTACAGCTGAAGCAGGGAGGTGGTGAAAGCTAATAATGAAAAGGAAGATGCAAATCTCACCCCGTTCCCAGTTTGGCCACACTAGATAGCAAACTGAAATAAATGAACTTCCCATTCGAGAGCAAACACCATTAATAATCAGAACCATTTGCTCTAAGGAGCTCCCAAATGGCCAATCATGCAACTACCAAGCACCCAAAAGACAGACCAGAAACGGTAAATTACCAGAGTAAGAGGAGGGGATCCAAGTGGTAAATGGAAGTGCTAGTGACTTGAGCTGACCAAGTAGAGAGCAAGCGAATCTGTGGGGGGAAATCCAATGGAAAAATGTAAAGATGGGGGAAAATGGTGAGCAAGTAAGAAATGCATCGACCCAAGAATGGAAGCAAAGAATAATGGTAGAAAACAAACACCAATATATTACATTTCCTTTTTGCTTTCGGCCGAGAAGAAAGGGGAAGATCCATTCACCCGGAAGCCATTGGAGGAAAAAGGGAAGCAGACCCAGAGCTTTTAAAAGATGGCTGCTTTTGGGTACATTTGGGATGGGATTTGGAAACCCAAATGGCGAATGTGGAGGACTAGTAGTATTCTGAACTGTCCGGCACTGCGAGGAAGGAGAGGAGAGCGAGTGAGGTGGGTTGCGCGTGGGGACAGAGAGAGAGACGGAAGAAGAAAGTGAATTTGTTCATATATTGGAACCTTCAGTTTTGTAATTTTGTGTTAGTTGGGTTTGCTTACTTTTCTCTGTTGTGGTAGTTATCTTGAGAGGAAGGAGAAAATATGGGGGAGAAAAGCAAGTTTTGGCTTTTACATGGAATGGAAGGTGAGTAAAATTATTGTTGCAAACTTTTGTTAGTTAGGGCATATTAGTTTTGGTTGGTTTGCTCCCTCAATGGGGAATAACTTCCTTATCCCATTGTGATGTTGATCAGACTTAAGATATTAAGACATTAGTTTTGGTTTATGGGTTTATGAAAGAGGGTATATCTTATATGTAGATGTTCGAATTTCATAAAATATGTTAACTTTCATTATGTTGGCCATGAAGTAGCTATCCTCTTGTATAGAGATGATGGTTTTGATCAGAACTGATAAACATACCAAATTCAACCTGTAGGTTAGTCGGAAGAGTGGCAATATTGATTGATTGGTGTTCGAAGAAATAACCCCATCGTACTATGGCAACAGCATAGATACAATGTAATTGTTGTAGTCTTGCTACCACAACAGTGGAAGCTCATGGGCTAATGTTGCAGTTTTTATGGAGAAATCCTTATCCTTCCTCATTCTATTTTATTGCGGTTATAAATTGAAAGAAAATCGAAAATATTTTAAGAAGTGCCTACACAATATCAGTTATGTCATCTCCGCATAGGGGAACTCGACCACCCCCACCACCACAAGCCACTTGCTATTTTGGAACTCTAGTATTTCCTTCAATCCACTTTGAAGAACACACCCCTCATTGATTGGTTCTTACCTTTATTATTGTTGTGTTTCCACACTTTCTATTTGAGTACGATTGTTGTACATACATAGTTAGTTCACCTCTTATGTGGAACCTCCACTCTTGGTGGACAAAATCTTGTACAAGTTAATCAAAAAATTGTAACTTATTGGTCCATAACGAGAAACTCTAGTATATGCACGACAATGGTGTAGACCAAACTTCATAACTATGTTCAATCTTGATCATAAAATCAGGTTCGATTGATTTGATCTAAATGAATCAGATAAAAATATACATCCGAATTTGATCTAAGTCTCTTGGACTCTATATAGGGTGAAATCTTTTGGAGCCTATTAACCAATGTAAGTAATAGTAAGCAACAATGATGAAGGGCAAGGAAATTTTGGGGACAATGGAAGTAGTGGTGTTTGTTGGTGTTTTATAGAGGGAGAGGAGCCAAATCCAATAATGATATGGCCGGTGAGAGTGGAGATCAACCTTTCATGTGAACCCTAATTGTTTTTATCCTTGTCGTTTGTGTAGACATGGGTCAGGAAGTTCGGCCCTATCAACCGCCCCCCTCTGGGCCTTTCACGGGGGTCTGCTTGTGTGGAGGAGGACTGGGCCTTGTACAGGCCTGGGCCCACGCCTTGTGTGCAGGAGGTCAGTGTGAATATGCTTAGGTCCGTGTACCAGTTGTTGTCCAGGCCCGGGCCCAGATTTAACCCTGCTGTGGACGAATTGGGTTGGCTTTGTTCGGTTTTCATTCCAGGGGTTAGACCCGCTAATTCTGTTGCTCCAATTCGCAACCTTTGCCCACCGTTTTGTATTATCTCTTTTGGTCTAACCTCACCTTCTTCCCGATCCATATACTCCGATGACCCATCTGTTCCAGTCCCCCTGGCCATTACCTCTCCTCCCTCCTCCTTTCACAGTCAGTGCTCAGATCTAACCAGCCCGCCTTCATCCCCCGGTTCGCATTTCGCGTTGAGTTCCAGCTTCGGGGATTTTGATTTTCCTTCCCCCTCGTGCGTTCCGGACAGTCAAGCTAGGGTGGGAAGTCAAGACGATTTCCCCTTTGACGCAGCAACTCTCGTGGCCACCAGCATTGAATTGAGCAGTTTATTCAAGATTGAAATGGAGGGTGGAGCGGATAATGTGGTGAAATTGATAGAGAATACCGCCAGGGAAATGCATCAGAGAAAAGTGCGCCAACCCAGGTCCAAACTTGAAATGGAAAGACACAGACTAGGATTGATTGAGGTGCCAGTTTCAGGTGATCGCAGGAGCCGCAGAAGGGGTGGGGATGAACATGCTGAACCAGTATAATGGAGTGCTCTGTGATTGTGTGGAATGTAAGGGGGTTGGGGGATAGTGCGAAAAGGTCCAGGATTAAGCGCGTACTGTGTTTGAGGAAACCGAAGATCGTTGGACTCGTTGAGACCAAGTGGAATGTTTGCAATGATGAGCTGATCAGGAGCATCAGCGGAAACAGGGACAGTGGTTGGGCAGCAAAAAATGCGGAGAATAGCGCAGGTGGGATAGCTGTTTACTGGGACAAGGAAGTTGTGAGAGCTCTCGCGTATAGGGAGGGGAGATTCCATTTGTCTGTCGATCTTCAGGAGGTGAACACACTAAAAGTTTGGACTCTCTCTGTCGTGTATGGGCCTCAAGAGAGGGAAGCTAAACTGGAGTTCATCAACGAAATTCACTCCTTGTGTCTGAGCGCGGCCAACCCCCTTTGTATTGCAGGTGACTTCAACCTTGTTAGAGGCCACGAGGATTACAGGGGTGGGAGGCGGTGCACGATGTTGATGGAAAAATTCAACGATGTGATCGATAATAACCAGCTTTTAGAACTACCTCTCGGAGGCTGTAACTTTACGTGGGGAAGAGGGGACGGTTCGGGGTCCCTCTCGCGTATTGACAGAGTTTTTATTAATGCGACTTTTGATGCTTTGTATCCTGATTGCACTTTGACGGCTATGGAAAGGGTTGAATCGGATCATAATCCCTTGTTGATCAAATGGGGTGCTACGCTTAGGGTCCGAAGGCCATGGAGGTTTCTGAACATGTGGCTGGAGGACCCGAGATTCTTTGAGGGTCTCGAAATGTGGATGAGGAGCACGGTGAGTGGGCACGGTAAAGCTTTCCTGTGGGTTAAGAGGCTTCAGAATCTGAAACAGACCATCAGAATATGGAATAAAGAGGTTTTTGGCAATATCAATTCGAAGATCGAGGAGTCTCTTGGTCTTATCAAGGGGCTGGACATGGTGGAGGAATCTCGTTCACTTACAGATGCGGAACAAGCAGACAGGCAGGATTTGAGAGCTGTTTTGAGCAGGCTCTTTTTCCTCCAAGAGATTCATTGGAGACAGTTGTCTAAAGAATTGTGGCTGAAGGGAGGAGATAACAATACTAGCTTCTTCCACAGGGTTGCTAATTATAAAAGAAAGCTCAATTTGATCGATTGCATCAACATCAATGGAGTTAGGCATGAAGGGAGGGAGCTTCTCGGCAGAGGCATAGTGGGGTATTACCAGAATTTGTTCAAGGATACTGTTTCGAGGCGTCCTTTTCCGAGGTCGCACACCGATAGGAGAATTGATGCCGCTGATATTGCGGCCTTGACCTGTGCTTTTTCGGAAAAGGAGGTTTGGGTCAGCTTGGCGGACTGCGACGGGGGGAAAGCCCCCGGGCCGGACGGGTTTTCCTGGGAGTTCTACAAAAAGGCTTGGTCTCTCATCCGGGAGGAGTTCTTGAACGCCATTGCTGAATTTTTCAATACTGGTGTTCTGCCGGAGTGTGCTACACACTCATTTCTTTGTCTCCTGCCGAAGCGTGATGCCGTGGAGGACATCAAGGATCTCCGCCCTATTAGCCTGATGAGCAGCTTGAATAAAATTATTAGCAAGGTGCTGGCCCGTCGTCTCAGCAATGTTCTTCCCAAGATTGTGTCTCAGAACCAGCATGCTTCGGTTAGAGGAAGGCAGATCTCTGAGGCTGGTCTTATTGCTTTCGAACTGCTGGACAGCCGCAGGAAGAGTCGCAAGCCGGGACTTATGTTTAAGCTGGATATCGAAAAGGCATTTGACAACGTGAGCTGGGACTGCTTGTTTAAGACTATGTCATCTATCGGTTTCCCGGCACAGTGGAATAAATGGATCAAAGGTACTATGTGTTCCCCGGTCATATCCACCTTGATCAACGGCGAGTCGAAGGGGTACTTCAAGCCGCAGAAGGGGTTGCGTCAGGGTGATTCGCTCTCTCCCGGTTTGTTCACTCTCATTATGGACATTCTTTCCTTCATGTTGAACAAATTGCAGGAGGAGGGGAAGATTAGAGGCTTTTGTATGGACGAAGTAAATGGCAATGGTGAGGTTACACATCTTCTGTTCGCCGATGACACTTTGATCTTCTGCGACGCTGCTTATGATCAAGTTCTGAATATTCTCGCTACTTTGGTGTGTTTCCAAAGTGTTACGGGACTGAGGATTAACCTTGAGAAGTCGGTCATGATTACTGTTGGGGATGTAGCGATTCCGGAATTCTTTGCTGCTACTTTTGGGTGTAATTGGAGCAACGAGCCCTCGAAATACCTTGGCTTCCCTCTCGGCGCCAAGGTCAATGCTATCTCCACTTGGGATCCTATTATCAATAAGTTTGAGCAGAGGCTTGACGGATGGAAGAGTAGATTTCTGTCTTTCGGTGGCCGTTTGGTGTTGAACAAAAGTACTCTTTCCGGGCAGCCGATTTATTTCTTCTCCTTACTTCGGGCTCCTATCGGTGTGCTGAACAGGTTTGAGGCAATCCAAAGAAGATTTTTGTGGAGCGGTGCCGGGGATAATCACAAGACCCCGCTCATTAAGTGGGAGATTTGCAAAGCAAGTATTGAGAATGGGGGCTTGGGTATTAGAGATATGGCCTGCTTTAACAAAGCTATGCTGTCTAAATGGCTTTGGAAGTACGCTACGGAGAGAGAGAGCTGGTGGAGACAACTCATAGAGTTCAAATACAAGGCTAGCAATTCCCAGTGGCAGAGCAAACAGTGCAGGAATGGGTTTGGAAGTTCGGTGTGGGCCAACATCTCTAAGGAATACGGTGAATTCTGGAAAGTGGCAGTTATTGACCCGGGTGGCGGGGCGGGTGTTTCCTTTTGGAACGACTGCTGGTTACCTCAGACGACTCTTGCGCATTCCTTCCCGAGAGTTGCCGCTGCCGCTGCGAATCCCGAGGCTTTGCTGCCTGATGTCATAAGCCGATCAGGTGAGGGTCCTAATTGGAATATTGAGTGGAATATCGATTTTTCTTTAGTCTTGAGGGGAGGGGCTGAGAGGGAGAGAGAGAGTTTCTTCACTCTTTTGAATTCTATTGATAAGCACAGGATCGTTTGCGGCCCCAGCAGATTGGCGTGGTGTTCTAATCCCGATTCGAGCTTTTCAGTGCGCTCCATGTACAGGTTATTGACGGATGGGCGATTCCATGGGGTGCCCAACTTCCCTAGTGAATCCGTGTGGAGAAAGAGCATTCCTTCGAAAATCAATGCGTTCATGTGGATGGTCGCGCACAAGAGGATATTGACGATGGACAAAATTCAACAGAGGGGCTGCTCCATTGCTAACAGATGTTGTATGTGTTGTAGGGATGAAGAATCGGTTGATCATTTGTTTACTCGGTGCGAGTTCGGGTTGGAGATCTGGACTGAAGTAAGAAGAATGTGTGGTGATTCCTTCGCCCCACAAGAGCAGATCCTAGACACCATCAAGTGTTGGAAGAGTGACGTTCCGGACACTACGACGGACTGGATCGGCTTCTGCATTCTCCACGCCGTGTGCTGGCAAATTTGGCTCGAGAGGAATAGGCGTGTTTTCCAGGATGCTAGCAGAAGCGCCAAGGAGGTCTTTTGGATTGCTATCAGATCCACGGCGGATTGGCTAGTCGCGAAAGGCAAGATCAGCAGGATTCAGGTGATGGAGTGGCTCCGCCCCTTGAGGCTGAACTGACACAGGGGCATTTTTCGGTGGGGTTGTTGCCGTGGGTTCGTTCGCTGGCTGTTGTCGTGTTTGTCGGCTGCCTTTCAGGTGCTGGGCTAGTTGGAATCCTCTGGTATCCTTGTTCGGGTTCGGGTTGCTGGTGGCGGCCGGGTTGTTGACCGCGCCTCGCCCCTGTCTTCTTCTTCTCTCTGTCTGTTTTCCTCTGCTCTTCTCAGTGATGGTTGTGGTCGGATGGGGCTTTGATTCCCGTTAGTTTGACAGTTTGGTCTTGGTCTTGGTCCTTGTTTCGTGAGGGACTTTGCTCTCTGTGCGTGGCTGTCCTTTTCAGGCTGTCGGGTGTTTCTTTTTTTTTTTTTTTTTTTTTTTTTTTTTTTTTTTTTTTTTCGTTTTCTTTTCTTTTCCGTGGGTGCTGCACCTCTGGTGCCGCTTTTTTCTTTCTGTATCTCGGACTGGTTCCGTTTTGGTTCTATTTTAATGCAATTCTCACCCTTATCAAAAAAAAAAAAAAAATATTACTTTTCACCTACCAAAAAGTCAGAAAAAACATAAATGACGATCAAATATTCCAACGGAACAAAAAAAAATGAATAACTGCAATTTGAACAATACATAGAGGATCATAATTGTCTTCAATGGAGCTCGAGTCAGAGACTAAAAATTTAAACTGTTTACATGGGGTTTGACATTTGGATCGGTCCAGTTCTGATAAAAAAAATATTGTGATTTGATTCTCAACTTCACGAATTTGTTTCATGTTAAAAAAAGATGCACTGAATCAATATTTGGATTCAACTGAATACAAAGATTATATAATTTTGGTTCTTAATTTTTTTTTAATATAAGATCACGATTATCGTAATTTAATATGAATCGGAATGTAGTATATCCCTACCATTTGCCATGCAGTAGCCTCAATACAACTATTATCATAAAGACAAATTAAACCATTGATAAAATCATGATTGTCGGGGACTTTTCATGAGATAATGATGGTAAAGAGAAGGGAAAAAAGGAGATAGATCATAGATGGCAACAACAACAAGTGACCAAAACGCGTCAGAATGTTGATTCATAATTGATCTCATTTTTTTAATTAAGCTCTAAGCTAGTAAAAATGAAGCATAGCACAAAGCATAATTGAAGCACTGATCATGGGGATTAAGATTGACATGTAATTAACCAAATAATTGAGCATAAATCAGGATTTATTATACATTGGTTGGAATTGAACAGACAAAGGTCAGGTCATTCAGATTTCAGGCAGGCAGGCAGGCCCAAAAGGCCAGTCATTGTATCTGACTAAAAACAGGCACATGGAAATGACGAATTCGGTGGAGATCATGTTAGAGATGGAACTATATGTTGTCACATATTTGGTCTCCTGAACAGTGTCTTAATCTTACATCACGTTATGATTCGGTTGATAGAACCCTAGCTAGAACTAGAATTACAGGAAAATGGAGGAGATGGGATATAGGAAGTTTGGCAAATTTGTAGTTGGTACCATCAACTATACTAGCCTAAAATGGCGATCGGTATAGAGATCGAGTTCGGGGTTAGTAAATGGTCGGTTGAAAATGTCAATGACTTACATATCAGCTTGCATGTGGGAATATATGCATGCCCACTCGTATCAACGTATGGTAGCCAACCTGGTAAAATTTGAGCATCACTACTCATTTGTGACGACTAGTCACCTATATTTTTTACCACAGGTCTTCGTATGTATATAATTGTTAATCTCACATGCTAAATGTCGTTGGAATATCTATACATGACATATCTAAGGACGTAAACGACAATCGATCAAACTCATCGCCAACCCATATTTACCTGCATTTCAAGGGATCAGTTCGTCGTGATCTTTGTTGGAGAAGAATCGATCGAACGTGCATGCTCACATTAGGGTGTCTCGTTGCCACATAAACTTATGGTCCATGAGATACAAAAACCCTAGCTAGCTAATGTGCGGCCTGCATTTTGTTGTCGCCACGCCGGCCCTCTACCGGCCATCAGTCTCTCTCTGTCTCGATCGATCAAATCTGCGCCAGCATTTCACATGCAGCAGCAAGTGTTACGTTACACGACAAAAGACCCACACACATGAACATAACAAAATAATGAATGAGTAAAGCTATGAGTGAACGTACGTGACTCTATATATGGCTCCCTCTATATTCTCCTCTCGTATAACTATGATATGATGTTTAGACAATAGCCTAACACGATGTGTGTTAGCTATTTTACTATATTTGAATAGATACGGATTACAGAGAGATTAAGAAAGTATATATGTAGCACATTCTCCAGATGACTTAATCCTAATTTAACTTGAAAATGAAAAAGATGACAGACAAGGCCCAAAACATATGTGAAACATCGAGACCCCGTGACTTTCAGTAGACGACAGATATTCCGAATTGAAGTCATAGCAACAAATTGTACCCTAACGGACTTGATAGGCATTGTTTCGTACTTTCTTCATCGTATGTGCTTTTCGTGAACAAGCTACTATTCATGCTGGTCATTCGGCTCTATGCCCAATGCCATCTTATGCACAATCAATGGCTTCACACAAGCATTAAATTTAATCAAGATCGCCCCATTGAGTTAATTTGTCGTGTTTGCTATAAGATGTACTCGTACCTGAAAGTCATATTTGTTATTTCCATTAAGATTATGTATCTTGGTGTACTTTGTATAAGGGTAGAATTAAATTTCAAGGGTGTGTTTGGGAATTCAATCATTTGTTCATAAGTAGAGAGCAAATGTATGGTGCTACAAAGGCAAAGGGATAGATGATTCATCAAAAGCAAAAGCAAATGGGGGTGAATTTTTATCATCATGTGTGGATCCATGAAACGACTTTTTGAAAAGCCAATTTGGGAAAAGGAAGTGGGAAGATGATCATTGTTAAGTAATAAGGTGACAAAGGAAATGCAAAGAAAAGATGAATTGGGTATTTGACTAATGATGGTCACATATGGATCATCAAAACCATACCTTTTTACCCTTATTTTTGTCAATTTTTGTAATAGGTGGTTTTCAGGTTTTGAGATTTTGGTTGTGCATTTGTTTATGTCAATGTTTAATTACTAATCACGAAAAGTGTCATGCTCATGCTCGAGATGGCCAAATCATTGTACCACCGTTTCATGTCATGTGGCCGAGTGCATGTCAATGGGCTCTTACTTCTACTCTTTGAGTGTTTTGGGCTTCATTGATGCGCCCAAAATAGTTTGTCTAGTGGTCAAGTACAGATGAACTTCCCTCGATAACCTGGTTTTTTTGTCTTTGAGTTTGTATTAGAATTGGTTTGTCTTTAAGGTCTCATGTTCATGTTTTTACAACCTCTCATATTAATTGTTGTCTGTAAAGCACATGGTATGGCGAACTTGAAGTCTGTAAATTGACTTTCGTTGAAAAGGATTTGTAAGAAAGTAGTTAAGTATCATACATGAATCTCTCAACAACTTGAGTTATTGCCTATTGGGATGACATTTAATGTTTTCATGTAATTTGCATTTCCTCTTTACATTGAGGGTTGTTAATATTGTACTATGCATTCAACCAAATGACAATAATAAGAATAGGAAATAGGAGAGAAAGTGAGAGTTTAGTTGACCTTACACTAAATCAAAAGATAATTTGATTCGATCATGTTATAATCAAATCTCTCAAAATCGAATGGAAATTTTTCATATACACATGACTCTCAATGAAAGTCAATTCACGAATCTGAAGTTTACCAATGCACATCCATCTAATTCTAATAGTATGTCATTAACCAATCGATTTTAATAACTCAAATTGTTGAGTTAACCCACTCGGCAAACCGCTTTCCTTCTCCTACTATGCTTTTGTTTTCCTTATTGTCGCTGGTCCCGATCTAGTAATGGTTGATATCTCTGCCATGCTTTGAGTTGTCTCCTGTCGGGGGCCGGTAATTCATGCCACGACGACGAATCTTGCTACCGGTTCATCGACGTGGCAGAAAACAGCAAGTGCCGCCTCCACGTCGATTTCCCCCAATACGTACTCTGCCACGGCTCTGCCTTCGGATGGCTCCTCCTGCAGTACTCCCTTGTTTTATACCTGTGGAACCCTTTGTACGAGAACCAACATCCTTCTCACGAATCAAATCGCGGGAAATCTGTGTGTCTATCAAAGATCATCCCGAGTTTATAAGAAGGAATTGTGTTTACTATCATTTTGGTATATATATATATGAACTCTATAGCTCTATTCACGGGGTACACACTATCCATACCAATGTCTCGCATGGATTTTACCATCGAATTATTATTGGTGGGGGCAAATGTATAGCACATAAGGTTTGTTTTTTTAGTCTTATCTAATAATGCTTTTTCATGGTGAAAATTAAACAAACTTTAGAAGCAATACAGGAGGTTTGAAGCTCTAAGTATGGGCATAGGTTAAAACGATAGGTCTTTGGTTTTGTACTTCATCGTGGACGGTATACACTTTCAATAGAGTTTGGTTTACCGTTATCACTTTCGATTCAAGCAACTCGGAATAAGGCAAATGAAATGGCAAGTCACAAACTTTGGATCCAAGTTAAGCTTAATACAACTCTAATCAACATGGAATACATCAACTTACATGACCATCATCCCAAAAAAAGAAAGAAGTGGGAAAAGAAAAGAATAAACAGAGCAACAATAATCCTTCCACAATAGTGAAAAATCAAAGAGAGAACAAAAAGAATAGTGTAGTCGTCTACTATAACATGATACAACATCGATCAGTAACAATAACCCTACTTCAGATGCACATGGGGAAGGAAGGACAAATATTTAGCCCTCTCACCAATTCGATCATCTCTTTCAAGTTTCAACCATCATCAAAAAGGCTTTGCATTTTGGCAAAACCTGTACTTCTTCCCCAGAAGTGTCCTCTTTTCACCATCTTTTTTCTTCTTTTCTTTATTAATAATTTATCGAGCCTTCGCTCGATAGTGCGTGGTTATCGAGTAATTACCACACGTCACGCAGGTACCGACCACTCATTTGCAGATTCTTCACCAAGCTCTCGGCCTTGGATGAGTCAAGCGATCCCTGGTTCACAAAAGAAGAGCAGGATTTGCGACTCAGCGATAAGAAATACACACGCACAGGCACAACTAAGGGTCTCAGGTAACCAAGAATTCCATGTGTGTCTGAACATATGATTTGTAGAGGTGATTCGATGGTCAGAAACCATGCATAAACCAGAAATCGCAGAATATTTCGTACCTGCTCGATCGCAATGGTGTGGAGAGTTCGATGAACGTCTCTGGCCATGCCTTTGGCATCACCACATACGTAAACATAGGCTCCCTGAGAGATGAGGTCCCAGATCTCCGAAGCCTGGACCAGAAAGATGATGAGGTGAGACGGTGCTTGTAAGCAACAAAAAATACTAACAAGAACAGAGACATCTTAATCATCGACCAAAAGCCACAAAAGAGAGGGAATTTACCTTCTGCATCATTTTATGCTGCACATACTCTTTGGTATCTCCTTCCCTCGAGAAGGCAACGTTCAGCTCAGAGAGTGCACCGGTTTCGACGAAGTTGTTGAGTTCATCCTCGTAGATGAAATCCTATACGCAATGAATTTCAGACCATGAGATCATGAGACCACGCAAAATTACAGTGAAACCCATCCCCCAGAATTCCACGGGAACAGCAGCTTACCGTCTTGCGGTTTCTGCAACCGAAGAAGAAGATAGAGTGCCCAAGTTCTGCTCCAGATTCTTTGAGTGCAAGTCTTTCCTGCAGGAAGCCACGGAAAGGCGCCAGCCCAGTCCCAGGACCAATCATTATGATGGGAACTTTAGTATCTGCAGGAAGTCTGAAATTCGATTGTCGAACAAAGATGGGGGCCCAACTGCAGTCTTGGCTCTTCTCCATAGGAGTAGCATCCTGCAGGATAACAGGTGACCGTTACAATCTGGCCCTCTATCCACTTGATTCTCGTCAGGAAAATAAAACAGAAAGGTTGGCAAACACGCAATAGAAAATAGTAAATACCCTCATCCAAGTTGAGCACACTCCCTTGTGAAGCCGTCCTCCTGGGGTTTTCTCAAGCACCAGAGCACAAGTCACGTGGATTCTAGATGGCGCCATCCTGTTACAAAATCAATGGTTGATGATCAGTACATAAGAATTCAAATAGTGTAGAAAAGAAAAAATTAATAATTGAGTGGACAAAAAAGGGTACAAACTATGCTCACCTTGGAGATGAAGAGATAGAATAGAATCGAGGCTGCAAGCGAGGAGCGACTCCAGCAAAGAAAACTCCAAGTGGGGGCCTTGCAGAGGGAAATTTAGCCATAACCTCAAGGAGACTTCTCTGTTCTGAAACTACCCATTTCGCATATTCATCCTGTAGAATGTTTAAGAAAAGAGAATGATTGTTAACTTACCTATTAAACCAACAATACAAATGATATAATCAACTGAGTCTTGTGTAAGAAAACCATTACCTTGCCAGCAGGCGACGCGAGATATCTTAATCTATCAGCTTCAGTAGGATCAGTAGCATGAGCTGCTAAAGCAAGCAAAGCAGACTGGAAATGGCAAGAGGAACAATTTCTTAGAAAAGAGCTTCAATCAGCTTGGCAAAAGAGCAGAACTATAAAAGAACAACATAAGTATTCTAACCTTTTTCGGTGCATTCAAAAGATCGGCATATCGAGTGAGAGCTGTTCTCAAGGAGCACGGTGGGAATGGCGTTGGCAATGAGCTTCCACCGAGTGGTGTGCCATCCTCTTTGTCGGTATGGACGGAGAAGTAAGTGTCGGGCGACAAGCCTAACAGCTGCAGTGCCTCTTCTACAACCTCCTCGACATTCTCAGAGTACACACCAACATGATCCCCAGTTTCATATCTGAAGCAAAAACAGTTAAAACAGCGATGAGCATTTGTGTTACGTTTAAAACAGAAGTAAGGCATTACAGATTTTAGAACACCGTCAACTTACGAGAGTCCAGTGCCAGCAATGTCAAATTCCAAATGGGTGCAAGATCGATCAGAAAGAGGAGTGTGAAGCTCTTTCCTCACGGCAACATTCGACCTTCAGTTTAATAGATAATTTATGTTAGACCATTGAACTAAAGAAAGTAACTAAGTAAAAAAACAGGCAGTGAAACATCTATGAATATACCTGCATGGATGCTGAGCATCATAAACAGTATGGCCATTGGCACCACTCCAGCTTTTGTCTTCTACTGGTGCGTCAGTGGAGTCATAGAACACAACCCGATATTCCAACACCGCAGCCGTATAAGGGGTGGTAGCAGATGTTTGATCATCCTCATCAAGAAGCAATCCATCAAGCTCTGGCCATACCAACTCTTTCCTGCCACACAGACAGAAAGGCATATCAGAATTTTACCATATGGAAGCTAAGCAGTTCTTGGCAGTTGGCCCAAAAATGAAGACTACTAAGTAAGCTCACTCACCACGCAGAGAAGTCATCTTCCATGCATTGATCATCATCACCTAGACCCACAGGAACAAGGCGCTTGCCACCTGGAAAATGCAAAGAGTTGCCACCATCAGTCGCATGATATCAATCTTCTCATAACCTAACTTTAGTTTTAATTACAAGCTTCATTAAACTGTTCTGTCTGAAATAAGCACCCAATTAGCTAACAGCACTATATATGTCATAATGATTACCAGATTCTATTAACTCAGTGGACTAGTTCCCCATCATCTAACTACAACATGAACTCCATTTCTGTAAGGCTCAAAGGGAATGTAAAACTGTACCTTGCTCAGCGAGAATATCATCCACCTCCTTAGCAATCTGTTGTATCAACCAACAAAAACAAAAATTTCATCCACATTCACTCTCATAACTTTGGTCGTCAACTAAAATTCGGAAAGGCGCCAATTTCAGAGCACTCTTCAATACCTTATTGAAGTGTTCGTATTGCTTGTTGCCAAGGCCGAACACTCCATACTTCATCTTAAGCCATTCCCCTCGAGCTTCTTTACCCTGTTGCATGCAATCAGTCAATTTATGCTCTATACATGGACTAAACTCAATGCCCATTTCACTTAATCCACAGCTGAAATTTTTACCTCAATAAACCACTTGTAGAACCTTGCTGCGTTATCGGTCGGCTCACCATCTCCATATCTGCCCGCCCCAACCACCAATTGAAGCGTGTTACTTAACCAGATCAAAATTCAAACAAAAGGAAGAAGCTTTAGAAAGTTGCAGAGTCCGACAATTCACTCACGTAGCGAGGAAGAAGAAAGCGATGGACTCTTTCTTGAACTTCTCTTCGTATTCATCGTCATCCCCGGCATAATCATCCTGTTAACGAAACCAGAGAGTCAACACCGCAATCCGGCAATTCATTCGAAACAACAAGGATTCAACAGAGAAAAAAAGTCAAAGCTAAAATCGGGAATTCTCAGGTTCAACTCACCATATCAACAACGTTGAATACTGCTTTCTCATACCTGGCTTTCGCCTCCTCGGCTAGAGCCTGCAAGACAATTACAAATTCAAATCAATACAAGCTTATGAAACCCCTCATATGGTGAGATGAGTGAGACAGAGAAGAAATTGAGACGAACCTTGGCGAATCCTTCAGCGGTACCAGTCTGAGTACCGTAGAACACGGTGACCTTCTTCTTCCCATCATCAACCACCACCTCCTCCTTCTTCTTGATAACCAACGGCGTCGGTGGCTGGTAGCTCCGCTTCTGCGAGCTGGATCTTCTCCACACAAGCACCACCACACACCCGATCAGCACGGCTACCGTGGTCGTCAGGATCATGACAAACTCCCTGTTGTCCAGGATCAGCGAGGTGACCTCCGCCACCGCACCTCCCGGCTCCGACGACGCGTTGGACGGGTCGGCGAACTTCCTCCGGATAATTGCCGCCATCAGATCGATCGCCGACAGAGATCCCGACGACGCCGCCGCTGCGGATGAGGGCGAGTCCATTTCCAATTCCAAGTAATTCACTCCTCGCTGGAATTGAGAATCCCTGAACTTTTGCTGGAGGTCCTTGTGGTGGGTGGGAGTTGGTGCCGGCGATTCAGGGGAGGAGAGAAATCTTGCTTAGTTCAATTCAGTTTTTTTTTTTTTTTTCCTGGTCAAAAATTTCTTTCCCTGGAGAGATGGGAAGTGAGAGGTTGGGTTTAATAAGGGGAAGGAAAGGAAATAAAATAAAAATAAAAATAAATAAAATCTCAACGCCCACCAAACTCGACTTGGTCAGTGGTCAGGGCAATCTCGCGCTCACCTAACAACGAGGTGCTAACCATGGTTAGATTCTCTGGTTGGGCTGGCTGGGAGGGATTTCCCGCAAAAAATAAAATAATTGAAAACGGGAATAAGGATTTTGGTGGCTTTCCCCAATATGCCCTTGGTTGTCTTGTCTGTTTGTTTCCCGGGAATAATCGGAGGGAAAATGCCGTTTGTGCATCTCTTGCATTGTTGTCCAAGAAAAGGGTGACTGCAAGAAACTTGGTCACTTTTGGCAAAAAAATAAAAAAATAAAAAATAATATTAACACATGGTTCCGGCATATGTTGTGATTTATGAAGGAGACAAACAACCTCGTCCATTAATTTTCGTTCCTAAATCGGTACTTAGTCTATGAACATTGAGAATAGGCATCAAAGATACGGCATTAGATCGAAGCTTAATTAACTCACCATTGAGAGCTGCAACATTGAAAAAGGTAGATCGATAGGTTAGGTCGGTTGGAGAGGGAAACCCTAAGTTTAGGGTTTGCCACGTACCAACAATTCCCTCCATGAGTACTCTTTTGAGAACCGGCATTTGTTGTCCATCAATGTCTTCTAGCTAGAGACGTCGATGGGAAATAGATAAATACTATATGAGAATGATCCATTAAAGATCGATGACGACATACACAATTAAGTAAATCAATAATATAATACTATAAAAAAGTTATCGAGAGTTCGATTTAAATTACTTTCGCGACTTCTCATCTTGTCTTCTAAGTATTTAATTACATTACGATACAAAATTCATATTTTAGAAGTCTGATTCGCGGACTTTGAAAATATAAGAGGACGTATACATTGAATTTGTTATTCGATGTATCTAATCGTTGCCTCCACCGATTATGATGTCACTGGTAGTATGCAAGCAAGCCAATGTATTATATCATTAATTTATTATTATTATATATATATATATATATGGGAAATAACAAATTTTGTAGAAATACGTACGTACGTACGAACGTAGCACAAATGGATTAATATATAGTTAAGATTTTTTGGATCGTATAGAGTGCTGGGCCGCCGGCTTTGGCCAATTGGTCCTTAATTAGCTATGACCAAGAAAGAATTCAGTCTTGCATGGACTTTGCTTCCCACGAACGTTCATCAATGATGAGTTGCAACATAAGACTCGAACTTAGCCATAAACGATGGCTGTTGTTAGGACTCTGATGTACCACGTACGATTTGCAATCATTATTTTTACTAGATCCAATATTTTATTATTATTATTATTGTTATTCCAAATTTTTATAATAATACAGATAATGAATGAGCACGATTTTCTTATCATCTAATTCGAACTCGTCCAATTATAGATGCATATATTATGTATTCTTCTTTAATAAATCTTCATTCCCTTTTAACATATTGCATTTGTAAATACATTATATAGTTTCCCAAATAAATCATGTTTTAGAAATCGTAATTCTCTTTTTTCACAGTTATTGGATGAACGTTGTAAACAAAATATTGTCGTGCCATAGAACACGTGACGCCGCGTAATCCAATGACTGTAATCGTATGAACACTTTCATGCAAAGTGCAAAAGATCTGTGAGCACCATAATTGAGTTATGTCGGAGGCCGGAATGGGCAATAATGGTAGTATGGTATTGGTACCCTGATCTACTCACTCCCGTCCCATGCACGATGCATATGCAAAGGCGTGGATGGCCACAGAATCACTGAAATAAGCATTAATAAATGACATTTCTTATCTCTTTCTAACTATGGATCGGAAGTGCTGGCTAGCGCTCTTGAACCGGAACCAATTAACCAAATAATGGGTCCATTAATTCATCATTCCCTCCACCGGGAAATTAATAAATCGAGTAGTCGCCGTCGACGTACAGAGGCTAAACTCGGGACGGGACAGGCTTCATTGGCCCAAAATGTCAACGGGAAGTTAATGTTCGGCGGAAGTCGTCGGTCGGAAATGTTTCTGTTCTACTGCCTGCATATATAGGGGTTATTAATTTATTATACGTTGAAAGTTTGCGCAATATTTATGTATTGTATTGAACTCCATGTTGACTGCTACCGGCAAAAGCAGCTCCGGCACCAGCAGCTAATTACTTCATTGTCCGCTCGATGTTCTTTTCTGGTTTCTTCTTCTGATCTGACCAAGTCTTCTTCTTCCATGTTTTTTCCACACAAGACATCTTTTTATTGGTGATATGATTTCACAAAAAATTTACAGGAGGTTAATTATATCAGAAAGTTAATGATAATGTATTCTGGTATTAAAACTATGATTTAATTGTGGTTTAATTGTTTATCGGTTTGGTGTTCGGTATTCGATATCTCTGGTCCAACCTGATATAGGGTACGATTTCTAAAGCATTGTTTTTTAAGTAATATTTTGCACGAAACTGTTAATTAGGTCAAAGTAGATTTGGTATCCATATATGATTTATTTAACTTCAATACACTACCAAAATTTCCCTTACATGAAACATTCATTATTGAACATATCTCAACAATAACTCGAGTTATTGGGATGAATTAGTTCGTGACATGGTATCAAAATCTTCAATAGTCGAGAGGTATTGTCTTCAAATTAATCTCGTTGATCCCCAATGTTAAGTACATGGTATTTGAATCCGGTACAAAGTAGCAAGCTCATATGAGTTCGCTTTCGTTTATGATAGGGAGTGTTCATAAACGGTATAAGATTCATAATTAATTTTTTTTCAACAACTCAAATTATTGAGATCAATTGATTTGTGACATATGCTTAACCTGCTTGCATACTACGCCTAGCTAGGAAAAGAGATCATGCGGATGCATTCTTTTGTAAGGATGGAACGAAGGTTAGATAGCAAATCATTCTATTTGTGCATATGAAAACTATAGACCATAATATATTTCGAGAGTCGGCTAATAATTAACTCTATTTCCTTCCCAATATGTACAGACCTGGCGGACAAAATAAACCACAAATTTTGAAGACTAAAAAAGAAATGAGATGTTTACATTTAATTACGCATTTGACTAAACCACTAAACCAAATATGGGCAAAATGGTCAAGTTCAAGTTTGGGGGCAGTTGTCAAGTTCATCTTTGGGTGGGTCGAGTGCAGGCCAAAGCAGACCATGCAATAAACAAATGGAATTGAAGGAGTACGCAAGAAACAATAAATAATGACCAGTCCTTCACGTTGGCTGATTAATCAAGAACGAGAATCCCCTCCTCCCAATGGCATATGGGGGATTTAGGTTAGTGTTTTCCGGCTTTTTAATTAGGTGTAAACAAAGGGTCAAATTTGTGATGCAGACCTAAACAATTTTCTAAAGATGGAGAGAGGCAATGAAGGTGAGCACCAAGGTTCCTTAATTAGTTTCATTAGTATATATATATTTACTTGTATGATTGATATGCGAAGAAAGTCATTCAAATATGAGACTTGCATAAGAAATTAGTATTTATACTTGTAGACGGGTCATTTTGTTTTGTATAGACATAATCATACGACACGTTTTGAATACAAGCTAAGTACATCAACCGAGATCAGAACTCAAGCCTCGAGTCCTTTATTCTTCTTGTTTTTGGTTTAAAGGATCCAGACATAAATAACAAAAATAATGAATTAAAAGCACCAAATCCGACCAAGAACTCATTTGGTTGGCTGGATCAAGTGAATTTCTTTCAAATTTTGTTCACTTCCCCTCTAATTTCTGGATTATCCTCCCTGTCCCTGATGTAAGTCATTGATAGCTATTTTTACGCCAACACCTACCTATAATACTTAATTTCTTATAATTCGTTAAAGTTAACCCACAAAAACTCATCAAAACCTACAAGAATCTGATCATTTGTTGTTTCTCACTTTCAATTTATTAGATCTATCAAGAGATTATTCTAATCAATAAATTTATTTCGAAAGAAGATGCATACAGATTAATGTTTTGATTAACAAGTTAAGCTAACTAAAACCACCTTCATTTCACATGCACACATGCAGAAAGAAGAAAGAAAACGAGGCTATCTACTTCTTTCAAGAAAACTATTAAAGAAATCATCACCTTAATCATTTCTTCAAACACACACGTGGCAATTTGAAACCCTTACATTATTCCAATTAAATTAAAAAGATTTAAATGGCAATAATATAGATACCAAACAACATTTGGCCCAAAATGAAAGGAGATTGAAAGGATGGAAATGATTTTGGACACATATACATTTTTCCATTCCACCATGCCTTTCCCAGCTACCAACAACTCATTCTCTCTGAAAACGCCACATCCCACGATCGATCGATCCCACTAATCATTTTCTTCTTTTTCTGTGGTGGAAAAATGGAGAAATTACCACCATAGTCCATAGCCAAGCATATCTGTTTTCGATCTAGAACCATCCTTCTCAATTATATATGTCCCCTTCCCTGCTCTTTTCGTCGACCTCTTAGCCCATTTTCTTACCGAACAAAACAGACCATGTTTGGCATTTTTCTTTTCCCCATTACTTCATATATTCAATCACTCTTATCACACAACACAATTCAATTCAACTATTACACAACCGGAAAAACCGATCCATCAAATTCTATTAGTACGAGGTCTTTGCAAAGAAATTCAAAGTAAATCCGCACAGTCTTGGCTCAAAATGGACAACATCGTACTGATGGAGTATTGCGACTCCATAAGTGCTATTAGAGTCTGGTTTGACATTTCAGATCCAGGACGGTGGACATTACTTGGCGGGACTCCAAACGGCGTATCAACAGTGATCTACATCTGGTAAATCCCTGTGTCAGGCTAAGTCTGCAGATACAAGGTGTCTGACATATTAAGATAATTCCTGAGGGCAGGACACGGAGTTTGTGGTCATTGTCTGGAATGAAGGATTGCTATAATACAATTCAAGTATGACATCATAAATATAAAAAAAATGATTCTTGGACTACTATCCATCAAACTCTCATTAGTACGAGACATTTTAAAAAAGATACCAAAAAGTTAATTCATACAAGTTTAACAAAAAAGGGACAATATTTTAGCAATTTAGCATCTGCTGGTTTCCTTGGTTGCAAGAGTAGATCCCAATAATGTAAACTTCAAGTGATAAGCTGCTGGGGCCAAATTACTCGAGTCGCGATCAAGCTACAACGTAACATGATAACATGAGAGAGAGAGAGAGAGAGAGAGAGAGAGAGAGAGAGAGAGAGAGAGGTTTTGGTACTGTCGCTTGCCTTGCTTCCGCCGTTGTGTCGCTTCCACGTCCAGTTAACAAGAGGCTGTTATTTTGAAGCTGAGGATGAGAGTTTCTCCATGGTTGATGATCCTGAGAGCGTTATATACTAGACTCTAGAGGAATTGCGACAAGCTCATCTGGTTCACAAAGTTGGTTGATCGCGACTTTGGGTTGGGACAACGGCTAGAGTACTCTCTCTTGGCTTAACTTTGAATACCCACCTGGAGGGGTGTCGTTGCATAGCGTAGATGATGAATCAGATTTGTTATAAGGGAGAATCAGACAATGCAAAAAATAACATTTATGCGGTTCACTAGCATAAATTAAATTGTGGTAGAAGAGATTAATTTCACTAACCCTAGTCGGCTAGTTCAAAGGACATTAATAACTCATAACATTTAGCATTGGCTTTCACTCCACAACTAAACAATCAAACTTCAAATCATAGGAACATAACTAACAATCACCTGCGCATCATGAGACCACAATTAATAGTAAGTGAATGATACAATATTCATGATTAACATTCTTCCAAATAATTCGAATTATTGGTCACCAATAATAATCTTGTACATAATCAATAAATATTGCAGGGGGAGAGGGAGCTAGCTAGTTGAGAATGCAAGTTGGGAAGTGGCTGTAGCCTGTAGGTATGGTAACTTGCAAGTGTGTCAGGCCTTGCATGGCTGGAAACAGTGGTACGTTAATAATCGAAGAGGCAATCCCCAGCCTGTACTCTCCTAGGAATTTGGAGCCCCCTTCTGTCTGCGACATTCCCCATCTGACTTGGTTCCATGGGGCCAGTCCAGCCCATGATGATGGAATCAAAGTGAAAACTGGACCTTTTTAACGGGCTCAATAAAAGTTATCCAAACTGAAGCCTTATGGGCCGTTCCCGGTCCATTTTATCTGGAGGCAATTTTTAAATTAAAGGACATTTGCAATTTCGAAAGATGAATTCAATCGTTCAGCTTTTTGTCAGGCAGATAAACGGACAGATCTATCGCCGGACATGCGCTTCTTCCCCGAACAATACGTAACAGAAAAACATCCCCCATTCCCCCCTCTCCCCACTTACTCTCTCTCTCCAACAATGGCGGCAATGGCTGACTCCGGCTTGGATCTAGGAGTACGATCTCTCGCTCTCTCCCCCTCTCTTCTTTTACTTTACTCGATTGGTGAAGCTTCTCGTCTTCTCTAACTCGCTCTTTCTCCGCCGCAGGCTTCCGCTTCATTCTCCTTCTCCGGCGGGTGAGCTTTCTGTTACTTCCCTCTTTTGATGGGGCCAAAGCATTAGGGAAATGGCGCAAAGTCTTACCTTGTGATTGTTGTGGCGGTTTTGTGTGTATGGTTTGTAGGGAGAGCAAGTTTGCTGATACTGGGAATTTGGAGAACTGCGCCAAGTACTTGAACCAGACTCTCGTTACGTTCGGATTCCCTGCCTCCCTCGATCTCTTCGCTAATGATCCGGTTGGTTGAGCGAGCTACATGTTTGTTTGCTTTGGTTTTGAATTTAGGTTTGTGGTTAGGCTGATTTGGGAGAGAATTGGTGCTCGACCGGTTTTAGGTCTCGATTGCTCGGACCTGCAATTGCATTTACTTCCTGCTCCAGCAGAGGCAGCGAGACATTGAGTTCAGAGAGTCTGCCAATGATCAGAGACAGAGGTGAATTCTGCTTTCTTTCTGTGTTTGAGATCACAGATTGATTGCAGATATGCCATTGTGGAATTAGTGAGAATGAGCTTTGATTCACTCGTTGGCTGTTTGATGTGTAATTCAGATTCACAATGATTTTTTATCTAAATTTGTATGGCTTCGGTTGTTAGGCTGTCATCGGATATTTCAAGACTGGAAGCAAAGGTCGAGAGGCTTGAGGCTCAGCTGCAAGTGAAGGAAAGGGAAATTGCGACAATTACCAGAACGGTTAGAAAATTGTTTTTCTTCTTCTTCTTCTTCAGAGGCTAGCTTGTAGCATGATTGGTTGATCAAGTATTTGATACATGGAGGGTAATGGATGCAGGAGGCTAAGGCTGCAGCAGCATTCAAGACCCAGACTGAAAAGCTTCAGCAGGAAAGAGATGAGTTTCAAAGGATGGTGATTGGTAATCAGGTTAGTGGGAATAAGTCACATTTCACTGCGGTCTTGTATTTTTTGGGTAACTGGAGGGAAATTACAGATTGTGACAATGACTATTGTGTGGTTAATACACTCTGATGCTACTACAGCAAGTGAGGACTCAACAAATACATGAAATGAAGAAGAGAGAAAAGGAGTACATAAAGTTACAGGTTGGTGTTTCTTCTCTGGACATAATTGCAGATGGAAAAGAATGAGTGATGTGCATTCTAAGTGGGAAGCTGATTGGTTATTCTATTCTTTAGGAGAAGCTAAATCAAGTTCTGATGGAGAAAAAGAAGGAATCAAGGTCTGGCATGGAGATCATGAATTTGCTTCAGGTTGCAAATTGATCATCATTGTGCACTCATATACTGTTTACCTACTCCCTTGAGTGCAATGCTTTGATGTGTTACATAACCTGTACGACGTCTCTAACAGAAAGAAGGGCGACAACGAGGGACTTGGAATGGGAAGAAGACTGATACTGACTTCTATAAGAAAATTGTATGCAGAGTGACTATTACATTTAATGTTTCTTGAGCTAGTTTGGTTTATATGATGGTTAAAATAACCGAATGCATTTCTAGGTTGATGCATATGAGGCTAAAAACCAGGAGCTGATGAATGAGAATACTGACCTGAGGGCATTGTTACGGTCAATGCAGGTTCGCTTTTTTACCATTTCTCACCAATATAGTGCTAGTTTACTCTATGGCCACAAGCCTCATCACTCCCCCACCAAAAATATTTGTATAAATGGCTCATAAGTTATCCAAGCTTGCAACTTTGGATGCCCCATGAGCCTATGGATTGAATGTTGGGTAGACTGATGAAAGAATATTTTTTCCAGCACTTTTAAACAAGTTTATACCTTCCCCCATGGTTCTCCTGTTCGAGATTAATTTGCTTTCTAGTAAATAGTAAATAACTGTTTCAGTTTGCTAAATTATGGTTGTGGATTGCATGCAGACTGACATGCGTGATTTCATCAATGCTCCAAATGGTTCTTCCAAGCAGTCTTTGTCACTTAATGATCGATCTGAAGTTGACCCTACACAGTCTCCCTTGGGAGGAAGGACGGTACGTTCACTTTTTAACAATGGGTTTTGGAGTTTTGGTTGTCAATCACAGCTGTTGATATCATGGAAAGCTATTGCAGGATCTGTTTGACATGCCTCTTCACATGGCTAGGGATCACATTGAAGAAAGCCTTCGAAATAAGATGGCATCCATAAAGGTTTTTACCATTTTGTAATTTGAATTTACTACCAATTTTGCTTTAGAGGTGCTGGAGCTGGAAATTATTAATGTCCGTTTGCCTTCGCTTGAAGGAGCGCATGGTTCAATTGCAAGATGCACAGAAGGAAGCAGAAGTTACTTCAGAAGCTACCGAGAGAGAACTTGAGCTCGAAGCTCAACTTGTTGAGGCCAGGAGCATAATCCAAGAGCAGGTATCTATCTTATTTTCCTCTATGCTAGATACGAAATTATGGATCTATGGTGCTCTCATTGCTGTCAAAAGTTCCAATGTGGGACAATTCCTTTCACTTCTAAGTTTGGGTTGAGCATCTTTGCTACCCATGAAGACTAGACATCGAGAATACCTGATTTTTCGATTCTAACTGTAGGCGTCCCTTATGTCTAAACATCTTCCTAAGTCCGATAAGCCACTAAGGTACTTCCACAACCTCTTCAACCCCAAGTTGCATTCCTTCCTCTCAGTTTCAGCATATGATGCAACACTTTAATGACGATTCTCGTATTTTCTCAACAGGGAATCCATCACTCCGTCGCCAACTGAGGTACGTAACATCTCTGTTCTCTGTCCTATCCAGTTAAGTCAATCAACAATTCAACATAATGAATGATCACCTCAACTTCATTTCTCGTACTCTCTTCATGCAGAAAAGCTTAGGTTGAAGAATGGCGAATCAGGATATGACCTCGAAAGATTATCCTAATTCCAATCGCCATCTACCTTGATTGTTATCTCGGTCTAAAACAAAGGCCAAAGAGGAAGAACAATGAAGAAAGGGAGCTGTCGTCGAAATGTTACATATAATTCTGATTTAACCAGAGTATGCTGTAAGTTTTAAGATCTAGATTAAAGCTGCAGCTGTTTAACTTAATGTGAAACCCCCCTTGTGATTAAATGAAGCATGTTAGTTAGGCAGTAAGAAACTCTCTTCTTCGCTCTAATCCCCTTGTGTCTCAAGTTACCCCTTTTTTAATGGCAATCCTATGTCTTATGTTAATTTGATCACATTTCTTAATCTCACGACTCACATTACAGCTTTATCGTTGTCAGCTGAATCATTTGAGACCGAATAAGAGCTACGGCCCAAGAAGGTCAAAGGCCCATCTAAGTCTTTACGAAACTAAGTTATGCGATATAAGAGGTTGGGCCCAAGAAGGCTCACGGCCCATCTGATCTGATTGATTAGTCTTGCTTCTAACAGCTAAACGTCGCCGTTCACTCTTTGATGTCCTGTGACTACTGACGAAGCCGACTGAGATCTGCATTTTCCTCCAATCTCCCTCCCGCGGTTCCAAATTGTGTAGCTGGGATTCCAAATCTCTGATACAGCCATTGTAAGTCTGAAGAAGGAGCTTGATCCTTCACACTGAAGCATTGTGCGAAGCTTTTCTTGGTGGCTCGCATCAATGAAGGAAATTTCCGTTGCGAAGGCGCAGGTAAGACGCGGCTTCCGGGCGAATCACTGGGGAAAAGGAAGAAGGCTGGATCCGAGACTCCTGATCGTTGAGCGTACTGCAATTCTTAATTCTTTTTGCTTGTCGGATTGACAGACCCCCGGGGATGGAACTGACAGCGCGAGAAGCGTGTTTGATTTGGGAGCGTTCGTTGGCGATTTGACTGCTCTGGATGATGATGCCAGCAGGTGCTGATTGGTTCACTTTGGTTTCTTGCTTTCTTACCTAGTTTGAAAATCAGGGGGAACTGGTTTTGAATGTGGCTGCTTTTGCTTTAGTGATGAAATATCCCTTGAAGGGCTGGAGCAGGAGCTGGAAGAGTGCAAAGGCGATGATGTAAGTGACTTCACTATCGCGACAGCTGATCTCTATGTTCGAAATATCGTTCTTGCCAAAGTCTTCACATTTGTTGGGTAGTTGACAGGTTGAGAATGTAAAATGGATGGTCTTCACATATTGATGATAACATCTAAGTTTGCTTCTTTTATTTTCTCCGGTATCCTAGGTGGTAGAAAATATTTTATCCAAGGGTACAAAACTGAGGGAGTATACGAAGGGAGTTGAGAACAATTTGCGGCAGGTTGAATTGGATTCGATTCAGGTTCACACTTTCTTCCCCCTCTTCTGTTGCTTGGTGGGCAGTGATGGATTGTTCAATGGATGTAGTGATTTGGGTTATTATACAATTGCAGGACTATATAAAAGAAAGTGACAATTTGGTGTCTCTCCATGAACAAATTCGTGACTGCGACAGCATCTTGTCACAGATGGAGACCCTTCTCAGTGGGTTCCAGGTCTGTTGGTTAGACTATTTTGTTTTACTTTACTTCTGGGTTCAGTTTAGAGTCTTAGGGAGCGTGATGAAACTAGAGAACAAGTTATAGTGTTGATTTTTCCTGATCATCTGAGAACTTCGTTATTTGTTTGTAGACAGAGATTGGTTCTATTGGTTCAGACATCAAAATTCTTCAAGAGAAATCTATGGATATGGGTCTAAGGCTGAAAAACCGGAAGGTATTCATTTTATAGGACATGCTCTATTGGAAGTTCTTCACAACAATTGGAGTGACCATTTCTGTAGTTGGTCGAAGAGAGGAAGCTACTTAATCTTCGTTTCTGCTTTCTGAATGAACAGGTTGCTGAATCAAAGCTAGCAAAATTTGTTGAAGACATCATAGTCCCACCTCGAATGGTTGATGTGATTGTTGATGGGGAGGTATATACAGCTCTTGATTTGAAGATGTTCTTTGTTTTCTAGATTATGTGATAATTTCCTTAATACTGAATTCTTTCCTAGAAACTGTCAGTATCTTTTTGCAAATTGTTTAACGTCCGTCTTTTAAATCTCTAAATACCTGTTTTACTGTTAAAGTTGCATTCTGATACTGGTTTCTCTTTTTAATTATGTAGTTTACATTATTAGCCGTGTCTTGATATGTGCTAACATACTTGCAGTGGGATTTTTATACAGGTCAATGATGAGTATTTGAGAACTCTCGAGATTCTTAGTGAGAAGTTGAAGTTCGTTGAGGTTGATTTGTTGATCAAAACTTCTAAAGCTCTGAAGGATGTTCAGCCTGAGCTTGACAAGCTGAGGCAGAAAGCAGTGTCAAAGGTAATGGTGAATGTCATTATGTGTATACCTTATTGTCCTTCAACAGGTTCCTTGGTGAATAAATGTTACTAAGTCATGCTTATCTCTTTCTCCAGGTGTTTGATTTTATTGTTCAGAAGCTTCAAGCTCTGAGAAAACCTAAAACAAATATCCAGATCCTTCAACAAAGTGTTCTTTTGAAGTACAAGTGAGTTACTTTGCTGTCTTTTTTAGTTGGATGCCTCCAATGAATACTTTATGGGGTATGATTGATTATATTCTATCATTTTGATTTGTAAAGTGGCGGTACTTGTTGTATAACTCAGCTGCTACAGCAAACTGTTTGTGTCAATTGATCTCTTCCTGCCACTGGTATATCATTGTCTTATAAGTATCTGCCTCAACTTGTAGATACGCCATTTCCTTTTTAAAAGATCATGGCAAAGAGGTGTACACTGAAGTTCGCAGTGCATACATTGACACAATGAACAAGGTGAACTATTTTGTCTTGTATATTTTGGAGGGTCTTGGTACCTGTTCCTGTATAGTTGCAATGGGGCAAGTAGGTTCTTTAGTTTTGATTCCCTAGCTTCGAGTTTTGCAGGTTCTAAGTGCACATTTCCGTGCATACATTCAAGCTTTGGAGAAATTGCAGTTAGATATAGCGACTTCCAGTGATTTGATTGGTGTGGAGACCAGAAGTGCTGGTTTGTTTTCAAGAGCCAGAGAGCCGCTGAAGAATCGATCAGCTGTTTTTGCTTTGGGAGATAGGATTAACATCTTGAAGGTTTATATACTTCTATCTAGTTTTCTATACTGACCAACTCCCTCTTTGGGTGATTTATTTCTATACTTGGTTTCCTGCCTTATTCCTGAAGATTCATGGCAATAGTAAATGCATCATTGTTTGAACTCCATGCATGATACCCTCCTCTTTTGTGTCTGAGCCTTGTGCAGCTTAACCTGGTAGTTTGTACGAAACTTCTCTTATTTCTTGGTTGCATAATGTGGTTTGGCTTGAGACTTCTCCTTTACCCTTGAAACCTTTGCTAGTAAGATATGAAGCCTTCTTTGACTTGGATTACTTTGACAGGAAATTGAGCAGCCAGCATTGATTCCACATATAGCTGAAGCCAGTTCACAGAAGTATCCTTATGAGGTCCTCTTCAGGAGCTTACACAAGCTGCTAATGGATACAGCCACTTCAGAGTATGATGGAATTGCTTTCAGATGTATATTCTTTTTAATTTCCCATAGCTCGTAGTATATGGATTTTTTTATCTTCTTCCTGCAGGTATCTTTTCTGTGATAAGTTCTTTGGAGAAGAGTCCATGTTCAATGAAATATTTGCAGGTAACTGAGAAAGATATTAAACAACTGCATATAGTTATGGATTCTACCTAAATATGCATAGCATAATGCAATTGTTGATTTTGTCTATGGATTTCTTAGGTCCCCTTGCTGTTATTGATGAGCACTTCAATTCAATACTGCCGAACAGTTATGATGCAATAGGTCTAATGCTAATGATTCGTATCATACATCAACATCAGGTGATGGCCCCCAGAAGCCTTTCTGCTGATTACCAGTTTGAATTGGCCCTACATCCCATTCTATTGCTGAATCTTTTTTATATTCTTTTTCAGCTAATTATGTCTCGGCGACGAATTCCATGTTTAGACTCATATCTAGACAAGGTAAGTTATCCTATATTTAAGCACCAGCTACTGAAGCAGAGTTTTCTAGTAAGTGGCTTTCCATATTGAAGGAAAGGAAAAACATAGGGTGAGTTTGTTTCATCTTTTGATAAAAGATAATTGCCATTTTCTTAAAGTTTTTGTTGAAGCAATGAAAATATGTGGTTTATTTAGGGTTTATAAAAAGTAAATAAATGAGACAGTTTACGGAAACGCCATAACGTATAAAGTTGGAAATCAAATGTTTTCAGTGAAGTGGCTTCTAATTGTGAGGTCCACCATGAGGAGTTGTTCTAAAATGCTAGATTGATGAAGTGCATATGTTTCAGGATCTAAGTGAGCTTATTATTTAAACAGAACAAACACTCCCGTAATATATTTGAGATGGGCAGGTCAATATAGCATTGTGGCCCCGTTTCAAGCTCGTGTTCGACATGCACCTTAGTAGTTTGAGGAACGCTAATATAAAGACATTGTGGGAAGATGATATCCATCCTCATTATGTCATGAGGCGTTATGCTGAATTCACTGCTTCTCTTATTCATCTCAATGTCGAATATGGAGATGGACAGGTCAGACAGATTATTCTTTTATTCCACCTCCTCTTCCAATTTTCAGGACAAGTGCCTACAACCTCTTAAGATCTTTGATATGCGTGCAGCTTGAATTGAATATGGAAAGGCTCAGAATGGCTATTGATGACTTGATTATCAAGCTTGCTAAAACATTCCCAAAGCTGAAACAACAGATTGTGTTCCTTATAAACAACTATGACATGACGATTGCTGTAGTCAAGGTATGAAGATCGTTTTGTTTTGAGGATTCAAAGTGAATAATTTTTTTTTTCAGTGTCTTCTTTACTGTTCCTCTATGAACTGCAGGAAGCAGGTCCTGAAGGTGGGAAGATTCAAATGCATTTTGAGGAACTGCTGAAGAGCAACACAGCATTGTTTGTGGTAAGCATTATTCACAAACATACAATAATTTAGACAAGGGAAATATAAACAGTGCTGGATCATGGTAGTCATGTTCCTTTTAAGTGGAACAAACCAAAATCCCGTTCGGGAAGAAGCTTACCCCTTGAAAAATCATGCATTTGAGAACGTCTTTTGTTGTACCCTTCCTCAGGCTCAAAGCTTAAAGTATTCTTCTGCTTTGGGTTCCTTCTTACTGATCTCTCCTCGCAGGAGGAGCTCCTTGTCGGGCATTTTGGGGACCTAATCAAGTTCGTTAAGACTCGAGCTTGTGAGCATTACAATCATATGCAAGTTAAAAATATGAACATTCCCTTCAACAATCTTCTCTTCACTGCTAATAGTTTTTTTTTTAACCTCTTTACCCAGCGGAGGACCCAAATTCCAATCAAGATAAGCCCATAACTATCTCAGAAGTCGAACCACTCGTCAAAGACTTTGCCAGTCGGTGGAAAGCCGCGATCGAGCTAATGCACAAGGACGTCATCACCTCGTTCAGCAACTTCTTGTGCGGGATGGAGATCCTGAGGGCTGCACTGACCCAGCTCCTCCTTTACTACACCAGGCTATCCGATTCCATCAAGAGAATCACTGGCGGATCGACTCTCAACAAAGATCTCGTCTCCATATCCTCCATCATGTACGAGATCAGGAAATACTCCAGAACTTTCTAGACTCTGTGACATCGGGTATCAAAGCCAGGCAACTCTTAACACCCATGGAAACAGTATGGTCTGAAGCAAGTGATGAGTATGCATCACTTTTTGGTTGTGAAATGACTGTCCATCATTTGCATTTCTCATGTAATGTACATGAAGTATGATCTATACACTACATTTTGTCCACTTCGGTTGGGATATTTTGTTTAGTTAAATTTTCAACTAGTGTGGTCTCGGCACTAAAGAATTGCTCATGATATTCTCTGCTACAACATGCCTGCAAACATCATGCTTCAACTCTTCCTCTATAGCTTCTTCAATAACGGCACAGGAGAGCTTCAGATCACCATTACAAAACTAACATGCTTTACATGGAGTGAGAACGATAAGTGACATGCTTAGATTGTGAGATTTAATTGTACCATAAATTGTGAAACTCAAATGTTTACACGTCCAGTTAATGATTCTTTGCATATATATAACATGTTTAACAAAGAAACATATTGATATTCTAGTTGACACAAAGGAACATATTGATACTATAGTCAGCAACCCAATTAGATATCAATTCATTGCTTGCTTCTCACCATACTTGTTTGTGAGATATTGATGAAAACTAAATTTTATCATGAGATACTATATTTACAATTCTGATCGACACCTTATATTCTATAGTGGCAAATTCCAATCAAATTCTCGGCCACATATGATACTATATTTACCATTGTCCAATAATATTGCGTGAACATTCCTTGTCTTTTAGCATCACTACTATCGTTATTACAGCATCTTCTCCATTTATTTGGCTAACCCCGTAGAGCACCAACGCTCTCACATTGCCATCCGCCTTCGTCTATCTCTCAAACTCTAGACCACTCTTGAAGTTTGGAAAAAGGCGTACTTTTATTTTCAACGAATAGTGCATCCTTTAATGCAGGGAGAAGCATATGGTTGTCTTAAATGCTATTAGTTAAAACAATATTTCAGATCCTGGAGGGAAAGTCCGGTAAGTCAGAGCTTGCGTCGGAACAAAATCGCCGGCGAGCGACGACTGAATAGAGGAAAAACTTGTTGTCGCCGTAGAGAGTGACAAAGCCGCCGACGGATTGAAACCAGAACAGAAACAAACAACCTAGTTTCCTTTTGATGATGATGAGCCACTTACAAGATTATAACAATTAACGAACTAACTTATTTGACGATGTTATTGACAAATGATGAAGCCAAGTATTAGCGGAAGAACATCAATACCAACTCCTGGTGGTAATTTACATATGGATAAAAAAAATTTATATTTGATAGTGGATGACACATTTGAAATTTGAAAAAAAATGATTATCTTACTCTCACTTTCTAGTTTGCGTACGAGAATATAAGTGATAGTTTGGATAATTCAACCCTATGACACTATTATTATTTAATAAATATAATTTTCATTAGTCTACAACTCATTTATTGTTTGATTTTAAACATGGTGTAATAATAAAATGTCATTCTCCATTAATTATTTCCAAAACCTAACAATCAAACTAATTTCAAGCTACCCTTAATTTGCATTGATATTTTAGTTGTATTGCAAGTGTTGAAAGAGTCTTTTTTTAGCTTTGGATTACATCGAGAACAAGTTTAAAAATCGAATATGGGATCAATTCGTGAATGATTGTTTAGTAGGATATAAGAGACAATTTTATTGAACAGTGTAGACACCAGGTGTATTCTACAATTATTTTCGAATATGAAAACACATCGTAAACGTTTTTTGGCTTGTACGAGCAGTGGCGGACCCAGAATTTCCGGAGAGGTGTGTCGTCGATAAAATAATAAAATAATTAAAAAAATTAATTAAAAAATTATTAAAAAATTAATAGAAATTAAATAGAAATTACTTGAAATTAATTCATAAAGTTCACAATGTCATGTTTACTAGAAATGTCTGTAAATACATTCATTGCTTATGTTGCGAAGCAAATCCTTTTCGATATACACAACTAAACAATGATTCATTAAATTCGTCACTCAACCGATTTCGAAGTGCATTCTTGATTATCTTCATAGCTGAAATCTTTCGCAGCTTTCAATTGCAACAGGTAAAGTCAACACCAACTTCCAAAAGCAAGTAAAACTAAAGGGTAAAAGAAAAGGGAGATGTGGTAGTGACTCTCGATAATTAGAAACTAAAACGGGGTAATGGTGAGTTTTTTTATTTTCAATAAAGGAAGGGTCAAGGGATGGAAACGGTGAGTTTCAAAGGATGGGGTTATGTTTATTTTTTCCATTGTTGGGTTGTGGTAGGGATGACAACCAAACCTATGGTCGCGGGTACCCGACCTCCTCCGACCCAGTCAATACGGGAATCCCTGCATTGACTGGGTATGGGGCGAGTATGGATAAAACCCCCCAAAAAGGTTGATGGGTATGGGGCGGGTATGGTTTTTTAACTCTCCAGCCCCATACTCATACCCAAACCCGCCCTACCAAGGATATTATGTTATATACATAAAATATAAGGAGTGTATGGTAACTTGACAATCGAATGAAGAGTAATTAAAAGAAAAAATAAAGTGTTAAAATGTAATTGATGGCAACCAAACCTTAATTTCATCCTCTTATGTATTAGTTCCATAATTTTGGGTGGGTAGTATCCATATTTGTCACCATATTTGTCACCATATTCTATTATGAATGGTGAGTAGTTGTCGGGGCGGTATTACCCATGGGTATCAGAAAACCACAGGTATGAGGATGAGTTTGTAAGACCTTTCACTGCATGGGTATGAGACGGGTATGAGTTTGAATATTTGGAAATGGGGATGAGGTTGGTTTAGGCAAACCCGCTCTATTGTCATCTCTAGGTTGTGGTGTTGGTTACTCTAAAACAAGCATACTTATTTGAATTTACTTATTAAATTGTGTATTACTCATTAAGATAAATAACTTTATAACAAGAAAATCATTCTCGTATAATGAAGGTGTGTCGCTCACAATTATTTAAGGTGTGTCGGAAGTCCCGAATTAAAAAAAGTTGTACCAAAAATATATAGGTACTTCACAAAAATTTCGGGCGAGGGTGTGTCGGACGACACACCCTGCCCTTTACTAGGTCCGCCACTGTGTACAAGTCATGAATTTTCTTATTTAATCATTTTTATTAGCTATTTCGTTTTTATTTATTTTATTTTTTAAAAGATGATACCCCTATGTAAAATTTCTGGGTCCGCCACTGGGATTAGAGACTGAGGTTCACCCATTGGAGGTTAGGGTAGTATCATTCTTCAAACTCCGATTAATTGGTGTTCTAAATAATAAAACTTGACAGTCGTACAGTAATGTGAACACAGGCTTATAGCGTATGCCTGACGTAAACTAGTGTGGACTAGCGTACACTATATCCTATATGTGCGTGTTCACACCTATTATTTGTACTTAAATGGATTTTATAATTTGGATTATAGAATTAACAATAGTAACTCACCCATTATTTATGTGTCTTATCATCCCCAAACTAATCAAACTAATTTATGATCTATATAACAAATCTCAACAAGACAATGTCAAGATATATTGTTTATTTCCCCGGTTCATAATAAACAGTATGATTTATATACTTCAATGAAGAATCAAAGAAGACAACGTGATCACTTATGATCTCGACCTCGCCCCAAGTCTTCTCAGCTCTGTTCATCTCGTAGTTACAGCTAGTCACCGCCAACTAATAACTAGACGGCAAAATCCAATTCCCCACCGCACGACCACCGTCGCCTGAACGATGAACAAACTCGTTCATCTTGAGATCGTATACATTCTCCATATAGTAAACACAATCCCTTCTACACTCCGGATGATCTCTGACGGATACATAAACAGCACAGCTCGAATCGAAGAACAGAGCATAATCCCCAATACTCCCAACCGCATCCCATCTCCATCTCCTTCCGTCTTCCTTCGCCCTGTAAATACTGAATCTCTTGACTCGTCCACCCGCCGACTCACAATGACTGATCAGCAGGATCAGCTCCCCCTCTGGGCTCACCACCAACCGGTAATTACATGGCCGTTCGCCGTTAAAGAGATCCGCAGAGTTTTCAGCAAGAAAAGCCAACGAGAACTTGGGCTGCAGATGATCATAGGCCAAAACCCTCCCGTCATCTTCGCAAAGGACGTGAATTTTACCCCTCCAAGATACAATCTCCGCGACCTTATTCGTCGGGAGGTGATCGTGGAAAGGGACCAATGTCCATCGCTCGTCCCACCCGAGCTTGCAGAAAGCCAGTCCCCCGCCGACGTCGCCGACGTCCTGGTACAACAACACCACCGTGATGGACTCCTCTGTCTTCGTCGCCGTCGGGGCGGCCGACATCAGAAACCTGGCTATGCAGCACGGTACGCAGGTGCCCTGTCCTGTAGTCGTCTCCTGCGGGAGGTAGATCTTGTTTCTCGTCAACGGATTCATCAAGCACAGAATTGGGCCCCACGACGGCGGCGGTGATCTTACTTCTTTTAGGAGCAGCCATCCGAAGGCCGAGCCGAGACACTGAACCTCGACCCGCCGCGGGCCGTCGGCTAAGTTGACGTGCTGGAGGCGGGGCTTCTTGTTTTTAATTTCCGCCGCCGCCGTCGTCACGTCCGTGATGCGATGCCAATTGCCGTTGCAACCGACGGCTTTGGGATTGCTTGCTGACTTTGACTTGCACGGCGAGACCAGCCACGGCAGGGATTGGCGGAACTCCGGCAAGGGGAGCGATCTCCACTGCTTGCAAACGAATCGGGAGTGGATGAAGTCTTGTAGTTTTGTTGACCAGCGGTGTATGATGGTTTCGACGAGGTCGCCGGGAAGTTGTGACCAATCGGGTTGCTCCGTCGGCTCTGTCATGTTGGCGAGAGAGCGCGAAACGGGGACACGAAGATTAATGCAGTTTGTTAGATCTTCGGCTAGTGTATAAATAGAAGGGTGGAATGGCGTTTTCCGATTCCGAAGCGGAATTGGATGGAATTAGGGTGAAATTGACCTAATTTCTTGGTAACGGAAAAGTTCAATGGCCATTGTGTAAATTGACCTATTCTTTTTTCCTGAATCGCCAGAGTGAGTTCTCCTCTTTCCTTTCCATTCCCGCTCGTCTTTACTCAATTCTCTGAACGAAATCTCTACCGGTGGCCGGAGCTAACAAACAAGTGTTCCCGTCGAACAGGGGAACGTTCACCTTCGAGGAGAGCGAAAGAAGGCGATCGAGCATTGGTATTGTTAGGAGGAAGAAGAAGAAGAAGTACCACCGTCAGTCCCCTCAACGGCATTCACTGCTGTCGCCGCCGAGGGTGAGATTCCGTACCTTCTTTTCACCTGAGTTTGTACCGATCAATGCTGAATTGGGTTACATGAATTAGTGCATCGATATCAATCGATAGTTGAAGAGGAGTTTGGGTGAAAGAAGAAAAATGGAGATGGAAGACCCCCCGTTGGACGACAAAGCGAGGAGAATGAGAGATCTGCTGTCGAGCTTCTACGCTCCAGATCCTTCAATGTCTGCGGGAAGTCAGCCGAAAGGTGTTTCCTTTGACAACATCGACACGGACTCATTTGACGCAGACCAGTACATGAATCTCCTGGTACATAGATCTTCCTCTAGTTCCTAAGTTTCCAGTTTGCTAGTGTTTGGAAATGGAAATGTACGTACTGGTGAATTGTTACGTTGCGATCGATGTGTACTTGGGTGACTGAGTGGTTGGGTGTTGCTGGTTAGGTTGACATTGGAGGTTGAAATGTTTTCTGAGAGATTGGGCATGATTGATTCTAGGTGCAAAAGGCTAACTTAGAAGGGCTTCTTCAAAGGCATGTCGAAATGGCTGCTGAAATTAAGAATCTTGACACTGATTTGCAAATGTTGGTATACGAGAATTACAACAAGTTTATCAGTGCCACTGATGCAATCAAGAGGTATGAATGTTTTCATACAACCAGAGCTTTCTGTGATTTGGTTTGATGGGGGTTATGCACCCCACTTTGTTAGGAACCTTACATATGGGTGGAGATTAATGTTGCTAGGATGAAGAGCAACATTGTGGGGATGGAATCTAACATGGAGCAGCTCCTTGACAAGGTCTGTAGAAGTTATTATTTACATACCATGGTGAAAGCGATATTTCTGAACAGTTGCATCTACTGATCATTGTAGATCATGTCGGTGCAATCTAGAAGTGATGGAGTGAACACTTCTCTCTTTGGAAAGAGAGAGCATATAGAGAAATTGCATCGCACACGTAATCTTCTTCGTAAAGTCCAGGTATTCAATGCTATTGCACATCCTAGGTTTTTATTACTATTTGAAGGTAGATTGTCTGCCAGGGTTCTTGTAACCTTGCTAAGAGATTTATACGCTACGAGTGGTCCTGTATGAGTAACACAGAGTTGTTTTCTATGGAAAAGAGCAGTTCATCTATGATCTACCTGCTAGGCTTGGGAAGTGTATTAAAACAGAGGCCTATGCTGATGCAGTCAGGTTCTACACCGGAGCAATGCCAATTTTTAAGGTACTCTATTCCCATGCACAGTTTTATGTTACCAGCATTTTGCATTCAATTTTGTTTCACTTTCGTTCTTAATTATTCATATTCATCTCCTTAGAGTTCCTTTCTTCCAGTAAACTTGGGATTCCTTTTTCTTACAATTGTGTTCACTGCTTAATTACCAGGCATATGGCGAATCTTCTTTCCAGGACTGCAAGCGAGCATCCGAAGAAGCTGTTGTGACTATTACCAAAAACTTACAGGTTCACTCACTTTGTGTATTCTAAGCCGTGAATTATTATCATCTCTGCAATTCCCTCTGGTCTTGTCAATTTCTGTTGAATGGGAGTAGGAATCCTCTGGGAAAACAAATAAGAGGAATTTTACAATGCTTTAAAGCATTGGTGCTCTAGTTTTTGCCTTTATGGTACAACTTGAAGTTGTACCTTTAACGTTATGGTACAACTTTAGGTTGTACCTATACTCTTTTGTAAAATCCCTTTATGGTACAAACTAAAATTGTACATTTAAGTTATGGTACAACTTAAAGAGTTGAAGTTGTACCACAACATAAAGATCAAATTCCCTTATGGTACAACTCTAACTTGTACCTTTATCGTTGTGGTACAACTTAAAGTTGTACTTTAAAGCACCAATACTTTAAAGCATAGTAGAAAGACTCAACAAATAGATGTGATTTCACATTCTGTTGTAATGTCTGCACTAGTGGGTTGCACATATTTGTTAAATGTCACTATGTTGATTTATATCTCCAGACTTAAGAAAATCAATTGCCCTGATGTCAAACTTTTTTTTTCTATATGAAGCACAAGAATTGGAATTCTAGCTAATGCTACATCTTGTGATGTGTTATCGTTCTCAGGGAAAGCTTTTCTCAGACTCTGAATCCATACAGACGAGGGCTGAAGCAGCAGTTCTACTGAAACAGTTAGATTTTCCGGTTTGTGTTCTTTGCTCATATTTAAATAATGTTCTGTTTGGGCTGGCATATCAGTGTTCTTGTGACGGGAGTATTCTTTTCTTTATAATGATGATTAAAGCAATGAAATGAAAAAGATAGCACAAAAGGTTCAGGGAATACAGAAACGAGGGCTTCACAAGCAGTGTGAGGGGAGTATTCCTGGGCAGTGCTATATCCGACTCCATGATATCTGCACTCTGTATGTAAAAAATCAAGTCTCTTTTGAGCAGGTGGATGGTTTGAAGGTGAGACTATTTGAAAAGCTGGAACAATCTATGGGGGATCTTCAGGTTAAGATTGGGGACATAGCTGGTGCATTGGAAGAGTCTAATGATGAACATGAGAATAATCTGCAGCTGGGTTTTTCTGTACCACATGATGTAAGTAGGGAAAAGCACAGATGTACCTCTAGCTGTTCATTGACAAGAATCCAATCAAGTTGCTTATGGTGATCTGAAACCTAGATAGTGAAAATAGGTGGTCGGTAATTTGCATTGTTACACCTCTCTGTGTTTATTTTCTTTTCTCATACTATTGCCTTCAGAAACCCTGTCAACACTCGTGTCCTTTTGGACCTTCAGCATTTTGTGTGTATGAAATGGAAGGCTAATACAAATATACTTAGATGTGTGTACCAATCTTTACTTGATTCTTCTCTCTGCTGCATAGGGATCCACTCTGTTTTGTGGTTTTTAATTGTGGAACTAGTGGCTGCCTTTCTACTGCATACTTTCAGATTATCTTATATACTTTATTGTAAATATGATACCCTTAATTTGCTGTTATTACTTATGATATGATTTAGGCTTCTGTTCGCGAGTTTGTGGAGGCTGTTCGAGCATATCGCATAATATTTCCTGACTCGGAATCTCAACTGATTAAACTTTCTGAGGACTTGATTACCAAGTGAGACTCTGAGTCTTTATCATGTTTTATTCATTAGTTTGTTGGCCATGGCATCTTCAAGTTATAACTGTTGTTTTAATGCATTAAACTTTTCTTGCAATGATCTTTTACCCTTTTTAGGCATTTTCTAACAACTGAGCAATACATGAAGGAGAGAGTTTCAACTGCAACTTTTCTACGTGTTCTACGTAAGTCTGATATCTCTGAGAATTAATATCTCTTGGCAGTCCCTTCTTTTTCCGGTAGAAAGCTAGTCCCTACTCATATGCCCAATCACTTCTGCCCCCATTTCCTCCTCCTCCTACCTGTTTTTATTGTTGCAGTTGCTCATGGTTTCTGTTAAAAGTCTCTTGGTATACCGTCTGTGTAGCGTATGCATGTAGAGATGAACTGGTGACATGTGAAAAATGAAAAACGAATGGGCGTGTCAGAAAAAAATAAGCAAGATAAAAAGAGAGGAAGCAAAGGTCTTCTCAAGCAAATTTAACTTACAGATTTACAGGTCGATAGGCCAAAATCTTTGTGTCTTATATTGGTTGAGGTATCAGCTCATCAGTTTTCCCTCTTTCACCCTAAAGCTAGTTGACTTTAATGTCTTCAGTTTACATTCGTAGGTGTGTTTTGTTTCTAATATACGCCTAACAACTGCAGGAATTATATGGAATGATGTCCTTGTGATTGATGAAGTATTGCCTGAGGGTTTGCTCCATGATTACTGTTTTAAGGTATAATTTATTTTCTTGAATTAAGAAAGTACTGTCTACTTTTGCCAAGTTTGTCCTCCCTTTCTCTCTTGTGCTTTGCATTGTCACTCTTCATCTTCTGAATCTTCATACATGGTTCAGGTATCCCAGAGTGCTGTCAAACAGTATTTTTCAAGCACGTTTTCTCATCTTCTCCAGGATGTTTCAGGTAACTGGTACAGTTGGAGAAACCTTGATTTGTCTTTACCAAATCATGGTAGTGTTATTAGGATAAAACATCGTGTTCGAACAGGAAGTTTTTAGTCTCAGCTCTCTAATGGAAGCCACTGTATATGCAAATGGCTTTGTTAGAAGAATATTAGGCCCAGACTCCCGAATTTCTATAGTCCTTATGTCTTAATTACCTATAGTTCACAGGTTATTGCACAGACATTTATTTTTAATGAACCTGCAGATGCTCTGATGAATGTTCATGTCAAACCAAAGGATGTGGCAGAAGAACATCATTTACAGGTTGCTTTGGAATCTGGGAAAAACTCATTGCTCAAAGGAAGCATGGACCTTTTACTGGTACTATGAGGACTTTAAAGATTTTCTATTGGCAATGCATGCCGGAAATCTTAAGTTGTACATTATCGAAATCCATTCCAAGTCTGTCATGAGGGTATCTATTGTTTTCGTATCAATTCTTTCTTTCGAGGGCAGATTGAATCTGTTGTTAAGTTTTTAGGATGTGTAAGTGTGAGTTTGTGTGCCCTTCATTGAACCCGGTCCTTGCCAGCATATGCAATTCATTGTTTTGTATTGTAGTTATGGTTTTGATTTTCTAATATGATCAGTTTATATTAATCCTGTTCATTTCGTAGGCTCATTTTCAAGTGTTGTTGTACATGTTATAGTTTTCCTCGGTAAATCCATCCATGCTTATCTGACTGTTGTCTCGTGTTTGAACACTTTTATTCCAGGGCCTCCGCCAACTTTTGGAGGACAACTTGGACCTACTAGTCAAGCTAAGGGAACTGATGACTGATTGGGTTCAAGCAGGGTTCCAACAATTCTTTGAGGCATTGGATACTCGGTTTCTTTTGCTTTCAGGGAGAAATAAGTTAAGTTCGCAGGGTCAGAGTCCAAGGGAAGGGTTACAGTCTGAAAAAGTTATATGTGGTCTTGTCTTGGTTTTGGCTCAGCTTTCTGTTTTCGTCGAACAAACTGCAATCCCCAGAATTACCGAGGCAAGGACTGTACTAGTTTCATGTGTGATTTTCACTGCAGCTTCTGGGTAATAAGTGGATTCATGATGATTTCTCTGGAGCTAACCTCAGCCTTACATGTTCCAATCTCTCAGGAAATGGCTGCTTCTTTCTCTGGTAGTGGTGCTCGGGGGTATGAACATGGACCTGTCTTCTTCCTGCTGAAATATGTCGAGTTTTTCGATCAGCCAGCGAGAAGTTTCTGCACCATGTATGAGTTTAAACTTTATCTAACCTTCACTCATTAGCTGGCATGCTTACTTCATAACTGGCATATTCAATATGGTTATTTGCTTGAGCATGCTTGTTTCATGTGGCCATGGAAAGCATTTTGCTACTTGTGAAAACCCCTCAGCCTATCATTTTTCATTGCTAGGCGTTGTTTAGTTCCATCTTCCTTTAAGCTGTTTGTGGAATTAAAACTGTTTCAACTTGGTATTATTATACTTGACGTGATTGGTGACTCTTAAAATTGAAAATTTTCATTCTGATAATGTTCTCTTTGAGGCCATCTCTGTCTTCTTTTGGGTACATGTATTGCACTTGTGCTGGCCAATTTACTGGGAATATTCGACTCTGTCAGTATATAAATATGAGAGCGTATAGAATATCAGTGCTTTTGAGGAAAAGGTTCACAACTCCAAATTGGGTCAAGGTTAGTATGATATGCTCATTGCTTTGGATGCATTATACGTTGGAGAGATTATTATTGAAATCTTGACATATATCGACTTCTCCTTGCAGCACAAGGAGCCAAGAGAAGTTCACATGTTCGTTGATCTATTCCTCCAAGAGGTTTATTGACATTACTGAATGTTATCATATTTTTGTAATCCGTATATATGTGGAGTTTCCCAAGACTAACGACCTGCATCTTTTGGTTTTATTTTCCCTTGGTAGTTGGAAGCAGTAGGGAATGAGGTTAAGCAGATTCTTTCTCAAGGAATAAGGAAGCATCGTCGATCTGAGAGCAATGGAAGTACTACTTCCTCTCTAAGCAATCCATTGCGAGATGATAAACTTCGGCGGTCAAATACACAACAAGCCAGGAGCCAACTTCTGGAAACCCACCTAGCAAAGTTGTTTAAGCAGAAAGTTGAAATATTTACCAAAGTCGAGTTCACACGGGTACGTACCTGCTGCTCTCTAACTATAAGTGGGAATTCAAGTCTGCCGCGTCTTATCATGTATGTATTCTAATGAGGAATGGGTTCCAATGTAAACTTGCAGGAGTCGGTTGTGACTACCATTATCAAACTCGGTCTCAAGAGCTTGCAAGAATTCGTTCGCCTCCAGACTCTAAACCGGAGTGGGTTCCAGCAAATTCAGTTGGACATCCAGTTCCTTAGGACCCCGCTGAAGGAGCTAGCTGAAGATGAAGCTGCCATTGACTTCTTGCTTGATGAGGTATAACTAAGAATCTACATTGAGTTGGAATTCTGCAATGTTCATTCATTTGGGTATAGAAAAGACGTTGAAGGAAACAGAGTAGAAATTCTTTACCCTGCTAAGTTGGTAAGAGACAGAACAGATGTAGGTAGGTCTATCCTTCTGATTATCTGACGGGCGTGGATTATATGTGAATCAGGTAATCGTTGGTGCTTCTGATCGTTGCCTCGACCCAACCCCATTGGAGCCACCGATCTTGGACAAACTGATACAAGCAAAGACAGCTGAAACCAGAGAACAAAATTCCAGTGCAGCTTCATCAACAACCCAACAACGATTGTAATCATTCAGAAAGTACAGCAATACACTATTCCTTTTTTGGGTCACTTTAGCCAGAAAGTTTCCCTCTTAAATCTTTTCAACCTTGTAGGAAAGTTTACTGTTTTTGAGGATAGTTGTATGGTCGTCAAGAGCCAAGGCTGCAATAACATGTAACCCTAAGAAATCCGCCGAAATAAGTGTTTAATGAACTTAATCATCGTTGAAAAATAGTATCAGACCGAATATGTAATATGTAGGCTTCAAATCCAAAGAAAATGGTCTTTCAAAAGAAGCTCAAATAATTACGAAAATGTCATCTGAAAATAAATTCGTCTAAATCGGTGCTTAATGGATTGATCATCGGCGGAGAATAGCATCGGGCTAAATCCGTGATTTGTGAACTCCAAAATCGAAAGAAAATGACATTTAGGAAAGTTCGCCCAAAATTTGCTATGGTATCCCTTTGTAATCTACAAAAAATGTACTGGGAAAAATCCGCCCAAACCAGTGCTTAATGAACTTAATCATCATTGAAAAATAGCCTCAGTCTGAATTCGTGATATGTAGCCTTCAAAATCATAGGAAAATGACTTTTCGGAAAAATGCCCGAACATTAACGAAAATGCCAACTGAAAATAAATTAGCCCAAATCGATGTTGAATGGACTTAATCATACGTGGAGAATACGATCAATAGACACCATTATCGGTGGAGAATAGCCTCGGGCTGACTTCGTATCTGTAGCCTCCAAAATCGAAAAAAATGATATTTCGGAAAAATCCCCCGAAATCTATGATGTTACCTCTTTGAAATCCGCCAAAAATGGATCCCAAAGAAATCCACCCAAATCGGTGTTAATGAACTTAATCATCGTTGAAGAATAGACTTAGGCTGAATCTGTGATCTGTAGCCTTCAAAATCCAAGATAATTGGCTTTCGAAAAAAATCACCCAAACAATTATGAAAATGCCATCCGAAAATAAATTAGCTCAAATCGGTACTTAATGGACTAAATCATTGGTGACGAATAGGATTCATAAACTTCATTATCGATGGAGAAAAGCCTTGTACTGAATCCGTGATCTGTAGCCTCCCAAATCAAAAGAAAATGGCATTTCGGAGCCTGAAATCTGTGATGGTACAGCTTTGGAATCTGCCAAAAATGGACCCGGAAGAAATATGTCCAAATCGGTACTTAATGGACTCATCATTGGTGAAGAATAAGATCAATAAACTTGATTATCGGTGGAGAAAAGCCTTGTGCTGAATCCGTGATATGTAGCCTTCAAAATGCAAGGAAAATGTTCTTTCAAAAAAATTGCCCAAAAAATTTCGCAAATGACATCCGAAAATTAATTCGCCCAAATAAGTGCTTAATGGGCTTAATCATCAGCGGAGAATAGGAACAATAGAATTCATTATCGATGGAGAATATTCAAGGGCTATATCCATGATCTCTAGCCTCCAAAATCCAAAGAAATTGACATTTCGGAAGAATCACCCGAAATCTGTGATGGTACCCCTTTGGAATCTGCCAAAAATGAACCCGAAAGGAATCCTCCCAAATCGATGATGAATGGACATAATGAACGTTGAATAATAGTCTGAGGCCAAATCCGTGATCTGAAGCCTTCAAAATCCATAGAAAATTGCCCTGCCGAAAGAATCATGAAAATGCGATCCCGAAATAAATTGACCTAATTTTGTGCTTAATGGACTTAATCATTGGTGGAGAATAGGATCAATAGACTTTATTATCGATGGAGAATAGCCTCGGACTAGATCTTGATCTTTAACTCCAAAATCGAAAAATGGCATTTTCGAAAAAAATCGCCCGAAATCTGTGAAAAGTACCCCTTTGGAATCAGCCAAAAATGGACCCAGAAGAAATCCACTAAAATTCGTGCTTAATGGACTTAATAGTTGTCGAACAATAGCCTCAGGCCGAATCCGTGATCTGTAGCCTTCAAAATCCAAAGATAAAGGCCTTTCGGGGAAAAAAATGCCCAAAGAATTACGAAAATGTCATCCCAAAATAAATTGACCCAATTTTTGCTTAATGTACTTAATCATTGGTGGAGAATAGGATCAATAGACTTCATTTTCGATGGAGAATAGCCTCGGACAGGATCCGTGATCTATACCTCCAAAATCGAAAGAAAATGGTCTTTCAAAAAAATCGCTCGAAATCTTAGATGGTACCCATTTAAAATCTTCCTAAAATGTAATAAAAAGAAATACGCCCAAATTCGGGCTTAATGGACTTTATCATCGTTGAAGAATAGCCTCAGGCCGAATCCGTGATCTGTAGCCTTCAAAATCCAAAGAAAATGGCCTTTAGAAAAAAAATTGCCCAAAGAATTACGATAATGCCATCCCAAAATAAATTGGCACAATTCTGTGCTTAATAGACTTAATCATTGGTGGAGAATAGGATTAATAGACTTCATTATCGATGGAGAATAGCCTCGGACTGGATCCGTGATCTATAGCTCCAAAATCGAATGGAAATGACATTTTCGGAAAAATCGTCCGAAATCTGTGATAGTACCTCTTTGGAATCTACAAAATAGACCTGGAAGAAATCCACCACAATCTGTGCTTAATGGACTTAATCATCGTTGAAGAATACCCTCAGGTCGATTCCGTGATCTGTAGCCTTCAAAATCCAAAGAAATTAGCCTTTCATCGCCCAAAAAATTACGAAAATGTCATCCGAAAATAAATTAACCCAAATTAGTGCTTAATGGACTTATCATCCATGGAGAATAGGATCATTAGACTTTGTTATTGGTGGAGAATAGCCTCAATCTAGTTCCGTGATCTGCAGCATCCAGAATCGAAAGGAAATGGCATTTCGGAAAAATCGCCGAAAATCTGTGATGGTACTCCTTTGGAATTTGCCAAAAATTGACCCGGAATAAATCCGCCCAAATTAGTTCTTAATGGAATTAATCATCGTTGAAGAATAGCCTCAGGCGGGATAAGTGATTTGTAGACTTCAAAATCCAAAGAAAATGGTCTTTCGTCGCCCAAAAAATTACGAAAATGCCACCCGAAATAAATTGGTGTTTAAATGACTTATCATCTGTGGAGAATAGGATCAATAGACTACATTATCGGTGGAGAATAGCCTCGCCCTAATTCTGTGATCTACAGCCTCCAGAATCGAAAGAAAATGGCATTTTGGAAAAATCGCCTGAAATCTGTGACGGTACCACTTCGGAATCTGGCAAAATTTGACAAGGAATAAATCCGCCCAAATCAGTGCTTTATAGACGTAATCATCGTTGAAAAATAGCCTCAGGGCGAATCGGTTATCTGTAGGCTTCAAAATCCAAAGAAAATGGCCTTTCGTCGCCCAAAAAATTACAAAAAATGTCATCGGAAAATAAATTGGCCCAAATTGGTGCTTAAATGACTTATCATATGTGGAGAATAGGATCAATAGACTACATTATCGGTGGAGAATAGCCTCGGCCTGATTTTGTGATTTGCAGCCTCTAGAATCTAAAAAAATGGCATTTCGGAAAAATCGCCCGAAATCTAAGATGGTACCCCTTTGGAATATGCCAAAAATTGATGAGGAATAAATCCTCCCATATCGGTGCTTAATGGACTTAATCATCGTTGAAGAATAGCCTCAGGTTGAATCCATGATCTGTAGCCTTCAAAATCCAAAGAAATGGACTTTCGGCGCCCAAAAAATTACGAATATGCCATCCGAAAATAAATTGGCCCAAATCGGTTCTTAACGGACTTATCATCCGTGGAGAGTAGGATCAATAGACTTCATTATCGGTGGAGAATCGTCTCGGCCTGATTCCGTGATCTGCAGCCTCCAGAATCGAAAGAAAATGGCATTTCTGAAAAATTGCATGAAATCTGTGATGGTATCTCATTGGAATCTGCCAAAAATTGACCCGGAATTAATCCGCCCAAATCGGTGCTTAATGGACTTAATCATTGTTGAAGAATAGCCTCAGGCCGAATCCGTGATCTGTAGCCTTCAAAATCCAAAGTAAATAGCCTTTCGTCGCCCAAAAAATTACGAAAAATACATTCCAAAAATAAATTTGCCCAAATCAGTGCCTAATGGACTTATCACCCGTGGAGAATAGGATTAATAGACTTCATTAACAGTGGAGAATTGCCTCGGCCTGATTTCGTGATCTGCAACCCCCAGAATCGAAAGAAAATTGCATTTCGGAAAAATTGCATTTCGGAAAAATTGCCCAAAATCTATGATGGTACCCCTTTGGTATATGCCAAAAATTGACCAGGAATAAATCCGCCCAAATTGGTGCTTAATGAACTTAATCATCGTTGAAGAATAGCCTCCGGCCGAATCCGTGATCTGTAGCCTTGAAAATCCGAAGAGAATAGCCTTTCGTAATGCAACCCTGGGTGGTTGGATTTTTACCAAAGTACGCAGCAACACAATCAATCCAAGGATCAGATTGAATTAAAACGAAATTCGAAGCAGAAACAAGGATGTTCTTCGGTGTTTGGATAAAAAGAAATCAAACGTGCAATCTTTCACTTGGAAGAAGGCTCGAATGATATAAAGGTAGAAGCCCGACCACGATCAACGCGTTCTTGATCAATACAAGAGCTCAACGAGCTTGGAATCCACCAAAGCATACACAAGTACGGAAACTTGCAAAAACCCAAAGGTTTCGATTTCTATTCAACCAAGTCTCACCATTACAACGAAAACTACAGGGCTTTTATAGCCAAAGAAAACCTAACACAATTCTAAACTAACAAGGAAACCAATTTGAGGTAGCAACATTCTGGCTTGATTGCTAGGTGATCAATCCTCGAGGGTGATCAGTTCTCAAGGGTGAGGCCTTGGAAAACAACCTTAATCACTACATGTTCAGTACAAGCCATTAAACTTGAATTTCCATTGAGCCAACGGAGAGAAACGTGCCTCCAAAGTCGGCTACTTGAACACGGAAAATGACTTGGACAAAAATGAATGTTCTTCGAGCAGGATGAGCTCACTTCTTCATCATTTAATTCTAACTTGTAGAGTAGACCATTTAGGATCATATCATTTCCTTGCTAAAAAATTACGAAAATGCAATCCGAAATTAAATTGACCCAAATCAGTGCTTAATGGACTTATCATCCGTGGAGAATAGGATCAATAGACTTCATTATCTGTGGAGAATAGCCTCATCCTGATTTCGTGATCTGCAGCCTCCAGAATCGAAAGAAAATGGCATTTCGGAAAAATCGCCTGAAATCTGTGATGATACCCCTTTGGAATCTGCCAAAAATTGACCCGGAATAAATCTGCCCAAATCGGTGCTTAATGGACTTAATCATAGTTGAAGAATAGCCTCAGGCCGAATCCATGATCTGTAGCCTTCAAAATCCAAAGAAAAGGGCCTTTCGCCGCCTAAAAAATTACGAAAATGCCATCCGAAAAAAATGAACCCAAATTGGTGCTTAATAGACTTATCATCCGAGGAGAATAGGATCAATAGACTTCATTATTAGTGGAGAATAGCCTCGGCCTGATTCTGTGATATGGTGCCTCCAGAATTGAAAGAAAATCGCATTTCGGAAAAATCGTCGAAAATCTGTGATTGCACCCCTTTGGAATCTGCCAAAAATAGACCCTGGATAAATCCGCCCAAATTGGTCCTTAAAGGACTCAATCATCATTGCACAATAGCCTCAGGCCGAACCCGTGATCCGTAGCCTTCAAATCCCCAAGAAAATGGCCTTTCGTCGTCCTTAAAATTACGAAAATGCCATATGAAAATAAATTTGCCTAAATCGGTGCTTAATGGACTTATCACCCGTGGAGAATAGTATCACTAGACTCCATTATCGGTGGAGAATTGCCTCGAACTAATTTCGTGACCTGCAAACCTCCAAATTCGAAAGAAAATTGCATTTCGGAAAAATCGCTTGAAATCTGTGATGTCACCCCTTTGGAATCTGCCAAAAATTGACCCGGAATAAATCAGCCCAAATCGGTGGTTAATGGACTTAATCATCGTTGATTTATAGCCTCAGGCCGAATCCGTGATCTGTAGCGTTCAAAATCCATGGAAATGCCATCCGAAAATAAATTGGCCCAAATCGATGCTTAATGGACTTATCACCCGTGGAGAATATGATCAATAGACTTCATTATCGGTAGAGAATATACACAGCTAGATTCCGTGTTCTGCAGCCTCCAGAATCGAAAGAAAATGACATTTTCGAAAAATTGCCCGGAATCTTTGATGGTACCCCTTTGGAATCTGCCAAAAACTGACCCAGAATAAATCCGCCCAAATCGGTGCTTAAAGGACTTAATCATCGTTGAAGAATAGCCTCAGGTAGAATCCGTGATCTGTAGCCTTCAAAATCCAAAGAAAATGGCCTTTCGTCGCCCAAAAAATTACGGAAATGCAATCCGAAAATAAATTGGCCCAAATCGATGCTTAATGGACTTATCATCTGTGGAAAATAGGATCAATTGACTTCATTATTGGTGGAGAATAGCCTCGGCCTGATTCCGTAATCTGCTGCCTCCAGAATAAAAAGAAAAGGCATTTCGAAAAAATCGACCGAAATCTGTGATGGGACCCCTTTGGAATCTGCCAATAATTGACTCAGATTAAATCCGCTTAAATCGGTGCTTAATGGAATTAATCATCATCGAAGAATAGCATCACGCCGAATCAATGATCTGTAGCCTTCAAAATCCAAAGAAAAGGGCCTTTCGTAGCCCAAAAAATAACGAAAATGCATTCCGAAAATAAATAGGCCAAAATTGGTTTTGAATGGAGTTATCATCCGTGAAGAATAGGATCAATAGACTTCATTATCGGTGGAGAAATAGCCTCGGCTTGATTCCGTGATTTGCTGCCTCCAGAATCTAATGAAAATGATATTTGGGAAAAATCGCCAGAAATCTGTGATGGTTCCCCTTTAGAATATGCCAAAAATTGACCGTGATAAATCCGCACAAATTGGTGCTTAATGGACTTAATCATCGTTAAAGAATAGCCTCAGGCCGAATCCGTGATCTATAGCGTTCAAAATCCAAAGAAAATGGCCTTTCGTCGTCCAAAAAATAATGAAAATGCATTCTGAAAATAAATGGGCCAAAAATGGTGCTTAATAGACTTATCATAAGTGGAGAATATGATCAATAGACTTCATTATCGGTGGAGAATAGCCTCGGCCTGATTCCGTGATTTGCTGCCTCCAGAATCAAAAGAAAATGGCATTTCGAAAAAACCGCCCGAAATCTGTGATGGTACCCCCTTTAAAATCTGCCAAAAATTGACCCGGAATAAATCCGCTTAAATCGGTGCTTAATGGACTTAATCATCGTTAAAGAATAACCTCAGGGCGAATCCTTGATCTGTAGCGTTCAAAATCCAAAGAAAATGGCCTTTCGTCGCCCAAAAAATTACGAAAATGCCATCCGAAAATAAATTGGTCAAAATCGGGGCTTAATGGACTAATCACCCGTGGAGAATATGATCAATAGATTTCATTATCGGTGGAGAATAGCCTCGGCCTGATTCCGTGATTTGCTGCCTCCAGAATCGAAAGTAATTGGCATTTCAAAAAAATCGCCTTAAATCTGTGATGGTACCCCTTTGGAATCTGCCAAAAATTGATCCGGAATAAATCCGCCCAAATCGGTGCTTAATGGACTTAATCATCGTTAAAGAATAGCCTCAGGGCGAATCCTTGATCTGTAGGGTTCAAAATCCAAAGAAAATGGCCTTTCGTCGCACAAAAAATAACAAAAAAGACTCCTGAAAATAAATGGGCCAAAAACGGTGCTTAATAGACTTATCATTCGTGGAGAATAGGATCAATAGACTTCATTATCGGTGAAGAATAGCCTCGGCCTGATTCCGTGATTTGCTGCATCCAGAATCAAAAGAAAATGGCATTTCGAAAAAATGGCCAATACTTTAATGGTACCCCTTTGGAATATGCCAAAAATTGACCCGGAATAAATCTGCCCAAATCGGTACTTAATTGACTTAATCATCTTTAAAGAATAGCCTCAGGGCGAATCCGTGATCTATATCGTTCAAAATTCAAAGAAAATGGCCATTCGTCGCTCAAAAAATTATGAAAATGACATCCGAAAATAAATTGGCCCAAATCGGTGCTTAATGGACTTATCGCCCATGGAGAATAGGATCAATAGACTTCATTATCGTTGGAGAATAGCCTCGGCCTGATTCCATGATTTGTAGCCTCCAGAATCGAAATAAAATGGCATTTCGAATAAATCCCCCGAAATCTGTGATGGTACCCCTTTGGAATCTGCCAAAAATTGATCCGGAATAAATCTGCCCAAATCTGTGCTTAATGGACTCCATCATCATTGGAGAATAGCCTCGGGCCGAATCTGTGATCTGTAGCCTTCAATATCCAAAGAAAATGGCCTTTCGTTGCCCAAGAAATTACGAATATGCCATCCGAAAATAAATTGGCCCAAATCGATGCTTAACTTACTTATGATCCATGGAGAATAGGGTCAATAGACTTCATTATCGGTGGAGAATAGCCTCGGCCTGATTTCGTGATTTGTAGCCTCCACAATCGAAAGAAAATGGCATTTCGATAAATCGCCCGAAATCTGTGATGGTACCCCTTTGGAATCTGCCAAAAATTGACCCGGAATAAATCCGCTTAAATCGGTGCTTATTGGACTTAATTATAGTTAAAGAATAACCTCAGGGCGAATCCGTGATCTGTAGCGTACAAAATCCAAAGAAAATGGCCTTTCGTCGCCCAAAAGCTTTCGAAAATGCTATTCGAAAATAAATTGGTCCAAATCTGTGCTTAATGGACTAATCACCCGTGGAGAATAGGATCAAAAGACTTCATTATCTGTGGAGAATAGCCTCAGTCTGATTCAGTGATTTGCTGACTCCAGAATTGAAAGAAAATGGCATTTCGGAAAAATTGCCCGAAATCTGTGATGGTACCCCTTTGGAATCTGCCAAAAATTGACCAGGAATAAATCCGACCAAATTGGGGTTTAATGGACTTAAATATTGTTAAAGAATAGCCTCGGGTCGAATCCGTGATCTGTAGCGTTAAAAATCCAAAGAAAATGGCCATTCTTCGCTAAAAAAATGACGAAAATGCATTATGAAAATAAATGGGCCAAAAACGGTGGTTAATAGACTTATCATAAGTGGAGAATAGGATCAATAGACTTCATTATCGGTGGAGAATAGCCTCGGCCTGATTCCATGATTTGCTGCCTCCAGAATCGAAAGAAAATGGCATTTCGAAAAAATCGCCCAAAATCTGTGATGGTACCCCTTTGGAATCGGCCAAAAATTGACCATGATAAATCCACACAAATCGGTGCTTGATGGACTTAATCATCGTTAAAGAATAGCCTCAGGGCGAATCCATGATTTGTAGCATTCAAAATCCAAAGAAAATGACCTTTCGTCGCCCAAAAAATTACGAAAATGCCATCCGAAAATAAATTGGCCCAAATCGGTGCTTAATGGACTTATCACTCGTGGAGAATAGGATCAATAGACTTCATAATCAGTGGAGAATAGCCTCGGCCTGATTCCGGGATTTGCTGCCTCCAGAATCAAAAGAAAATGACATTTCTAAAAAATCGCCCGAAATCTGTGATGGTACACCATTGGAATCTGCCAAAAATTGACCGGAAATAAATCTGCTCAAATTGGGGTTTAATGGACTTAAATATCGTTAAAGAGTAGCCTCAGCTCGAATCCGTAATCTGTAGCGTTAAAAATCCAAAGAAAATGGGCTTTCGTCGTCCAAAAAATAACGAAAAAGCATTCTGAAAATAAATGGGCCAAAAACGATGCTTAATAGACTTATCATAAGTGGAGAATAGGATCAATAGACTTCATTATCGGTGGAGAATAGCATCGGCCTGATTCCGTGATTTGTAGCCTCCAAAATAGATAGAAAATGGCATTTCGGATAAATCGCCCGAAATCAGTTATGGTACCCCTTTGAAATCTGCCAAAAATTGACCCGGAATAAATCCTCCCAAATCGGTGCTTAATGGAATCAATCATCGTTGGAGAATAGCCTTAAGCCGAATCCGTGATCTGTAGCCTTCAATATCCAAAGAAAATGGCCTTTCGTCGCCCAAGAAATTACGAAAATGCCATCCGAAAATAAATTGGCCCAAATCGTTGCTTAACGGACTTATCATCCGTAGAGAATAGGATCAATAGACTTCATTATCGGTGGAGCATAGCCTCGGCCTGATTCCGTGATTTGTAGCCACCACAATCGAAAGAAAATGGCATTTCGATAAATCGCCCGAAATTTGTGATGGTACCCCTTTGGAATCTGCCAAAAATTGACCCAGAATAAATCTGCCCAAATCTAAGCTTAATGGACTCCATCATCGTTGGAGAATAGCCTCAGGCCGAATCCGTGATCTGTAGCCTTCAATATCCAGAGAAAATGGCCTTTCGTCGCCCAAGAAATTACGAAAATGCCATCCGAAAATAAATTGGCCTAAATAGATGCTTAACGGACTTATCATCCGTGGAGACTAGGATCAATAGACTTCATTATCGGTGGAGCATAGCCTCGGTCTGATTCCGTGATTTGTAGCCTCAAGAATCGCAAGAAAATGGCATTTCGGATACCTCGCCCGAAATCTGTGATGGTTAGGGCTGGGATTCGGTTTTCCGGTTAACGGTTTAACCGATAACCGTACCGGTAACCGCGGTTATCGGTTAACCATTAACCGGATGTTAACGGTTTTCGGATGCTGAATTTGGGACGGCGGTATACCGAAACCCAGATGCCAACTAACCGACGGAAAGCCGGTTTTCCGATACCGGATTTGCAAGACGCAGTAGTAATCTGAGATTCTCCTAATTAGCTACAAACTTGCAATTGGTTCTCTATTAGGAAAAGGAATTTGTAATTACATATTAATAATCAGTAATTCCCCTCCCCTCTCTCGCAGTCTCGCTCCCTGCCTGCATAACCCAGCTGCCAGCCCTCACCATCACGAGTCTCGCCGCCAATTGGATCCCCAATCGGCAATCGATGTTCTCTCCGACGCCGGCGCACTCAGACCGACGGACCGCGACGTGGCAGCCCAGCACCGCAACCTCTCCGTCGACCCTGTGCCGCTTCCTCTCCGTAGTCCCCAGCACGCTCGACCGCATCGCCGACGCCGGTGCAGCTTCCCCGTCAGTTTCCGTCGATGGGGCACTCTCCGTCAGTTTCAGATTTGTTGTCATGTTCCCTCGCCGCAACATCTATTGTTTTCTTTGATTATGTTTGTTTAATTTAATTCCACCGGCGGTGCATGCAGCTTCCCCTGTCGGCTGCCACAGAAGCTATTTTCAATTTTTGAAGGGAACGACATAACGATTCACGAGGTGTGCAGTGTGCTGTGAAGAAGAAGACAACATGTTTTCTCAATTCTAATTAAGTGGGATATGGGAATTAGTGGGGGCAGTGGCATTGCAATGCATTGCCATTATGCATTATGCATAACCAGGTCCCCACCATTCGTCATTATCACCATTCACCAGTCCCTTCACATTCGGTAATCGGGTACCGATTTAATAACCGCAACCGAAGGCATTCGGTAGACGGAATACCGACTCCAATAAGGTATCGCCAAACGAGGGGCTTCAATGCTTCACGGTATACCGGAAACCGGTTATTCGGTAATTGGTTTAACCGGTTACCGACCGTTTACCACCCCTAGTGATGGTACCCCTTTGGATTCTGCCAAAAATTGACCCAGAATAAAATTGCCAAAATCTGTGCTTAATGGACTCAATCATCGTTGGAGAATAGCCTCAAGCCGAATCCGTGATCTGTAGACTTCAATATCTGAAGAAAATGGCCTTTTGTCGCCCAAGAAATTACAAAAATGTCATCCGAAAATAAATTGGCCCAAATCGATGCTTAACGGAGTTATCATCCGTGGAGAATAGGATCAATAGACCTCATTATTGGTGGAAAATAGCCTCGGCCGGATTCCGTGATCGGTAGCTTCCAAAATATAAAGAAAATGGCATTTCGGATAAATCGCCCGAAATCTGTGATGGTACCCCTTTGGAATCTGCCAAAAATTGACCCGGAATAAATCAGCCCATATCGGTGCTTAATGGACTCAATCATTGTTGGAGAATAGTCTCAGGCCGAATCGTGATCTGTAGCCTTCAATATCCAAAGAAAATGGCCTTTCGTCGCCCAAGAAATTACGAAAATGCCATCCGAAAATAAATTTGCCCAAATCGATGCATAACGGACTTATCATCCGTGGAGAATAGGATCAATAGACTTCATTATCGGTAGAGAATAGCCTCGGCCTGATTCCGTGATCTGTAGCCTCCAGAATCGAAAGAAAATGGCATTTCGGATAAATCGCCCGAAATCTGTGATGGTACCCCTTTGGAATCTGCCAAAAATTGACCCGGAATAAATCCGCCCAAATCTGTGCTTAATGGACTCAATCATCGTTGGAGAATAGCCTCAGGCCGAATCCGTGATCTGTAGCAATCAATATCCAAAGAAAATGGCCTTTCGTCGCCCAAGAAATTAAGAAAATGTCATCCGAAAATAAATTGGCCCAAATCGATGCTTAACGGACTTATCATCCGTGGAGAATAGGATCAATAGACTTCATTATCAGTGGAGAATAGCCTCGGCCTGATTCCGTGATCTGTAGCCTCCAGAATCGAAAGAAAATGGCATTTCGGATAAATCGCCCAAAATCTGTGATGGTACCCCTTTGGAATCTGCCAAAAATAGAACCGGAATAAATCCCTCCAAATCGGTGCTTAATGGATTCAATCATCGTTGGAGAATAGACTCAGGCTGAATCCGTGATATGTAGTCTTCAATATCCAAAGAAAATGGGCTTTCGTCGCCCAAAAAATTATGAAAATGCCATCTGAAAATAAATTGGCCCAAATCGATGCTTAACAGACTTATCATCCATGGAGAATAGGATCAATAGACTTCATTATCGGTGGAGAATAGCCTTGGCCTGATTCCGTGATATGTAGCTTCCAGAATCGAAAGAAAATGGCAGTTCGGATAAATCGCCCGAAATCTGTGATGGTAGCCCATTGGAATCTGCCAAAAATTGACCCGGAATAAATCCGCCCAAATCAGTGCTTAATGGACAGAATCATCGTTGGAGAATAGCCACAGGCCGAATCCGTGATCTGTACCCTTCAATATCCCAAGAAAATGGCCTTTCGTCGCCCAAGAAATTGCGAAAATGCCATCCGAAAATATATTGGCCCAAATCGATGCTTAACGGACTTATCATCCGTGGAGAATAGGATTAATAGATTTCATAATCGGTGGAGAATAGCCTCGGCCTGATTCCGTGATCTGTAGCCTCCAGAATCGAAAGAAAATGGCATTTCGGATAAATCGCCCGAAATGTGTGATGGTACCCCTTTGGAATCTGCCAAAAATTAACCCGGAATAAATCCGCCCAAATCGGTGCTTAATGGACTCAATCATCGTTGGAGAATAGCCTCAGGCCGAATCCTCGATTAGTAGCCTTCAATATCCAAAGAAAATGGCCTTTCGTTGCCCAAGAAATTACGAAAATGCCATCCGAAAATAAATTGGCCCAAATCGATGCTTAACGGACTTATCATCCGTAGAGAATAGGATTAATAGACTTCATAATCTGTGGAGAATAGCTTCGGCCTGATTCCGTGATCTGTAGCCTCCAGAATCGAAAGAAAATGGCATTTCGGATAAATCACCCGAAATCTGTGATGGTACCTCTTTGGAATCAGCCAAAAATTGACCAGGAATAAATCCGCTCAAATCTGTGCTTAATGGACTCAATCATCGTTGGAGAATAGCCTCAGGCCGAATCCGTGATCTGTAGCCATCAATATCCATAGAAAATGGCCTTTCGTCGCCCAAGAAATTACAAAAATGCCATCCGAAAATAAATTGGCCCAAATCGATGCTTAACGGACTTATCATCCGTGGAGAATAGGATCAATAGACTTCATTATTGGCGGAGAATAGCCTCGGCCTGATTCCGTGATCTAAAGCATCCAGAATCGAAAGAAAATGGCATTTCGGATAAATCGCCCGAAATCTGTGATGGTACCCCTTTGGAATCTGCCCAAAATTGACCCGAAATAAATCCGCCCGAATCGGTGCTTAATGGACTCAATCATCGTCGGAGAATAGCCTCAGGCCGAATCCGTGATCTGTAGCCTTCAATATTCAAAGATAATGGTTTTTCGTCGCCCAAGAAATTACGAAAATGCCATCCGAAAATAAATTGGCCCAAATCGATGCTTAACGGACTTATCATCCGTGGAGAATAGGATCAATAGACTTCATTATCGGTGGAGAATAGCCTCGGCTTTATTCCGTGATCTAAAGCCTCCAGAATCGAAATAAAATTGCATTTCGGTTAAATCGCCCGAAATCTGTGATGGTACCCCTTTGGAATCTGCTCAAAATTGACCCGAAACAAATCCCCCCGAATCTGTGCTTAATGGACTCAATCATCGTTGGAGAATAGCCTCATGCTGAATCCGTGATCTGTAGCCTTCAATATTTAAAGAATGTGGCCTTTCGTTGACCAAGAAATTACGAAAATGCCATCCGAAAATAAATTGGCCCAAATCAATGCTTAACGGACTTATCATCCGTGGAGAATAGGATCAATAGACTTCATTATCGGTGGAGAACAGCCTCGGCCTGTTTCCGTGATGTGTAGCCTCCAGAATCGAAAGAAAATGGCATTTCGGATAAATCGCCCGAAATCTGTGATGGTACCCCTTTGGAATCTGCCAAATATAGACCCAGAATAAATGCTCCCAAATAAGTGCTTAATGGATTCAATCAGCGTCGGAGAATAGACTCAGGCCGAATCCGTGATCTGTAGCCTTCAATATCCAAAGAAAATGGCCTTTCGTCGCCCAAGAAATTACGAAAATGCCATCCGAAAATAAATTGGCCCAAATCGATGCTTAACAGATTTATCATCCGTGGAGAATAGGATTAATAGACTTCATAATCGGTGGAGAATAGCCTCGGCCTGATTCCGTTATCAGTAGCCTCTAGAATCGAAAGAAAATGGCATTTCGGATAAATCGCTCGAAATCAGTGATGGTACCCCTTTGCAATCTGCCAAAAATTGACCCGGAATAAATCCGCCCAAATCTGTGCTTAATGGACTCAATCATCGTTGGAGAATAGCCTCAGGCTGAATCCGTGATCTGTAGCCTTCAATATCCAAAGAAAATGGCCTTTCGTCGCCCAAGAAATTAAGAAAATGTCATCCGAAAATAAATTGGCCCAAATCGATGCTTAACGGACTTATCATCCGTGGAGAATAGGATAATTAGACTTCATTATCGGTAGAGAATAGCCTCTGCCTGATTCCGTGATGTGTAGCCTCCAGAATCGGAAGAAAATTACATTTCGAATAAATCGTCCGAAATCTGTGATGGTACCCCTTTGCAATCTGCCAAAAATTGACCCGGAATAAATCCGCCCAAATCGGTGCTTAATGGACTCAATCATCGTTGGAGAATAGCCTCAGACTGAATCCGTGATCTGTAGCCTTCAATATCCAAAGAAAATGGCCTTTTGTCGCCCAAAAAATTACGAAAATGCCATCCGAAAATAAATTGGCACAAATCGTTGCTTAACGGACTTATCATCCGTGGAGAATAGGATTAATAGACTTCATAATCGGTGGAGAATAGCCTCGGCCTGATTCCGTGATCTGTAGCCTCTAGAATCGAAAGAAAATGGCATTTCGGATAAATCGCTCGAAATCAGTGATGATACCCCTTTGCAATCTGCCAAAAATTGACACGGAAAAAATCCGCCCAAATCTGTGCTTAATGGTCTTAATCATCGTTGGAGAATAGCCTCAGGCTGAATCCTTGATCTGTAGCCTTCAATATCCAAAGAAAATGGCCTTTCGTCGCCCAAGAAATTAAGAAAATGTCATCCGAAAATAAATTGGCCCAAATCGATGCTTAACGGACTTATCATCCGTGGAGAATAGGATCAATAGACTTCATTATCGGTAGAGAATAGCCTCTGCCTGATTCCGTGATGTGTAGCCTCCAGAATCGTAAGAAAATGGCATTTTGGATAAATCACCCGAAATCTGTGATGGTACCCCTTTGGAATCTGCCAAGAATTGACCCGGAATAAATCCGCCCAAATCTGTGCTTAATGGACTCAATCATCGCTGAAGAATAGCCTCAAGCCGAATCCGTGATCTGTAGCCTTCAATATCCAAAGAAAATGGCCTTTCGTCGCCCAAGAAATTACGAAAATGTCATCCGATAATAAATTGGCCCAAATCGATGCTTAACGGACTTATCATCTGTGGAGAATAGGATCAATAGACTTCATTATCGGTGGAGAATAGCCTCGGCCTGATACCGTAATCTGTAGCCTCCAGAATCGAAAGAAAATGGCATTTCGGATAAATCGCCCGAAATCAGTGATGGTACCCCTTTGCAATCTGCCAAAAATTGACCCGGAATAAATACGCCCAAATCTGTGCTTAATGGACTCAATCATCGTTGGAGAATAGCCTCAGGCCGAATCCGTGATCTGTATCCTTCAATATCCAAAGAAAATGGCCTTTCGTCGCCCAAGAAATTAAGAAAATGTCATCCATAAATAAATTGGCCCAAATCGATGCTTAACTGACTTATCAGCCGTTGAGAATAGGATCAATAGACTTCATTATCGGTAGAGAATTAGCCTCTGCCTAAATTCTGTGATGTGTAGCCTCCAGAATCATAAGAAAATGGCATTTTGGATAAATCACTCGAAATCTGTGATGGTACCCCTTTGGAATCTGCCAAGAATTGACCCGGAATAAATCCGCCCAAATCTGGGCTTAATGGACTCAATCATCGTTGGAGAATAGCCTCAAGCCGAATACGTGATCTGTAGCCTTCAATATCCAAAGAAAATGGCCTTTCGTTGCCCAATAAATTCCGAAAATGCCATCCGAAAATAAATTGGGCCAAATCGATGCTTAACGGACTTATCATCCGTGGAGCATTCGATCAATAGACCTCATTATCGGTGGAGAATAGCCTCGGCGTGATTCCGTGATTTGTAGCCTCCAGAATGGAAAGAAAATGGCATTTGGGATAAATCGCCCGAAATCTGTGATGGTAACCTTTTGGAATATGCCAAAAATTGACCGGGAATAAATCCGCCCGAATCGCTGCTTAATGGACTCAATCAACGTTGGAGAATACCCTCAGGCCGAATCCGTCATCTGTAGCCTTCAATATCCAATGAAAATGGCTTTTCGTCACCCAACAAATTACGAAAATGCCATCCAAAAATAAATTGGCCCAAATCGATGCTTAACGGACTTATCATCCGTGGAGAATAGGATCAATAGACTTCATTATCGGTAGAGAATAGCCTCGGCCTGATTACGTGATCTGTAGCCTCCAGAATCGAAAGAAAATGGCATTTTGGATAAATCGCCCGAAATATGTGATGGTACCCCTTTGGAATCTGCCAAGAATTGACCCGGAATAAATCTGCCCAAATCTGTGGTTAATGGACTCAATCATCATGGGAGAATACCTTCAGGCCGAATCCGTGATCTGTAGCCTTCAATATCCAAAGAAAATGGCCTATCGTCGCCCAAGAAATTAAGAAAATGTCATCCGAAAATAAATTGGCCCAGATCGATGCTTAACGGACTTATCATCCGTGGAGAATAGGATCAATAGACTTCATTATCGGTAGAGAATAGCCTCGTCCTGATTCCGTGATCTGTAGCCTCCAGAATCGAAAGAAAATGGCATTTTGGATAAATCGCCCGAAATCTGTGATGGTACCCCTTTGGAATCTGCCAAGAATTGACCCGGAATAAATCCGCCCAAATCTATGCTTAATGGACTCAATCAACGTTGGAGAATACCCTCAGGCCGAATCCGTCATCTGTAGCCTTCAATATCCAATGAAAATGGCTTTTCGTCACCCAACAAATTACGAAAATGCCATCCGAAAATAAATTGGCCCAAATCGATGCTTAACGGACTTATCATTCGTGGAGAATAGGATCAATAGACTTCACTATCGGTGGAGAATAGCCTCGGCCTGATTCCGTGATCTGTAGCCTCCAGAATCGGTAGAAAATGGCATTTCGAATAAATCGCCCGAAATCTGTGATGGTACCCCTTTGGAATCTACCCAAAAACAAACCGAAATAAATCCTCCTAAATCTGTGCTTAATGGACTCAATCATCATTGGAGAATAGCCTCAGGCCGAATCTGTGATATGTAGCCTTCAATATCCAAAGAAAATGGCCTTTCGTCGCCCAAGAAATTACGAAAATTCCATCCAAAAATAAATTGGCTCAAATCAATGCTTAACGAGCTTATCATCCGTGGAGAATAGGATCAATAGACTTCATTATCACTGGAGAATAGCCTCGGCCTGATTCCGTGATCTGTACCATCCAGAATCGAAAGAAAATGGCATTTCGGATAAATCGCAGAAATCTGTGATGGTACCCCTTTGGAATCTGCCAAAAATTAACCCGGAATAAATCCGCCCCAATCTGTGGCTAATGGACTCAATCATCGTTGGAGAATAGCCTCAGGCCGAATTCGTGATCTGTATCCTTCAATATCCAAAGAAAATGACCTTTCGTCGCCCAAGAAATTACGAAAATGCCATCCAAAAATAAATTGGCCCAAATCGATGCTTAACGGGCTTATCATCCGTGGAGAATAGGATCAATAGACGTCATTATCGGTGGAGAATAGCCTCGCCCTGATTCCGTGAATTGTAGCCTCCAGAATTGAAAGAAAGTGGCATTTCGGATATATCTCCCGAAATCTGTGATGGTACCCCTTTGGAATCTGCCAAGAAACGACCCGGAATAAATCCTCCTAAATCTTTGCTTAATGGACTCAATCATCGTTGGAGAATAGCCTCAGGCCGAATTCGTGATCTGTAGCCTTCAATATCCAAAGAAAATGGCCTTTCGTCGCCCAAGAAATTACGAAAAATGCCATCAGAAAATAAATTGGCCCAAATCGATGCTTAACGGGCTTATCATCCGTGGAGAATAGGATCAATAGACTTCATTATCGGTGGAGAATAGCCTCGGCCTGATTCCGTGATATGTAGCCTCCAGAATCGAAAGAAAATGGCATTTCGTATGTATCGCCAGAAATCTGTGATGGTACCCCTTTGGAATCAGCCAAAAAACGACCTGGAATAAATCCTCCTAAATCTGTGCTGAATGGACTCAATCATCGTTGGAGGATAGCCTCAGGCCGAACCCGTGATCTGTAGCCTTCAATATCCAAAGAAAATGGCCTTTCTTCGCCCAAGAAATTACGGAAATGCCATCCGAAAATAAATTCGCCCAAATCGATGCTTAACGGGCTAATCATCCGTGGAGAATAGGATCAATAGACTTCATTATCGGTGGAGAATAGCCTCGGCCTGATTCCGTGATCTGTAGCCTCTAGAATCGAATGAAAATGTCATTTCGGATAAATCGCCTGTAATCTGTGATGGTACCCCTTTGGAATCTGCAAAAAATTGACCCGGAATAAATCCGCCCAAATCGGTGCTTAATGGATTCAATCATCGTTGGAGAATAGCCTCAGGCCGAATCCGTGATCTGTAGCCTTCAATATCCAAAGAAAATGGCATTTCGTCACCCAAGAAATTACGAAAATGCCATCCGAAAATAAATTGGCCCAAATCGATGCTTAACGGGCTTATCATCCGTGGAGAATAGGATCAATAGACTTCATTATTGGTGGACAATAGCCTCGGCATGATTCATTGATCTGTAGCCTTCAGAATCGACAGAAAATGGCATTTCGGATAAATCGCCCGAAATCTGTGATGGTACACCCCTTTGGAATCTGCCAAAAATTGACCCGGAATAAATCCGCCCAAATCGGTGCTTAATGGATTCAATCATCGTTGGAGAATAGCCTCAGGCCGAATCCGTGATCTGTAGCCTACAATATCCAAAAAAAATGGCCTTTCGTCGCCCAAGAAATTAGGAAAATGCCATCGAAAATAAATTGGCCCAAATCGATGCTTAACGGGATTATCATCCGTGGAGAATAGGATCAATAGACTTCATTATCGGTGGAGAATAGCCTCGGCCTGATTCCGTGATCTGTAGCCTCTAGAATCGAATGAAAATGTCATTTCGGATAAATCGCCTGTAATCTGTGATGGTACCCCTTTGGAATCTGCAAAAAATTGACCCGGAATAAATCCGCCCAAATCGGTGCTTAATGGACTCAATCATCGTTGGAGAATAGCCTCAGGTTGAATCCGTGATCTGTAGCCTTTAATATCCAAAGAAAATGGTCTTTCGTCGCCCAAGAAATTATGAAATTGCCATCTGAAAATAAATTGGCCCAAATTGATGCTTAACGGGCTTATCATCCGTGGAGAATTGGATCAATAGACTTCATTGTCGGTGGAGAATAGCCTCGGCCTGATTCCGTGATCTATAGCCTCTAGAATCGAAAGAAAATGTCATTTCGGATAAATCGCCCGAAATCTGTGATGGTACCCCTTTGGAATCTTCCCAAAATTGACCCGGAATAAATCCGCCCAAATCGGTGTTTAATGGACTCAATCATCGTTGGAGAATAGCCTCAGGCGGAATCCGTGATCTGTAGCCTACAATATCCCAAGAAAATGGCCTTTCGTCGCCCAAGAAATTGGGAAAATGCCATCCGAAAATAAATTGGCATTAATCGATGCTTAACGGGCTTATCATCCGTGGAGAATAGGATCAATAGACTTCATTATCGGTGGAGAATGACCTTGGCCTTATTCCGTGAACTGTAGCCTCCAGAATCGAAAGAAAATTGCATTTCGGATAAATCGCCCTAAATCTGTGATGGTACCCCTTTGGAATCTGCCAAAAATTGACCCGAAATAAATCCGCCCAAATCGGTGCTTAATAGACTCAATCATCATTGGAGAATAGACTCAGGCCGAATCCGTGATCTGTAAACTTCTATATCGAAAGAAAATGGCCTTTCGTCGCCCAAGAAATTACGAAAATGCCATCCCAAAATAAATTGACCCAAATCGAAGCTTAACGGGCTTATCATCCGTGGAGAATAGGATCAATAGACTTCATTATCGGTGGAGAATAGCATCGGCCTGATTCCGTGATCTGTAGCCTCCAGAATCGAAAGAAAATGGCATTTCGTATAAATCGCCCGAAATCTGTGATGGTACCCCTTTGGAAGCTGCCAAAAATTGACCCGGAATAAATCCGCCCAAATCGGTGCTTAATGGACTCAAACATCGTTGGAGAATAGCCTCAGGCCGAATCCGTGATCTGTAGCCTACAATATCCAAAAAAAATGGCCTTTCGTCGCCCAAGAAATTAGGAAAATGCCATCGAAAATAAATTGGCCCAAATCGATGCTTAACGGGATTATCATCCGTGGAGAATAGGATCAATAGACTTTATTATCGGTGGAGAATAGCCTCGGCCTGATTACGGGAACTGTAGCCTCCAGAATCGAAAGAAAATGGTATTTCGGATAAATCGCCCGAAATCTGTGATGGTACCCCTTTGGAATCTGCCAAAAATGACCCGGAATAAATCCGCCCAAATCTGTGCTTAATGGACTCAATCATCGTTGGAGAATAGCCTTAGGCCGAATTCGTGATCTGTAGACTTCAATATCCAAAGAAAATGGTCTTTCGTCGCCTAAAAATTACGAAAATGCCATCCGAAAATAAATTGGCCCAATTCGATGCTTAACGGGCTTATCATCCGTGGAGAATAGGATCAATAGACTTCATTATCAGTGGAGAATAGCCTCGGCCTGATTACGGGATCTGTAGCCTCCAGAATCAAAAGAAAATGGCAATTCGGATAAATCGCCCGAAATCTGTGATGGTACCCCTTTGGAATCTGCAAAAAATTGACCCGGAATAAATCCGCCCAAATGTGCGCTTAATGGACTCAATCATCGTTGGAGAATAGCCTCAGGCCGAATCCGTGATCTGTAGCCTTCAATATCCAAAGAAAATGGCATTTCGTCACCCAAGAAATTACGAAAATGCCATCCGAAAATAAATTGGCCCAAATCGATGCTTAACGGGCTTATCATCCGTGGAGAATAGGATCAATAGACTTCATTATTGGTGGACAATAGCCTCGGCATGATTCATTGATCTGTAGCCTTCAGAATCGACAGAAAATGGCATTTTGGATAAATCGCCCGAAATCTGTGATGGTACACCCCTTTGGAATCTGCCAAAAATTGACCCGGAATAAATCCGCCCAAATCGGTGCTTAATGGATTCAATCATCGTTGGAGAATAGCCTCAGGCCGAATCCGTGATCTGTAGCCTTCAATATCCAAAGAAAATGGCATTTCGTCACCCAAGAAATTACGAAAATGCCATCCGAAAATAAATTGGCCCAAATCGATGCTTAACGGGCTTATCATCCGTGGAGAATAGGATCAATAGACTTCATTATTGGTGGAAAATAGCCTCGGCATGATTCATTGATCTGTAGCCTTCAGAATCGACAGAAAATGGCATTTCGGATAAATCGCCCGAAATCTGTGATGGTACACCCCTTATAAATCGCCCAAATCGGTGCTTAATGGATTCAATCATCGTTGGAGAATAGCCTCAGGCCGAATCCGTGATCTGTAGCCTTCAATATCCAAAGAAAATCGCCTTTCGTCGCCCAAGAAATTAGGAAAATGCCATCCGAAAATAAATTGGCCCAAATCGATGCTTAACGGGCTTATCATCCGTGGAGAATAGGATCAATAGACTTCATTATTGGTGGAGAATAGCCTCGGCCTGATTCCGTGATATGTAGCCTCTAGAATCGAAAGAAAATGGCATTTCGGATAAATCACCCGAAATCTGTGATGGTACCCCTTTGGAATCTGCCTAAAATTGACCCGGAATAAATCCGCCAAAATCTGTGCTTAATGGACTCAATCATCGTTGGAGAATAGCCTCAGGCCGAATCCGTGATCTGAAGCCCTCAATATCCAAAGAAAATGGCCTTTCGTCGCCCAAGAAATTACGAAAATGCCATCTGAAAATAAATTGGCCCAAATCGATGCTTAATGGGCTTATCATCCGTGGAGAATAGGATCAATAGACTTCATTATCGGTAGAGAATAGCCTCGGCCTGATTCCGTGGTCTGTAGCCTCCAGAAAGTTGCATTTCGGATAAATCGCCCGAAATCTGTGATGGTACCCCTTTGGAATCTGCCGAAAATTGATCCGGAATAAATCCGCCCAAATCGGTGCTTAATGGACTCAATGATTGTTGGAGAATATCCTCATGCCAAATCCTTGATCTGTAGCCTTCAATATCCAAAGAAAATGGCCTTTCGTCGCCCAAGAAATTACGAAAATGCCATGCGAAAATAAATTGGCCAAAATCGATGCTTAACGGGCTTATCATCCGTGGAGAATAGGATCAATAGACTTCATTATCGGTGGAGAATAGCCTCGGCCTGATTCCGTGATCTGTAGCATCCATAATCGAAAGAAAATGGCATTTCGGATAAATCGCCGGAAATCTGTGATGGTACCCCTTTGGAATCTGCCAAAAATTGACCCGGAATAAATCTGCCCAAATCGGTGCTTAATGGACTCAATCATCGTCGGAGAATAGCCTCAGGCCGAATCCGTGATCTGTAGCGTGCAATATCCAAAGAAAATGGCCTTTCGTCGCCCAAGAAATTACAAAAATGCCATCCGAAAATAAATTGGCCCAAATCGATGCTTAACGGGCTTATTATCCGATGAGAATAGGATCAATAGACTTCATTATCGGTGAAGAATAGCCTCGGCCAGATTCTGTGATATGTAGCCTCCAGAATCGAAATAAAATTGCATTTCGGATAAATCGCCCCAAATCTGTGATGGGTACCCCCTTGGAATCTGCCAAAATTTGACCCAGAATAAATCCGCCCAAATCTATGCTTAATGGACTCAATCATCGTTGGAGAATATCCTCATGCCAAATCCTTGATCGGTAGACTTCAATATCCAAAGAAAATGGCCTTTCGTCGCCCAAGAAATTATGAAAATGCCATGCGAAAATAAATTGGCCAATCGATGCTTAATGGGTTTATCATCCGTGGAGAATAGGATCAATAGACGTCATTATTGGTGGAGAATAGCCTCGGCATGATTCTGTGATCTGTAGCCTCCAAAATCGAAAGAAAATGGCATTTTGGATAAATTACCCAAAATCTATGATGGTACCCCTTTGGAATCTGTCAAAAATTGACCCGGAATAAATCCGCCCAAATCTATGCTTAATGGACTCAATCATCGTTGGAGAATAGCCTCAAGCCGAATCCGTGATCTGTAGCCTTCAATATCCAAAGAATATGGCCTTTCGTCGCCCAAGAAATTACGAAAATGCCATCCGAAATTAAATTGGTCCAAATCGATGCATAACGGGATTATCATCCGTGGAGAATAGGATCAATAGACTTCATTATCGGTGGAGAATAGCCTCGGCCTGATTCCGTGATCTGTAGCCTCCAGAATCGAAAGAAAATGGCATTTCAGATAAATCGCCCGAAATCTGTGATGGTACCCCTTTGGAATCTGCCAAAAATTGACCAGGAAGAAATCCGCCCAAATCAGTGCTTAATGGACTCAATCATCGTTGGAGAATAGCCTCAGGCCGAATCCGTGATCTGTAGCCTTCAATATCCTAAGAAAATGGCCTTTCGTCGCCCAAGAAATTACGAAAATGTCATCCCAAAATAAATTGGCCCAAATTGATGCTTAACGGGCTTATCATCCAAGGAGAATAGGATCAATAGACTTCATTATCGATGGACAATAGCCTCGGCCTGATTTCGTGATCTGTAGCCTCCAGAATAGAAAGAAAAGGCATTTCGGATAAATCGCCCGAAATATGTGGTGGTACCCCTTTGGAATCTGCCAAAAAATAACCTGAAATAAATCCGCCCAAATCGGTGCTTAATGGACTCGATCATCGTTGGAGAATAGCCTCAAGCCGAATCTGTGATCTGTAGCCTTCAATATCCAAAGAAAATGGCCTTTCGTCGCCCAAGAAATTACGAAAATGCCATCCGAAAATAAATTGGGCCCAATCGATGCTTAACGGGCTTATCATCCGTGGAGAATAGGATCAATAGACTTCATTATCCGTGGATAATAGCCTCGGCCTGATTCCGTGATCTGTAGCCTCCAGAATCGAAGAATAATGGCATTTCGGATAAATCGCCCGAAATCTGTGATGGTGCCCATTTGGAATCTATAAAAAATTGACCCAGAATAAATCCGCCCAAATCTGTGCTTAATGGACTCAATCATCGTTGGAGAATAGCCTCAGGCAAAATCCGTGATCTGTAGCCTTCAATATCCAAAGAAAATGGCCTTTCGTTGCCCAAGAAATTACGAAAATGCCATCCGAAAATAAATTGGCCTAAATCGATGCTTAACGTGCTTATCATCCGTGGAGAATAGGATCAATAGACTTCATTATCGGTGGAGAATAGCCTCGACCTGATTCCGTGATCTATAGGCTCCAGAATCGAAAGAAAATGGCATTTCGGATAAATCGCCTGAAATATGTGATGGTACCCCTTTGGAATCTGCCAAAAATTGAGCCGGAATAAATCCGCCCAAATCCGTGCTTAATGGACTCAATCATCGTGGGAGAATAGCCTCAGGCCGAATCCGTGATCTGTAGCCTTCAATTTCCAAAGAAAATGGCCTTTCGTCGACCAAGAAATTAAGAAAATGCCATCCGAAAATAAATTGGCCCAAATCGATGCTTAACGGGCTTATCATTCGTGGAGAATAGGATCAATAGACTTCATTATTGGTGGAGAATAGCCTCGGCCTGATTCCGTGATCTGTAGCCTCCAGAATCGAAAGAAAATGGCATTTCGGATAAATCGCCCGAAATCTGTGATGGTACCCCTTTGGAATCTGCCAAAAATTGACCCGGAATAAATCCGACCAAATCGATGCTTAATTGACTCAATCATGATTGGAGAATAGCCTCAGGCCGAATCCGTGATCTGTAGCCTTCAATATCCAAAGAAAATGGCCTTTCGTCGCCCAAGAAATTACAAAAATGTCATTCGAAAATAAATTGGCCCAAATCGATGCTTAACGGACTTATCATCTGTGGAGAATAGGATCAATAGACTTCATTATCGGTAGAGAATAGCCTCGGCTTGATTCCGTGATCTGTAGCCTCCAGAATCGAAAGAAAATGGCATTACGGATAAATCGCCCGAAATCTGTGATGGTACCCCTTTGGAATCTGCCAAAAATTGATCCGGAATAAATCCGCCCAAATCTGTGCTTAATGGACTCAATCATCGTTGGAGAATAGCCTCAGGCCGAATCCGTGATCTGTAGCCATCAATATCCAAAGAAAATGGCCTTTCGTCGCCCAAGAAATTACGAAAATGCCATCCAAAAATAAATTGGCCCAAATCGATGCTTAACGGACTTATCATCCGTGGAGAATAGGATCAATAGACTTCATTATCGGTGGAGAATAGCCTCGGCCTGATTCCGTGATCTGTAGCCTCCAGAATCGAAAGAAAATGGCATTTCTGATAAATCGCCTGTAATCTGTGATGGTACCCATTTGGAATTTGTCAAAAATTGACCCATAATAAATCCGCCCAAATATGTGCTTAATGGACTCAATCATCGTTGGAGAATAACTTCAGACAGAATTCGTGATCTGTAGCCTTCAATATCCAATGAAAATGGCCTTTCGTCGCCCAAGAAATTACGAAAATGCCATCCGAAAATAAATAGTCCCAAATCGATGCTTAACAGACTTATCATCCATGGAGAATAGGATCAATAGACTTAATTATCGGTGAAGAATAGCCTAGGCCTGATTCCGTGATCTGTAGCCTCCAAAATCGAAAGAAAATGGCATTTCGGATAAATTGCCAAAAATTGTGATGGTACCTCTTTGGAATCTGCCAAAAATTGACCCGGAATAAATCCGCCAAAATCTGTGCTTAATGGACTCAATCATCGTTGGAGAATAGCCTCAGGCCGAATCCGTGATCTGTAGCCTTCAATATCGAAAGAAAATAGCCTTTCGTTGTCCAAGAAATTACGAAAATGCGATCAGAAAATAAATTGGCCGAAATCGATGCTTAACGTGCTTATCACCCGTGGAGAATAGGATCAATAGACTTCATTATCGGTGGAGAATAGCCTCGGCCAGATTCCGTGATCTGTAGCCTCGAGAAACGAAAGAAAATGGCATTTCGGATAAATCGCCCGAAATGTGTGATGGTACCCCTTTGGAATCGGCCAAAAATTGACCCGGAATAAATCCGCCCAAATCGGTGCTTAATGGACTCAATCATCGTTGGAGAATAGCCTCAGACAGAATCAGTGATCTGTAGCCTTCAATATCCAAAGAAAATGGCTTTTCGTCGCCCAAGAAATTACGAAAATGCCATCCGAAAATAAATTTGCCCAAATCAATGCTTAACGGGCTTATCATCCATGGAGAATAGGATCAATAGACTTCATTATTGGTGCAGAATAGCGTCGGCCTGATTCCGTGATCTGTAGCCACCAGAATCGAAAGAAGATGGCATTTCAGATAAATCGCCCGAAATCTGTGATGGTACCCCTTTGGAATCTGCCAAAAAATGATCCGGAATAAATCCGCCAAAATCTGTGCTTAATGGACTCAATCATCGTTGGAGAATAGCCTCAGGCCAATCCGTGATCTTTAGCCTTCAATATCCAAAGAAAATGGCCTTTCGTCGCCCAAGAAATTACGAAAATGTCATCCGAAAATAAACAGGCCCAAATCGATGCTTAACGGGCTTATCATCCGTGGAGAATAGGATCAATAGACTTCATTATCGATTGAAAATAGCCTCGGCCTGATTCCGTGATCTGTAGCCTCCAGAATCGAAAGAATAGCCTCAGGTCGAATACGTGATCTGTAACGTTTAAAATCCAAAGAAAATGGCCTTTCGTCGCCCAAAAAATTACGAAAATGCCATCCGAAAATAAATTGGCCCAAATCGGTGCTTAATGGACTTATCACCCGTGGAGAATAGGATCAATAGACTTCATTATCAGTGGAGAATGACCTCGGCCTAATTTCGTGATTTGCTGCCTCCAGAATCGATAGAAAATATCATTTCAAAAAAATCGCCCGAAACCTGTGATGGTACCCCTTTGGAATCTGCCAAAAATTGATCATCAATAAATCCACCCAAATTGTGGTTTAATGGACTTAAATATCGTTATAGAATAGCCTCAGGTCGAATCTGTGATCTGTAGCGTTAAAAATCCAAAGAAAATGGCTTTTCGTCGCACAAAAAATAACAAAGATGACTCCTGCAAATAAATGGGTAAAAAACGGTGCTTAATAGACTTATCATAAGTGGAGAATAGGATCAATAGACTTCATTATCGGTGGCGAAGAGCCTCGGCCTGATTCCGTGATTTGCTGCCTCCAGAATCGAAAGAAAATGGCATTTTGACTAAATCGCCCGAAATTTGTGATGGTACCCCTTTGGAATCTGCCAAAAATTGACCCGGAATAAATTCGCCCAAATCGGTGCTTAATGGACTTAATAATCGTTAAAGAATATCCTCAGGGCGAATTCGTGATCTGTAGCGTTCAAAATCCAAAGAAAATGGCCTTTCGTCGCCCAAAATATTACGAAAATGCCATCCGAAAATAAATTGGCCCAAATCGGTGCTTAATGGAATTATCACCCGTGGAGAATAGGATCAATTGACTTCATTATCAGTGGAGAATAGCCTCGGCCAGATTCCCTGATGTGCTGCATCCAGAATCTAATGAAAATGGCATTTTGGAAAAATCGCACGAAATCTGTGATGGTACCCCTTTGGAATATGCCTAAAATTGACCATGATAAATTCGCACAAATCGGTGCTTAATGGACTTATCACCTGTGGAGAATAGGATCAATTGACTTCATTATCAGTGGAGAATAACCTCGCCCTGATTCCGTTATTTGCTGCCTCCAGAATCGATAGAAAATTGCATTTCAAAAAAATCGCCCGTAACCTGTGATGGTACCCCTTTGGAATTTGCCAAAAATTGACCAGGAATAAATCCGCCCAAATTGGGGTTTAATGGACTTAAATATCGTTAAAGAATAGCCTCAGGTCGAATCTGTGATCTGTAGCATTAAAAATCCAAAGAAAATGGCCTTTCGTCGCACAAAAAATAACAAAAATGACTCCTGCAAATAAATGGGTCAAAAACGGTGCTTAATAGACCTATCATAAGTGGAGAATAGGATCAATATACTTCATTATCGGTGGCGAAGAGCCTCGGCATGATTCCGTGATTTGCTGCCTCCAAAATCGAAAGAAAATGGTATTATAAAAAATCGCCAGAAATCTGTGATGGTACCCCTTTGGTATCTTCCAAAAATTGACCAGGAATAAATCCGCCCAAATTGGGGTTTTATGGACTTAAATATCGTTAAAGAATAGCCTCAGGTCGAATACGTGATCTGTAGCGTTCAAAATCCAAAGAAAATGGCCTTTCGTCGCCCAAAAAATAACGAAATGCCATCCGAAAATAAATTGGCCCAAATCGATGCTTAACGGGCTTATCATCCGTGGAGTATAGGATCAATAGACTTCATTATCGGGGGAGAATAGCATTGGCCTGATTCCGTGATCTGTAGCCTCCAGAATCGAAAGAAAATGGCATTTCGGATAAATCGCTAGAAATCTGTGATGGTACCCCTTTGGAATCTTCCAAAAATTGACCCGGAATAAATCCGCCAAATCGGTGCTTAATGGACTCAATCATCGTTGGAGAATAGCCTCAGGCTGAATCCGTGATCTGTAGCCTTAAATATCCAAAGAAAATGGTTGTTTGTCGCCAAAGAAATTACGAAAATGCCATCCGAAAATAAATTGGCCCAAATCGATTCTTAACGGGCTTATCATTCGTGGAGAATAGGATCAATAGACTTCATTATCGGTGGAGAATAGCCTAGGCCTTATTCCATGATCTGTAGCCTCCAGAATCGAAAGAAAAAGGCATTTCGGATAAATCGCCCGAAATCTGTGATGGTACCCCTTTGGAATCTAACAAAAATTGACCCGGAATAAATCCGCCCAAATCGTTGCTTAATGGACGCAATCATCGTTGGAGAATAGCCGCAGGCCGAATCCGTGATC